TTTATTCACTTTTATTCACAATAATTATCTTTTATTTTCCAAATTAGAAAAACATTTTCAATTTCACTGATCTACTTAATTACTTAATTACTTAAATTTTTAATTTTTAATTTAAAATTTAAAATTTTTAGATTTTTTAATTAAATTAAGATCGATATTTTTGAAATTCTATCTTATTATTGCTCATTTTCTGATCTTTATTTTTTTATCCATTTCAATAATTAACATTTATTTTCCAAATTTAGTAAACTTTCAGTTCTCTTGATTTAATTATTTTAATTTTCGCAATTTTTATAAATTTTTTTTTTAATTACGATCGATATTTTTGTTAACATTTAGATTTTTATTTCCAAATTCACTTTTTGTTGTTTGGTCATTAAAAATTTGCAATTTCTGCTTTTATTGTTATTTGTTCAAAAATACTTTTCAAATTCTAGAAATGATCGTCAAGGAAATTGAATTCAGAACATTGTGACCTTCTTAAGGTTTCGGGACTCAAGTTTGCTTTTCTTATTTAAATAAAAAAGGCAGAAATTAACATAGAGTACGCCAGCGCCTTGAACTGACTACAATTTCATTTTTTCTTTTTTCTCTCTGCAGGACCTTATATTTTTTTACAATTTAATTTTAATTAACAAAAAAGTATTTTTGTTGGATTTTAAAGAATTCTTTTTCGCCTTTTTTCTTTTCTTTTTTTCCTTTTTTAAATAAATATTTTTTTATTTATTATTTTTATTATTCAGAAAAAATGTCTAATTAATCGTAATTCGAGACAAGGTCTCATTATTATGAGAATGTATAATAATTAATCATTTTTGTTTATCATTGAGTTCTTATATTAAGTTTAAGTTAAAAATTTTTGCGTTTCACAGAGAAGTTGCCACAGAATGTTTTTCTATTTTCATGATCAAACTCAAAAACATTGAAGTAAATCACAATATATAAATAATTTATTCAAGTTACATAAATTTTCTATATTTTTTTTTCTTTACACTTATACGATTATAATGTTTCTTAATCGGGGAGGGAGCAAAAAAAAAAAAGAATATTTTATTAATAGTCAATTATGAATTGACGCCATAAATGAAGAAATTTAATTTCGAAACATTAATAACAAAAACGAACGCAATTTACGTGTGAAACAATCGAAAAACTTGAATTAAACACTAAAAAAAATTATAATTGCAAAAAAGATTATTAAATTCAATTTTTTTTTTCGAAAATTTTAATAATTGAGTCGCAATTTTTTTTCTCTACCTTTAATGACTTTATTGTTATCTTTTTTATTGTATATAGTTTTCTTTTGTTGGAAAAAAAGATTGATTCTTGTTAAGGCACGAATTTTGATTATATAATCGTAATAATGAAAAAAAAGAAGGAAAAAGAAGAAGTGGAAGTCAAATAAATTATTGTGAAAGGTTCATAAATATAAATTTAGCGAAAATTCTCTTTGTGACATAAATTCGTGTAACGGAATAAAAAAAAATATAATTATGAAAAAAACGCCTGCAGGTTGTCTGCATCTATTTAACATATGTGCGTAAGCAGACTTATTGTCGAATTACAGAATAAAGTTTTTCATTTAAATTTTAAGTGAAAGCTGTGCGCCCAAAAAGTGTATATAAATAATTCACTCTCGTTTTTTTTTCGTCAGGAAACAATTTTTTTAATATTCATACATAAGGCGATAATTTTAAGTTTAATTTGATTTTTCGTATTTTAATTTTCGGATTTTAATTTTTAATTTCTAATTTCCAATTTTTAATTTTTAATTTCTAATTTCCAATTTTTAATTAAAAATTTTTGTATACCTATATTTCTAAATTGTTTTCATATTATTATTTTTTAGTTAATAATTGTGAAAACTAGATTTTTCTTTAATTCGAAAATTATTTTTGTTTTGATTGTGTGGATAAATTTAAAAAGTGAAATTTAGCTTTTTGTGACGATGTTAAGATAATATGTTTATTCATGTATTCTTGAATGAAGGATATTCTTATAATTTGTATAATTATATCGAGTTTTTTTCTCTATTGATTTTTTTTCTGCATACGATTTATAAACACATCTTTATTCACGCTCATCGAGTGAAATAATTATTATAATCGATTTAGATCATCGCGTACGCGTATCGCAACGAGGCGAATGTGAATTGACGGTCGTCGGCTAATAACGTATGTATGTACGTTAATTAGTTGGCTACCAATGACGCATTTACATCGGGGGAACAATCGCGCCGTCTCTTTTATACAACTCGTAAACGTACGGAAACACACCACCACTTTCGCAACATCGTGTTCAGATGATCAAAAGTCAATTCATCCCACTGTCGATTCAGTATTTCCAAGGCATCCTCGCTATCAAAAGCTGTCCTCCTCCAGAGCATTTTTTCCCCTCACGAATTTTCAATTTGTAAATTTTTATTTTCTTCTTTTTGAGTGTCTCAAAAGTGATTAATTTCGATTTTTCAATTCGAATGAAAAGGAAATAAACGATTTTTGAAAATAGAAAGTTTTTTTTCGAGAAAGGAAATTGTCGTTTGAGGAAGTGAAAGAAAACGTAAGCAAAGTTTTCTTTTTTTTAGGAAAAGATTGAAAAGTGACGAGGAAGATAAAAGGAAAAAAAATGAAAACGTCAAAGCAAGATGGGAATATATTAATATTTTCATACGTAATAGTCGGACAGTCACGAGGAAAATGGCGCCTGTAAATTAAACTTGTCTGGATTTTTAATAAACATTTAATTTCAATTCTCTTTCTTCAGTTTCTCTGGTCAACTGGAAAAAGTCAGAAAGAAAGAGTAAGAAATAAATACGACAAAGAAAGAATAAGAAAAAAGTACAAAAAAAAGACTAAAAAAAAACTAAAAGACTAACAAAAATTGTACCAAAGGAAAAAAATGAAAATACAAAATTGTTCTGGATTGAAAGTGAAAAATTTGCCGGAAGCATTATTTTCTGTTAAATGTTTCAATCAAATTAAATGAAATATTTTTTTTTCGCAAAGTGACAAGGATAATGAGAGCATTATTACTGTGAGCACTGAGAGTGCGATTTAACGAGACAGAAAAAAAGGAATAAAAATTATGAACGTTTTTTTTTTCAAGAGACCAGGTGCGGAAACGAAACACATCGTGTGAGGTCAAGAGCGATTAAAAAGTAGCACACACGCTTTCCATCCTCGACGACGAGGAGGAGCACAAGAAGAAGAAGAACGTGGGTGAAGTTCAGTTCTCCGATGCCAATCCATTCGGGCACAAGTAATTTTTCAACGAAAATTCCAAAATCCACAAAGTTCCTAGTTTTTTCAGTGCGAAAATGAAAAATTCTCCCACCTCTGGAATGAACAAATAAAAATTAGAAAACTGAATAAAGTAAACAATTAAATATACAATCTAAAAAATTAAATACGAACTCTAAGGAATTAAATACGAAAACAAAAAAATTAAGTATAAACTCTAAGGAATTAAATACAAAAATTAAATACGAAAACCAGAATTAAATATAACAAATTTCAAAGAAGAAGAGAAAAAAAAATACAAAATGCAGAAAACATTTGATCATGTGATACCGACGATAGTTTGTACACGAGTGAATTTCGGGGAAAATGGCTTGCACATGGATGAAATTGAATGCGAACGGAAGTCGAAGAACAAAAGAATTGCGAGATCACGAACGCGAAGAAATTCGAGACGTTTGTCAATAAATTTAGCGGCGCGATCGTCATCATCATCGAGGAGTCCATCACCATTGGCGGCGAAATTTCGATCGTCCACAGACGATTTAAAACGTGCTGAAGTACAACAGGAAGCGGATGTGAACGTTCCATTTAGTCCCGGTTATCGGGAATATCTACAATTATTGAATGTACCAACGTTCGGTTATGCGCAAAATTTAGAATGGAGCGAAAATAGTGGCGATGATCTCAGCTCTGAATGGGATTCTGATCAATCAGCCAGATCATTGGATATTCGTAACGTTGATGACAATATAAACTCGAAGGTAAAATTCACTGCGTGGTATTTTTTTCCACTCTCCTCTATTCTTACGTTATCGTCATTCGTGATCTTTTTCTGAATCTTTCAGAATTTTTCATTATTAGAAATTACTGGCAATTTATATTTGCAATTTATATTTATGAGTTATATTTATAATTTATATTTGCAATTTATATTTACAATTTATATTCGCAATATAAATAAATTATATTTATAATTTCTATTTACAATTTACATACTCAAAATTTATCATTTTTAAAATCATTTCACAATTTTGAATTATTTGAATTTAATTGTAATTATTGTGGTACGGAATAATTTTCTCTTTTATTTGTTTGGAAATTCTAAATCGCACCCGTTTAAATGTTATCGAGTATTTTTTTAAAAATAGAATTTACAACCAAGCGAATTTAAAATGTTTGAAGCGAATAACTCGATTTCTCGTTTGAAGTGATAAGAAATAAAAGAAAAAAAATTTACAGTCGAGAAAATAACTGCATAACTCTTTAGTTTTATTTGCCTTTTTTTATCAAGGTCCAAGTTCAAGTCTAATTCAAAGGTAAAGGAACGAGTAATTATGTCACAATTCCATTATCTATTTGAACTTTGACGATTATTATTATTACACTGTCATTATCGGTTATAAAGGCCATATAAAAATGTTAATTTTAGTGAAAAGGTTTTTCAACTTCGCTATATAAATAACCGCGAATGATTATTATTAATGGTTTGAGATTAATTAGTTGCTGATAATAATTTTGAATGAATGGAAAGTTTAAGAAACGATAACAAAAATTTAATTGCACTATATTTTTGGGGGGAAAATTCTTCAAAAACGAGAGTAAAAAAAAATTTTTTTGGGGGAAAATATTTAAAAACGAGAGTAAAAAAAATATTTTTTAGGAAAAATATTCAAAAACGAGGGTAAACATAAAAATATTTTTTGTGAGAATTTTGATTCTCTACTTAATGAAAATTTTTAATTTTCTATTTATTTGTTTCAGACTTCCGGATGGAGAAAACTCAGAAATATTGTTCACTGGACGCCATTCTTTCAGACTTACAGAAAACAAAAATATCCTTGGGTAAATTAATGTTTTCAATACTGAATATTAAATTTTAATAATTATTCTTATGAATTTTGATAAATTAACGTAGATTTCAATTACTTTAATTATTTATATTTTTAATGTACATTCAATTAACTTATTTAACTCCTAATTTAATCTTCAATTAACTAATTTAACTCAGAATTTATTTAATTTCATGATTTTTGGATTAAAATTTTCAATTAAAAGAAAATACGAATTTTTACTTGAATTTAATTTGAATTCGAATTATAATAAATGTTTTTTCTTTTTTTGGAAATAGGTTCAATTAACAGGTCATCAGGGGAATTTTAAAGCTGGACCAACTCCGGGAACTATTTTAAAGAAACTGTGTCCCCAAGAGGAGGCGTGCTTTCGTTTATTAATGCACGACATTTTAAGGCCTTATGTACCTGAATTTAAAGGAGTTCTGGATGTTCGAGAGGCGGAAGAAAGAAGTCAACAAGAAGTTGATTCAATGATGACGAGGGAAGGTGAAAGTGAAGCAGATAAAAGAACAGTTATCTCTTCGTACCTTCAACTTCAAGATCTTTTGGGCGATTTTGAAGAACCTTGCGTTATGGATTGCAAAGTTGGTGTACGAACCTATTTGGAATCTGAACTCGCTAAAGCCAAAGAACGACCCAAGGTAATTGATAAAATAAATAATTACAATCAACCAAAAAATAAAGTGAATGAAATTATAATTTTTTTTTACAAATTAGCGACTACTTTTTAATTTCTTTTACAAATTAGCGAGTATTTTTTAATTTTCTACGAATTAGGGAATAATTTTTCAATTCTAATAAATGGTTTGATGTTACAGTTGAGAAAGGACATGTACGAGAAAATGGTACAGGTTGATCCAACGGCACCGAGTGCCGAAGAGCGAAGACTTCAGGGAGTTACGAAGCCTCGTTACATGGTTTGGCGAGAAACAATTTCAAGTACCGCGACCCTCGGTTTTCGAGTTGAAGGAATCAAATTAGCTCGCGGCGGTTCAACAAAAGACTTCAAGACGACGCGAACACGAGAGCAGGCAAGTAACTCAATTTCTTCTCTTTATTTTAGTTTTCAAATTTTATTTTATTATATATTAATAATAATAATTAATTACTATTAGTAAGTGATTACTATTATTTGCATTTAGTAAATAATTACCATTATTTTCCGAATAAATTGATGAAATTTCGTAAAATTGAATTCTAAACGAATAGATTTGAAAATTCTCAAAGAACTTTTTCAAAAATTATTAAAAACTTATTACTTTTTATTTACAAATAAAAATTTTTAAATAATTTCATAATCAATATTTAAAAAATTCACTTATTAAGTACAAAATTAATTATTATTGTTAATAGTTTCAAAAATTTTAATATAATTCTTCGCAAGAATTCAATTATTTTTATATAAATAATAACATTCTTCGGAAGAAATCAATTACTTTTATAAATAGTAAAATTTTTTGCAAAAATTCGATTATTTTTAACAAAATTTTAATAAAATTTTACAAATAAATTCAATTATTTTCCAAAATCTTAATAAACCCTTCGAAACAATTCAATTATTTTTATAAATTGTAAAATTTTTTGCAGGAATTTAATTATTTTTAAAACAATTTTAATTTAATTCCTCGGCAGAATATAAATATTTTCAAATATTTCCATAAAATTCAATTATTTCCTAAAATTTTAATAAATCCTTCGAAACAATTCAACAATCTTCATAAATACTAAAATTCTTTGCAGGAATTAAAATTATTTTCAATACAATTTAAATAAAATTATACGAAAGATTTAATTATTTTCAAAAATTTTTATAAAATTCAATTTCTACGAGAATTTAAAATTTTAATTTAAAACTTTAATTGAATTTCTCGAAAGCATTTAATTATTTTCAAATATTTCTATAAAATTCTTCAAAACAATTCAATTATTTTCTAAAATTTTAATAAATTCTTCGAAACATTTCAATTATTTTTATAAATAGTAAAATTTTCGCACAAATTCAATTCTCTTCAAAACAATTTTAATAGAATTCCTCATAAGAATTTAATTATTTTCTTAAATTTTAATAAATTCTTCTAAACAATACAATTATTTTTTAAATAGTAGTATTTTTGCAAAAATTCAATTATTTTTAAGATAATTTTAATTGAATTCAAGAAGAAGAAGAAGAATTCAATTTAAAAATTTTTTTAAAAAATATTTCGAATAAATCCAATTATTTTCTAAAATCTTAATAAACCCCTTGAAACAATTCAATTATTTTTATAAATAGTAAAATTTTTTGCAAAAATTCGATTATTTTTAACAAAATTTTAATAAAATTTTTACGAATAAATTCAATTATTTTCCAAAATCTTAATAAACCCTTCGAAACAATTCAATTATTTTTATAAATTGTAAAATTTTTTGCAGGAATTCAATTATTTTCAAAACAATTTTAATTTAATTCCTCGAAAGAATTTAATTATTTTTAAATATTTACATAAAATTCATTTATTTTCTAAAATTTTAAAAAAATCTTCGTAACAATTCCATTATTTTTATAAATAGTAAAATTCTTCGCAAGAATTAAATTATTTTTACAAATAATAAAATAATTTTTCTCAGGAATTCAATTATTTTTAAATACAATTTTAATAAAATTTTTTTTCATAAAATTCATTTGCTTTCGAAATTTTCAATTAAAATTATTAAACAAACTTCATTATTTTAAACAAATTTTCATAAATAAAAAAATTCTTCGAAGGAATTTAATTATTCTCTTCAAATTTTTTGATAAGGATTTTTTGCAAGAATTTAATGATGTTCAATATATTAATTGTAAAATTGAAAATATTTAATTGAATTGAAATGATGATTTCAATATTGTTACAGTAACAATACTCTTATTATATAAAATAATAATTTTCGTAGAATTTTCTAATAAAAATGGTTTTTTAAACATGAATTTCAGTTAAATTTTTGGATAATAATTGAATATTAAAAGAATTATAGCATGAATTTTTAGAAATAATTGTATTTTGAAAAAGTATAATTAAATTTTAAAAAAGTTTAATTGAATTTTTTAAAATTATATTTCAAGTTTTTATTTTCTAAATATTTAATTGAAGAACTTTCAAATAATCAAAATTTCGTAAAATTGAATTGTAAACAAATAGATTTCAAAATTCTCTAGAAACTTTTGCAAAAATTATTTAAAACAATTGATAATTGTTCATTTATTTCTTTTGAAGAATTTTAATAACATTTTTGAAATTAATTATATTTCTCGAAGAATTTACTTTAAATTGTATTGAAAATAATTGAAATCCTGTGAATAATTTTAATATTTATGAAAATAATTGAATTCTTACAACGAATTTTATTACATTTCTTTTAAATAATTGAAATCCTGTGAAGAATATTATTATTTATAAAAATAATTGAATTCTTGTGAAGAATTTTATTAAAATTTTTGTAAATAATTAAATTTTTCTTTCGAAAAATTTTATGGAAGTTTAAATTATCATTAAACACGAAATAGCGATCACTCCGAGTCGAAGACTCGGAGTGATCGATATCTTCATGTTTTATAATAATAATCTTGTTATTATATAAAAGTTATTGAATTTCAAAAAGTTTGAATTTGAAATTTTTGAAAATCTTAATTCCTTTGAAAAAATAATAAAAATTAAATAGATTAAAAAAAATTTGCAGAAACTTAATAGAATATGATTAATTTCCAGGTGACCGAAACGATAAAGCGATTCGTGAACGGTTATCCACATGCAGTTCAAAAGTACCTTCAAAGATTGAAAGCAATTCGAGCGACACTGAAAGCGTCGCCATTTTTTGCCTCCCACGAAGTTGTCGGCTCGAGTCTTCTCTTCGTTCACGATACGCGTAATGCCGGAATTTGGATGATTGACTTCGCCAAAACATTACCATTGCCGCAAAATTTATTGCGAATTCATCACGACGCCGAATGGCAAGTGGGCAATCACGAGGACGGCTATTTAATTGGAATTAATAATTTAATTGATATTTTCGAAGATATCAAAAATTCCGAGACGTAAAGAAAACAAACATATTTTTTGTTTTTCTTTGAATAAAAAAAAACAATTTTCATTTTTTTCAAAGAAAATGAAAAAGAGTATTCAACTAGTGAAAATTTTGTGAATTATAAATCAAACGTGGACTTTTTTAAAAGTGAGTGATACAACACTGTGTTCAAGATTTATAAACTTCATAATTAACGATAGATCAAAATTGACTTTTTCTATTTAAGAAAAAGAAATACTAAAAAATCGTTCGAAGAACGAACAGAATTTTTTTTGTAGAACAAAAAAATGTTAATTTTCATTTCTCGTAATTTATAAAATAAATTACGAGAATCACCAGACCAAAGACGCGGTGGCATTTTCCATGTCGCCTAGAAACTGAAAATTTTGTACATTTTTTAGAAAAAAAAGAAAAGAAAAAAAGAAGAGCGTTAGACTGTAATATTAATAGTTAATTTAATTTAAAGTTCGACGTATACATTAAGTTTTTATTTATATTGCGAATAATTATGAAAACAGTTTTTTTTTGCAAGATCTTCCGTATTTTGTAATCACAACTGTAAAATCATACATTTGTAAATTACATCACCTCACACTTTGTATTCACTTTTTGATCACAATCGCGTAATAAAAAAAAACATTTCAATTACGACTCTTGAATATTTCTTACACTGTTTTTTTTCCTTATTACTTAATTGTACAAATTAAAAAAAAGGAAGCAAAAAACTAAAACGCAAGCTCACAACTTGCGCTAACGACAGATAAAAACTGTCATTTTTTTTGTGAAAGACTAACGAGAAAAATGACGTCCGATAATCAAACCAGATCGTCAGAATAATTAAAGGAAACATTTTCGGAAAATCGTTATTTGACGAAATTATTTCTCTCTCCATTTGAGAGAAAAGTAGTTCCTTAAATTTCTATCAATGAATTAATGAATTTCTTTAATATTGGAAAACATTTTCTTATAAGAATAAATTTTATTTAAATTCTAAAAAAAACTTTTCCTATTGCGAAATATTTTCTTATAAGAAATTATTTTCTCGATTGGACAATGTACATATTTTTATAGTATAAGGAAAATAGTGTTCTCTCAAATGTGAGGGGAAATGAATTCTCCCAATTGGGAGATAAAATGTCATATTCTCTCTCAAAATAGGAGAAAAATTGCAATTTCTCATTTAGGAGAAAAATTATATTCTCTCAAATAAAGAGAGAAATATTTATAAATGTTTCTCTTTCAAGATGAAAGTATATTTTCTTTTTTGTACTAATTTTTAAAAAATAATTCTTTCAAATTCAAATGTCGTCCCTTTTCCAAAATTGAGATTCCTTTGCATTGTTTTTTTTAACTCTAAAGTTAATCTTATTAATTTTCTTTTTTTTTAATATACAATATTAATCGGAATTAATTTCTTTTTCCGATGGTCAAATATCATTAAATAATAATAGTAGAAAAAAATGTTTATCAACATCTTCAGCACTATTTAATAAATAATGAAATTAAAAATTTGATTCTTAATTTAAGAAAAAGAAGAGGGTAAAATTAACTAACTTTTTTTAAAAAAATCTTCTCACGGTGGATAAGTATTAGTTCTTGGTGGTTGTGTTTGAACGGTTTGCTGTTGATTTGTGGTTGTCTGCGTCGATGATATTGTCGTGGGTGCAATTACACGGGCATAAACAGCAGCACCTGTTGTCTTAAGACCGGCGGCTGTTGGTATCACTTTTAAACCATGTAAAGTTTTAATATTTAATAACTGACTGGGTAGAATAATTGGCTGTTGCTGTGACGATTGACCCTGTGGTGATTGCTTGCCGAGAATGACACCAGTTGCACCGGCACCAACTCCCACGCCTTTACTGCCACTGGCCAAAACAATTGGTTTGCCTGCAAGTTGAGCCGTTACCATTCGCACCGTTTGTCCTTGCGTTTGCTGTTGTTGCTGTTGATGATTGCTGACAATTATTTTCGGTGGGACGGACGAAGTCTGAGCCTGCGATACGACCTGTTGATGAAATTTTATTTCGAACAAATTAAAATATACATTTATCTACTTGATACAATTTTTAATTATGTAATTGAATTTTGTTTTAACCAAATTTTTGTTTAGTTATTTCAATACAGGATGGCAACCCTGTAATTAGTCAGGGAAATTAGGGAATTCACGGAAAAGTCAGGGAGAGTAGAACTTGTCAAGGAAATCAGGGAAAAGTCAAGGATTTTTATTAAAAATACTGGAAAAAATTAAACTTTTAGAATTTATAAGATTATTATATTTCTGACAATAATTTCTTTTTAAATAACGCTTAATTCTTCAAGAACTATTACAAAATTATTACTTATAAATTATTTAATAAATAATTTTATTTAAATATTTCAAAATTATTTCAATTTTAAAAGAGTTACGTTTACAATTTTCATAAATAAATGAACTTTAAAAGGTTTTAATTTGAAATTTTAGAAAATTTCAATTTTGAATGAATTTAATAAAAAAAAAATTTTAAAGAAATTAAATTTTTTAAAAGTTTTAATAATTCGATTTCTTCTGAAATTAGTTAAATTTTTTAATATATATTATATTAATTATTAAATGTCATGGATTTATAGAAGAATTTTTATTAAGAACACAAAAAATTGAATTTTAGAGAAGTTACAAATAACAAATGTTTAAAAAAATTCAATTATGTTCAAAAAATTTTAAAAATTCTTACCAAAATTTCAATTATCTTTAAAAATAATAAAATTTTTCTTCAAAAAAACATCGCGAGAGAGTGTGTGAGGATGGTTAAGAAAGGGAAAGCAATGAGAAGGAAAGATATTCCAAGATGGGAGAGAGAAAGAGGAGATGCGTTGGAGGAGGGAAGGAGATGGGGCGGAAATGAGAGGGAGGTGATGGAGGGTTGGAAGAAAAAGGATGAGAATGAGAGGTGGAGCAGGATAGTGGAGTCAAAATATAATAGATGGTATAGGATGGTGAGGGGAGAGAAGGAGCCGGGGTATTTAGGAAAAATGAAAAAGTATGAAAGTTGGAATAGATTGTGTAGGTTTAGAATGGGTGAAGGAGTGAAAGAGTGTAGGTATTGGATGGATGATGAAGAGAAAATGTGTAGGATGTGTGGGTTTCAGGTAGAAGATTGGAAGCATGTTTTGGAGGAATGTATGGGGGAAATTGAAGTGGGAGGGGTGGAGGGAGGGATGGGGGATAAAATTAAGTGGATTTTGGATGAGAATGGGAAAGGGGAAAAATGGATAGAAAGATTAGAAAGAATGAGAGAAGAGAGAATGTATTAGGGCCGATAAAGGGAGGGGTTTTTTGTATTGGGGTAAGGCAGTAATGCTTAAATATAAAAGGTAGTTTGTAAAGTTTTTAAATTTTGACGAAGCCAAAAAGGGCAAATTGGAACGGGAAACGGAAACCCGGTGCACTGGCGGATTGCGATTAGTAGATATAAGTAGAGCGTATTAAGTTTAGTTGTAAGTGAAAATGTATTTTAGTTTTAAGTAGAGGATGTGTATTAGGGAGTCTCGAACCCTGCGTGAGCAGGGAGAGTAAATAAAGATAATAATTTTCGTAAATAATAAAATGCTTTTTAGGAATTCAATTATTTTTAATACAATTTTTTCCGAATTCTTTACGTGAATTTAAATTTTGAGAAACATTCATTTATTTAATAAATTATTTATTTGTGTATTTAAATAATTGAATTATCGTAGAATTTTCTAATAAAAATTGATTTAAAAATGAATTTCCGTTTAAATTTTAGATAATAATTCAATATTACAAGCATTATAGCTTGAATTTTTTAGAAATAATTGAATTTTAAAAAAGTTTCATTGAATGTTTTCTGAAATTATTTTAAGTTTTTATTTTTTAAATATTTAATTGAAGAACTTTCAAATAATCAAAATTTCGTAAAATTGAATTGTAAACAAATAGATTTCAAAATTCTCTAGGAACTTTTGCAAAAATTATTAAAAATAATTGACAATTGGTAATTTATTCCTTTCGAAGAATTTTAATAAAATTTTTAAAATTAATAATATTTTTCGAAGAATTTACTTAAAATTTATTGTAGGTATTAGAAATAATTGATATTCTGTAAGGAATTTTATTATTTAGAAAATAATTAAAGTCTCGCAACGAATTTTTATTAAATTTTTTGAAAAATAATTGAAATCCTGTGAAGAATATTATTATTATTATTTATAAAAATAATTGAATTTTCGCAACGAATTTTATTATATTTCTTTTAAATAATTTAATTCCTCTGAGGAATTTTATTTATTTATGAAAATAATTGAATTCTTGCAACGAATTTCATTACATTTTTTATAAATAATTGAATTCTTTTGAGAAATTTTATTAAAATAGTAGATTGAGAAAATATTTTAATTTCAGCAAAGAATTTCATTATTTGTGAAATATAATTGAATTCTTGCAAAAAAATTTTGAAAATAATTACATTTTTCGAGGATTTTATTAAAATTGTATGAAAAATAATTGAAATCCTATATGAAAAATTTTATTATTTATGAAAATAATTGAATTCAATTATTTTCGTAAATAACAAAATTGCTGTCAGGAATTCAATTATTTTAAAGAATGTTAATAAACTGTTTAAAATAATTAAACTATTTATTTTCAATAATATTTCTCGGATGAATTAATTTATTTTTATAAATAATAAAAATCTTGGCAGAAATTCAATTCTTTTTGAAAAAATTAATAAAATTTTGCACAGAAAACAATTATTTTTAAAAATTTTAATTTAAAGAATAAATAATTTTCTTTCGAATAATTTAATTGTTTTCAAAATTTTAAATAAAATTCTTCATATAGAAATTCAATTATTTTCACAAATTTAAATAAAATTCTTCAAAGAAATCAATTATTTTGTAATTAAATACCTCGAAAATATAAAATAATTTAATAATTATTATAATAATTTTTTTGTTTAGATGTAAAGTCGAGGAGATGATTATGCCAAAGAAGTACTAAAAGTACTAAAAGTTAAAATTACATCTAAAATAATTTAATTAATTATGAAAAATTAAATTTCTTTTTATTATTTTTTGGTAGACTTAAGTTTTTAAATTAAATATTTGCTTCTAAAAATTATCGTTTTTAATAATAACTATTGAACTTCCCTTGAAAGTTTGTTTTAAAAAGCTTTAAAAAAGTTAAAAATTTCTCTGTCAATTCAGGAAATGTCAGATAAAAGAAAATTAAATTTTTTGTTAATCCTGATAATATTTAATAACAAAAATTTTACCTGATATTGTGTTTGAATAACTTGTTTGCCTTGTCGATTAATTTGTGTCGTGTGACCAGTGGGAGTTGCTAATTTCAAGCCTTTTTGGGCAAGAAGACTCTCAACCGAAATTAATTGACCACCACCAGCGCTCGTAAGTACTTTTGCCAATATTTTTTGCTGTTGCTGCTGCTGTTGTTGCGGTGATTGTTGAATTTGAACAGCAATTGGCTTCCCACCAATTTGAGTGATAATCCTTTGAACCGGTGAATTTTGCAATTGCTGTTGATTCGCAGTGACTATCCTCTGCTGTAGTTGTTGTTGTTGCTGCTGCTGTTGCTAATAATATTTTCAAAATATATTTTTAATTTCTTTTCTCTTTATACTTTTTTTTTATTTTAATTTCAGAAAATTTAAAATTAATTTCTATGTATTTTTTAATTTTTTCAAAACGTATTTTTAATATTTTTAATATTTTTTCTTTTTATACTTTTCTTATCTTAATTTTAGAAAATTTTTATTTACTCCAATGTGTTTTTAAATAGAGATTATATTTAATTTAATTTAATAAAATATTGAACTATTAATTATCAAACATTAAATTAAAATGAATTACATTAAAAAAAATTGAATAACTTAAACTTAAAATAAAATTTTAATTTAATATATCTTTTCTCCTGCAAAAGGGAAATTATTTCGTAATAAAAAGGCCTAAATACGATTATTTTGATTGAAATTAAAAAGGTTTAAAATTGTGAAAATTACGAAAGAATAGAGATAATAAAATGAACCTACTTTCAATTGTTGTTGCTGTTGGAGTTGTTGAGTTTGTCCCGCGGCAAGCGACGATTGTTTAATGAAAATAGTCTGTCCCTGAAGTCCATGGCCAGACAATAGGGACTTAATTTGTCCGGAACTTACCAATTTAATTTGCGACGAGAGTAAAGTTTTTCCCACGTGCTGTTGCTGTTGCTGCTGCTGTTGTGTTTTTACATTTGCCGTCTGAAGTATACTCTTCGCTCCTTGATTTGCAATAACCGTTTGCTGTTGTTGACTTTGAATTTTCGCATTTGGAAATATTGTCGCAATACTCGGCGAAGTATTACCCGAATTACTTGCCATTGTCGTTGAGACTTGTTGAGCCGAATGAAGAACCGAATGACCGGACAGTCGAATTGTTTGTAGACCAGCGGAAGTCGATACCTGAATTTGATGCGGTGGAAAGTGTTGTTGATTCGATTGCAATAGACTTTGGGATGAATTTGCCTTCACGACTGCAACATTTTTTATGCTTGGATTTGGAGTTACTTTCTTGATAGGCGGCGTTGTTAATTGTGTTCTTGTTTCGACAGGAAGGGTAGTCTCACGTGGTATTATTAAACTCGAACTTGTACTCGATGAAATTGAACTTGTCGGCGTTGTTGGCGTTGGTGTCACAACCGAGACAACATTCGCCGTCGGTGGAATTTGCGGTTGAGTTGGCTGTACAATTGTTGGTGGTTCAATTGGCGTCGCTTGCTCGAGAACTATTTTTTCCTCGGCCTTTCTTGTCTCTTTTCTAAATGAGAAGGTTTTTTGTAAATATTACGAAGAATCATGCGATTGAAGAGAAATAAATAAAATAAAAATAAAATATTTCTATATTACTATTACGAATTTTTACGAACCTGGTGATGACCGGCGCAGATTGAGCGGATTTCTTTTCCTTTTTAGGCGTCGTTTCTTTAGTGGTGTTGCTCGACTGCGTATGAGATTGATCCTTATTGTTCGCGAGTTTAGCACTCGATTGAAGAGATTTATTCCTTGACGATCCACTACTACTTTTTTTATTCTTAGGCACCCCTTGGAACTGCTGATGAAACATTTCTGAAAAGAAACATTTCTATTTTATTTCTTAGTTCACTATTTTTAACAAAATATTTCCTTCAAATTCCTTTATAATATTAACAATATGATTCAGTTGTTATTGAAAATTATATTATTTTTATAATTAAATTTTTCTGTACCAAATTCAGATTCGGAACGTGCGCGATGAAGGTAAAGCCACTCTTTTCTTCTGGGATAGTATCGAACGCAAGGATCGGCTTCGTAATGAAGTCTATCCAATGCTCCGGAGACGACTGAATGTAAATTTCCTTCCTTGTCATGACTACTGTCACTTTCGTCAATTTCCCGAATATATTGCGAATCCTTCAGTAATTGACAAATATCGGCTCGCGTTCCTTCACCATTTGGAAGTCTTGCAGTTGCATCTCTAACAAGCGCTAAAATTGTGACGAAATTCGGACGATCCGCTACCAGTAAAGAATGTCCTCGAGGTTTCGTTAAACCGGAACCTAGGTTAAATTAATGAATAAAAAGGATAATGAATAAATAAATAAACAAATAAATAAAATTAGAGTTGCCACAAAAATTTAACTTTGTTTTTCCCTGACTTTTCCCTGATTTCCAAACAGAATTTTGACCTTTTCCCTGACCCTAAAAAATAATCTGATTCAATCTAAAAATTATTAGATATTCAAAAAAAATGTTCTATTACATTTATTTACGAATTTCCTTAATTGTAAAATTATTTGAAAAAAACTTCTTTTTTAAATAAATATTTAATCATTATGTTCAAAAATTTCAAACTCAAACCTTTTTAAATTGAACAAGTCATAAGAATAGGTACTATTATAAAACATAAAGAAACGGATCACTCCGAGTCGAAGATCCCTTTCTTTATGTTTTATAATAGTTAGAAAAAACCGAGTGACAAAATCATTATTTTATATTATAAGAATATTGTTTATCTAACTTTTTCAAAATTATTCACATCGTTTAAATTAAATTAACATTTTCTACAATTTTTAACTAAAATTCTTCTTTAAATCAATTATTTTTAATATTTTTTCAAAAAGTTCTTTAAGAATTTTTAAATCCATCTGTTCAGAATTCAATTTTACGAAATTTCATCGATTATTCGAAAATTCTTCAATTAAATATGTAATTGAAAATAAAAACTGAAAATAATTTTTAAAAAAATTCAATTAAACTTTTTCAAAAAAAATTAATTCTACAGAATTGTTAGTTAAAAGAACGAAAAATTTAGATTTTCAAAGATTTCAATTTGAAACCTTTTCAAACTTCAATTATTTTTCAAAATTCACGCTTCGATGCTTTTAATATTCAATTATTATCTAAAATTTTAATTGACATTCTTTTTTAAATCATTTTTTATTAAAAAATTCTACTAGAATTCAATTATTTAAATACAAAAATAAATAATTTATTTAATAATTGAATGTTTAATGAAATTTAATTTTTACGAAGAATTTTATTAAAAACATTTGAAAATATTTAATTTCTTTTAAGGAATTTAAATTAAAATTTTACTGAAATTTATTATATTAAAGAATTTTATAACAATTTTTAAAAATAATTGCAAACTTTTTGCAGAATTTTGTTAAAATTTTTAAAAATAATTGAATTCCTGAGAAGAATTTAAATAATAATTTATGAAAATAATTAAATTCATACGAAGAATTTTATTAAATTTTGTTTAAATAATTGAATACTTGCCACGAATTTTATTAAAATTTTTGAAAATAATTGAATTCTTGATAAGAATTTCGACACCTATATTTATAAAAATAACTTAATTCTTCATTAAGGGGACACCTAAGTCACCTAAAAACAATGCAAAAAGAGTCAACTTTCGGTACACTTTTCTCGAAAACTATTATTCCAATTGCGTTCGCCCTTTTTTCATTCGATTACAAATATAATCAATTATATGAATAAGAAGTAATACGACGTTATCTTCAATAGAAACTTTTTTATGAATATTTATACCAAAAGCAAAATAAAAATCCCATTTTCTCTGATTCATTGACTCATATCTCCGTTTGTACAACTCAAAATGATGTTAAACTTCTTATTCGTATTCTTGGAACCTTACTGAACAAAGTAAAAAAAAAAATTACAAATTGGTTTAGTAGATTCGGAGAAAAGTGTACCGAAAGTAAAAAATTGGAAAAAAACAATTTTTACAGGAGACACGAAAAAAGAAAAAATACTAAAAACTCATGGTATTCAGAATCATCTAATCAGATTTTTTCAACTCTTCAGAAAAGGTTTTAAAAAGTCTTGTTCTATTCCTAATTGAGTCTTCTTTTAAAAAATCAAATAAAAAAAAATCGATTTTTTTATCATTTTTCCACTTAGGTGTCCCCTTAAATGTTTCAAAAATTTTGAAAATTATTTAATTTCTGTAAACTATTTTATCACTTTTTAAAAGAATTAAATTCTCGTGATAAATTTCGATATTTATCAAAATAATTGAATTTTGGAAAAGAATTTCATTAAAATTCCTTAAATCCTTAATTAATTAATTAAAAGTTATTTATGAAAATAATTGAATCATTGCAACGAATTTTATTATTTTATAAAATAATTGAATGTTTCTAAAAATTGAATTCTTTCGTCAACTTTTAATAAAATTTTTAAGAATAATTACATTTATCGAGAAATTTATTTAAAATTTTATTAGAAATATTTTAAATTTTGCGATGAAAATATGTACTTGAATTCCTAAATGAAATTTTATTATTTATGAAAATAATTGAATGTTTTCGTAGAATTGTATCAAAAAATTGGTTTAATAATTAAATCTTTTGATAAATTTTATGAAAATAGTAAATATTGCAAATTATTGAATTGCGAAGAACTTTTGAAAATAATGGAAATTTGTCAAAGAATTTTATTTCAATTTTTGGCAAAAAATTTTGCTATTTGTAAAAATAATTGAAGTCTTTACGAGAGAGATGTTCGTTAAAACTTTTAAAAATAATTGAATTCTTGTGATGAATATTGTTATTTATGAAAATAATTGAATTTTGCAAAGAATTTCATTAAAATTCCTAAAAATAATTGAATTTCTCTGAAGAATTTTGTTATTTATCAAGATAATTGCGTTAAAACTTTTCAAATAATTAAATAATATTAAAAAATTCATTCTTGTCAGAAATAGAATTTTTTTTTGAAGGTTTCGTATTAGAATTGGTGGTATTTTCACAGTTTATGAGGTAAACAAAAAAGACACTAAAAATTCCGAATTTTTTTATAAATTTCAAAAATTAAATTTTTCCAGTAATTTTAATAAAAATCCCTGACTTTTTCCTGACTTCCATGACCAATTCTACATTCCATGACTTTTCCCTGATTCCCCTGACCTGTGGCAACCAACCCTGTCTATATAATAAATAAATATTCTCAAAATTCAATTGAACTATTTCTTAAAATTCCTCACCGACATTGTGTTGATAAATTCCCTTAACAGGACCAACGACTGAGGAATAGCCATGCATTCGATAAGTGAAAGCTTTATGTGGAGCGGCGTATCGCATTCTTTCCTGTCGTCGGAATTCCTCTCGTTCCTCAAATGTCGATGGTTTAACTTTCCAATCAGTGGGATACAAGGCACGTGGTGGTTCCCATTCAGCGACAGAGCTCACGAGACCAGCGTCTGTTCCCACAGATTCAGAAACAGGACTTTCCGGTCTCTGGCTACTTGGAGTCGAACAAATACTATTGTTTGCACTGACATTTGTTTGTTGTATTTGACTTTTTGTCGAATTCGCATTTTGAAGCAGCGCCTGCGGAGGTCCCAATTCGTCCCTTTTAAAAAGAAAAAAATCCAATTAATAACTTTGGTAAAATTGTTACTTTTTAGACCTTTTCGTAAATAAATAATTAAATAACTGAATAATAATTTATTTAATTAATTTGAATATCTACCTATGAAGTAGAAATCGAGCGCAAAGAACTGTGAGTCGCATATCTGAATCTCTTCCGGCGCCGATCCAAGCATAAATTCCGCGACCTTTATTTTCCAGATAAGGAACGAACTCTTGTTCTCCGTCATTTTGTTCTGAATCTTGAGGATAAGTTAACTCGCCAGCAAGAAAACCCAGAGCCAACGGCACTAAAGAGGTCCAAGACGGTGCCAAAGAATACCTAATAAAAAATTTTTAATTACTTCTTAGATTCATTTCTTCGTCACATTTGATTCAGATAAGTTTAATACAAAATCCAAATTATCTTTTTTTGAAGAAAAAGAATTATTTTTTACCAATCATTTAGTGGAGAAATGGGATTTCCCTGCCAGAGCATCACTGCGTCCTTCATTTCCGCAGTGTTCATGCGATATTCACCTTTCGAGAGGAAGGCATCGCGTAAAAGTGAAAAGAAGCAAGCGTGCGTTTCTTGCATTAATTCAATATCACCGCCATCGGGTAATGATAATTCATCACCACCTGTCACAGAGACCTCCTTCTCTGGCATCATCATCTCCTCGGCTTCACATCTAGACAAAAAAATTATTAGAATAATTATTATTATTATTTAATTTTGTATCAGTACCTATTTTTGATAAAATTCATTGATTTCCCTAACATTTTCTTTTTAAATATTTTGAATTTAAAAAATTAATGAAATTGTAATTTAGTATTTTGAAGATTAAATCACAACAAAAAATAATTTAAAAAAATTGTTATCAGTTGAAAATCATTATTATAAAGCAAAAATATTAAAATTAATTTTTTTCCATAATTTTGCGTTAAAAAGGGACTTTTTTTTAATTTTCAAAATAAAATTTTTATTATGTATATTATACCTGATTTTCAAGACATTAAAATAAGTTTGATTAAAATAAGTTTGACTTATTATTAAAATTAAAATAAGTTTGAAAAATCTTCGCTAGAATTCAATTATTTTAAAAGACATTGATAAAATTCTTTAAAACAGTTCAATTACTTAAAAGATTTTAATAAAATTCTTCAAAGGAATTCAATTATTTTGTAATTAAATACCTTAATAAGTAAAAAAACATTAATAAGTTTGATTTTTAAATAATTGAACCCCTTGATGCAAGAACCAGACGCAGCCCATTTAATTCCAATGGTCTATGTCTGGTTCTTGCATCAAGGGGTTCAATTTAGTTCTTTCATAGAATTTTGTTGCAATTTGTTAAAATTAATTGAATTGTTTGGAAGAATTTAATTAAATTTTTAAAACTAATTCAATTCTTTCGAGGTATTTAATTAAAAAATAATTGAATTCTTCTGAAGAATTTTATTTAAATTTGTAAAAATAATTGAATTTCTATAAAGAATTTTCTTAAAATTTTTGAAAATAATCGAATCCTTTAAAAGAAAATTATTTATTCTTTAAATTATAATTTTTAAAAATAACTGTTTTCTGTGCAAAATTTTATGAAATTTTTCAAAAAGAATTGAATTTCTGTAAAGATTTTTATTATTTATGAAAATAAATGAATTCATCCGAGAAATATTATTCAAAATAAATAGTTGAATTGTTTTAAAGAAGTTTATTAAAATTGTTTTAAATAATTGAATTCCTGATAGGAATTTTGTTATATACGAAAATAATTGAATTTTTTAAAAAATTTTATTCCAATTTTTGAAATTATTTGAATTGTTCGAAAGAAATTGATTAAATTTTTCAAATTACTTCAAATCTTTCGAGGTATTTAATTACGAAATAATTGAATTCCTTTGAAGAATTTTATTAACATTTTTTAAAGTACCTAATTGAAAACTTTTTTCAGAATTTAAAACAAATTTTTAAAAATAATTGAATTCCTAAGAAGAATTTAAATAATAATTTATGAAAATAATTGAATTCATACGAAGAATTTTATTAAATTTTGTTTAAATAATAATTGAATATTTGGCACGAATTTTATTACTTTTCAAAAGAATTGAATTCTTTTGATAAATTTCGATATTTATCAAAATAATTGAATTTTGGAAAAGAATTTCGTTAAAATTTCTTAAAATAATTGATTTTATGGAAAGAATTTTGTTGTTTATCAAGATAATTGAATTTTTTTGCAACCTTAAAAATTTTTTTAAATATTTGATTTTCTGCGATTAACTAAAAGTTATTTTTGAAAATAATTGAAATGCTTTCAAGAATTTCTACTCAAATTTTTGTAAATAATTAAATTCTTTATACGAATTTAATTAAAATTAGATTGAAAATAACTGAATTCTTTAAAAGAAAATTTTTTTTCCTTTAAATTATATAATTTTTGAAAATAATTGGATTTCTGTGTAAAAATTTATTGAATTTTTAAAAAATAAATAAATTTTTTCAAAAAATTTTTTTTAAAAATAATTGAATTGTTTTGAAGAATTTTGCTAACATTTTTTAAAGTAATTGAAATATTTTAAAGAATTTTACTAACATTTTTTAAGTAATTAAACTATTTTAAAGAATTTTATTAACATTTTTTATAAGTAATTGAACTATTTTAAAGAATTTTATCAATGTTTTTTAAAATAATTGAATTCTTTTGAGAAATTTTAATAACAATTTTTAAAATAATTTGAATTAACGAGTTATAAATGAATTGTATTAAATTTTCAATATGTTTTGTGAAATTGTTATTGCAGGGTTGCCACAAAAAATTAATTTTGATTTTTCCTGACTTTTCTCTGATTTCCAGACAAAATTTGGACTTTTTTCCTGAACCTAAAGACTATTCTGACTCAATCTCAAAATTATCAGATATTCATAACAATTTTCTATTATATTTACTTACGAATTTCTTTAATTGTAAAATTATTCGAAAACATCAATAAATTTATTTAAATTTATTCGTTTTTCGAATATTATTCGAATTATTAATAGAAAATATTAATTTTCGATGAGAATAAAAAGAGAAAACTTACTTGACTTCATTGAGAATGTCGATACCATCATCGAGTTGAATAGGTAATTGCATCATGTCAATACTATCCAAATCAATTTCCTTCTTGTCGACTTCCTCATCTTCTGGATCGACTCGAATACTCTCGACCGATTGTTCAATTTTTATCCTCTCCTCATATTCATAATCTTCCACTTCGCGCTTTACTTCCACCATTGGAATCATTACCGGATGAGTTTTACTAATTTTCGGTGTTGGCGGTGCCCTAAAAAAACATATTTCGAAATTATTATTAATAGTTTCGAAATTTTTAAATTAAAGCAACATCAGATTAATTACATTTTTTTAGGCTGCGGCCGTGGCTCGTATGTCTCGATTGGTTCCGATTTGATAACGGGAAAATTTACACTCGGCTGCTCTAAGTCAGCAAAATTCGAGTGTTTAATATCTTCACTCACATGTGAATAATCATTGCTTTCAATCTCATGCTTAATGACAGTTGTATTAATCTTTGGCACCGGTGGCAATGCAGGCGAGTGTTGATCGAGTTTTATTCGTTTCTTCGAACTCGGAAGTCGTATTGGTCCTGTCGCTGTTATTTTATGCTTCGAACCAATTTGCGCTCTCTGCATTAAATCGGGAAGCGAAATACCTTGAGTATTCAATTCAGGATGATTCTGGAATTGAATGAACAAGAAAGAAAATTATACTATTAAATAAGAGACAAAATAACAGTTAATAAAAATCAAGCAATAAAAAAAACATACGTCTCGACGTGTTCGTCGCTTCTTATGTGCAACGAGCATTGATCGATAAAAATCATCCGTTTGTTCTCGCATCGAAAATCGAGGGATGTATTCAGAACGATGATGAGTGGAGAATACGGGTCTAATAGAATCGTCCTCATTATCCATTTGTATACTTCTCATTAATGGAATTTGAGGTGTCATCATGGGGCGTTTACGTTTCTTTTGCTTCGAATTATTCAATTGATAGTGAGGGTAATTTTCTTCGTTTTCCGATGTCGAATCGTCAATGAGATTTGCATTCGCTCCGAGTTCAGTTCTCAATGCGTTCATTTCTTCCATATAACGCAATTGAGCTTTTTCCTCGACTGCAAAATTAATTCTATTTAATATCTCAGACTTTGCACTCGATAATTAATTTTAAAAAAGTAGCAAAAAGTAACTTTCAAACTAAAAAAAAGTAGTAAAAAAGTAGCTACCGAAAAATTAAAATTGACGACCAAAACAACTCATTTTAGACACTTGACAAAACTGACAAAAATTACATTCAAAATTTTTTATTTTCCTGACTTTTTCCTAATTTTCATCAAAAATATTTACTTCTTTTTTATCCTGCTAATAAATTGAAATCCTACAAGGAATTTTATTATTCATGAAAGAATTTAAATATATTTATAAAAATAATTTAATTCTTATGAAGAATTTTATAAAAGTTTTTTAATAATTCATTTCTTTAGACTAATTTTATGCAAATTCTAATTTAAATACATAATTGAATTCCAGAGAAATTTTTATTATTCATAAAAAGAATTGAATTCTTACGAAGCTTTTAGAAAAATTTTTTTTAATAATTGAATTCTGTTTGAAAATTTTATGAAAATAGTAGATATTAAAAAAATCATTGAATTGCGAAAAGATTTTTAAAATAATTAAATTTTTCAAAGAATTCCATTAAAATTTTTGAGAATAATTGAATGTCTGTGCGGCATTTTATTAAATTTTTTTGAAAATAATTGAATTCCTAAAAAGCATTTTATTATTTCAGGGTTGCCACGCTTTTGCTCTTTTCAAATTCCCTAACTTTTCCAGGTTTTTAAAACGAAAATTATTCGAAAATATCAATAACTTAATTTTCAAATAAATATTTAATCATTATTTTTTTTATAGAAATTAATTATTCAAAAATTTAAAATTCAATACCATGTAAGAATATTATTATAAAACATGAAGATATCGATTACTCCGAGTCTTCGACTCGGAGTGATCGCTTTCTTCATGCTTTATAATAATTAAAACTTGGTACTTTGTTACTATAACTTCTTCAAAAATTATTTTCATCATTACGATTATTCATTTCTAGAATTTACAACTAAAATTCTTCTTTAAGTCAATTTTTTAAAAAGTTCTTTGTGAATTTTCAAATTCTTTTGTTTACAATTTCATTTTACGAGTTTTCGATTATTCTGACATTCTTTAATTAAATACATTAGAAATTAAAAACTTCAAATAATTCAAAAAAATTTCATTAAACTCATTGAAAAAAATTAATTCTATAGAATTCTTAATTAAAAGTATGAAAAGTTCAAATTTTCAAAGATTTTAATTTGAAATTCATTTTTAAATCAATATTTATTAGAAAATTCTACGAGAATTCAATTATTTAACTATAAAAATAAATATTTTATTAAACAATTAAATGTTTCTTAAAATTTAATTTTCATAAAGAATTTTGTCAAATTTTCTCTTGACAAATTTTAATAAAATTTTTAAGAATAATTGCATTTTTCGAGAAATTTGATGAAAATTGTATTAAAAATAATTGAAATTTTGACAAGAATTTTTATAAATTTTTAATCATAATTGGATTTCAGCGAAGAATTTTATTTAAATTATTTTGAAAAAATTGAATTGTTACGCAAAGAATTTCATTAAAATTTTTTTTCTTTTTCAATTCTTTAAAGAAATTTAATTAAAAATGTATTGAAAATAATACTTAAATTCTAATAAATAAATTGTAGCAAAGGTTATTAAAATAATTACATTTCTTTGATAAACTTTAATAAATTTTTTTGGAATAATAACTTTTTTCCAGGAATTCTATTAAAATTGTATTAAACATAATTGAAATTCAGCATTGAGTTTTCATTATTTATGAAAATAATTAAATGTTTGAGTAGAATTTTATTAAACATTTTTTTAACTAATTGCATTCTTTTAGGAATTTTTAATAAAGTTGTAAATATTAGAAATCATTGAATTGAGGAAAGTTTTTGAAAATAATTGAATTTTTGAGAAGAATTTTACTACTTTTAAAAATAATTGAATTCTTGTGATGAATATTGTTATTTATGAAAATAATTGAAGCTTACAAAGAATTTTATTAAAATGCCTCAAAATAATTGAATTTTCGGAAATAATTTTGTTCTTATCGACATAGTTGAATACTTTCGAAAAATTATTTATGTAAATAATTGAATTCTTAGGAAGAATGTTATTAAAGTCTAAAAGAATAATTGAATTATTTCAAAAAAATTTAATTAAAATTGTATTTAAAACAATTGATTTCTTTCGAACAATTTATTAAAATATTTAAAAATAATTGAATTCTTGTGAAAAATTCTTATATTTTTGTAAATAATTGAATTCTTCAGAAAATTAAAAAGAAAAACGTTTTTTTAAACAATTGTTTTTTCGAGGAATTGAAATTAAATTTTTAAAGAATAATTACATTTTTTCGGCAATTCCTGTAAAATTGTATTAAAAATACATAATTGAAATCCTGCGATGAATTTTATTATTTATGAAAGTAATTAAATAGTTGCTAAAAATTTTATTAAAATTTTTAAAATTAAATGAATTCCTGAGAAGAATTTGATTATTTATAAAAATAGTTGAATTATTGCGAAAATATTATGAAAATTTTATTTTAAATAATTGAATTCTTGTGGAAAATTTTATTTGTGAAAATAAATGAATTTTTCGATTAATTAATTTTAAATAGTATTATAAATAATTGAAATTCTTTGATGAGTTTTATTATTTACGAAAATAATTGAATTTTTGCTTAGAATTTTAACAAAATTTTTTTTTTTAAATAAATAGTAGCATAACGTAAAAAAAATAGTAAATAGTAGATTTTAGTAGATGAGTGCGAAGCCTGATATCTTTTAATAAAAAAATGTGCGGAAAACCTACCTAAAGCTGGTTTTGGCCTCTTCCAATGTAATTTAGACACTGTTTTATGTGTTGTTTGACTGAATCCTTGTTTATAGGCATTAACCAGTAAATTTTCGCGGGACTTTAATAATTTATTTGCTAATTCATAGGCGTGTTTACGTTCCTCGAATAAAGCCCTTCGATGTTGTGCCTTACGGACCAAATTGCGAATTCTTCTTATATCGGGACGAAAATAACCAGTCGAGAGATTTTTATGAAAAGTGTCTAGAGGCGAAAGACCGAATCTAAAATAGAAATTACAAGATTTTTCTCCAATTTACAAATTACTTTTTGACTGTTTTTCATACCTATCATTCTCTCCGTTAAAGAGCATTTTTACAGTTTTGTCCAATTCCATTTCGGTGTTGCAATCCTTTGGAAATTGGGGCAAAAGATTGTATAAATTTTCCTTTTGACTATCGGTTAATGATTCTTGCCATAGTCTTGGATAATTGAACATTTCCCGAAAAATAGAAGTATGCTCGCATAAATCTTGTGGTAATTTAACTTTAATACCGGCTGCAATGCACGTCTCCCATCGCTAAAAGAAAAATATTATTGAGACTGAATTCAAACAAGTGAATTTCAAATAAAAGAAAACTTGCCAGTAAATCCTCATTTTCGTCGCCTTCATCCTTATTTAAATCGTCATCGTTTTTATCGTCCTCATCATCTACAGACGAAATTCCATCAGAAACACTCGTGACATCGTCTTCGGAATCATCGCCACTTTCTGAGGAAGAACTACTGTCACTACTGTTACTCGTACTAGTGTTACTTCCAGAACCTTGAGACATATCGTCGTCCTCGTCTTCTTCAGCACCAGAATCTCCATTAGCTGAGCACTCGTCAACCTAAGAGCATAAAATTTATTAATAAAATTGGAGAAAAATAGAGGAAAATGTACATAAAAAAATTAACACCCAATAAAACAAAAAAATTAGGGATCGACATTCTGTAAATACTGAAAGACAATTAGAAATCAAGGTTTTTAATTGAGAAACCACGGTCGAATTGGTTTAATTGCAAAATTACCAAATATAAATAGAGCAAAACTAACCTCCATTTTGATTGATATCAAGACTGCTACTTTTTTTTAACAATTAAGAAATATGCAATGACGCACAATGTTGATTCACACAAATGTGAAAAAAGTCTTTATTTTCCTTAATTTATGGAAAGACGATAACAAACAGACGAAATGATAATCAATTTTTTTTCTAAAGTGAAATTTTCTATACACTTTTTATTGATCGTACTATCGTACTTTACGTATTTTAACCTTAGAAACTTGCGGTTCTTTACCGTGAGTTACGAATGCATTTGAGTGAACGATACATAAGGGGAAAATTAAATTTACTTCATACTGTCTAAATTAGACGCATCAATATTGTTCTATTTGTTGACAATAATTCTAGAACATTGTAGAAGCCAATCAGAAACATTGGTCGAAGGGAAATTGTCGTCCTATTATTAATTCGAGATTATTCTTGATAAAAGTTTTCCCGCCAATATTGTCCGGCATGTTCTGCTGCGTTGCTATGTAGTTTGTTAACACATTTGTGTTTATCCTGTTTATTTACTTCTTAAAATTATTTAACACAATCTTTAATTCAGTTTTTAACGTGCTTTTTATTCGAGTAATTTGAAAAGTACATATTTTTTAAAATGGATGACTCGCAGCGTAAGTTTTATGAATTTTATTTCAATTTTTGCGATTGTCAACATAACCAAAAAAAATGCAAATTGTTTTATGAAAAATAATACACTTTATACACTTTATAAATAAAAATAAAATTTTAAATTGTAGTCATAGATTTAATTCATATAATTTCGAGTATGTTTTTAAAAACATTTTATGTTAAAGATATTTTTGTTATAAATTACTCTTTTTTATAATTGTCACTGTTTTTGTTTTTTTATTGATTCAAAGACAATGTAAACAAAAAAAAAAGTTTAAATATATTTTTAACTTACCATTACTTGAATATTTACAATTTTACATTAATAATATAATTTTGCATTTAACAGCTTCCTCAGGGAGGGTGAAACGTCAAAAACTTGACAAAGCCGGACGCTTTTCGGCCTTAGAGAAATTAAGGCAATTAAAAGGTGCCAAAAATAAATATGAAGTCGATAATTTGGAAAATGTTTATGATCAAGTGGAGGAGAAGGAATATAATAGAAAAGTTTTGGATCGACAAGCTGACGACTGGATAGTCGATGATGGTAATTTTTCTAATTCTAAATTAATAAATAATCAAATATTTTTAATTTTAACAATAACAGTTGGTCACCTTTTCCCCTTTTGTCCCCTTATTTCAATTTTATCACCTTTTTTTGTCGATTTTTCACCTTTTTCCCCTTTTTTGCTGATTTGTCCCCTTTTTCTAATCAAAAGTAAACAAGTTTTTCTTTTTTTTAAATCTTTTTCAAACTGCAATCATAAAATTTAGACTCAATGTTATAGAATTCAGTGCGTTTTATTTCTGATTTAGATCATTAACACCACAACATAATATAAATACGTTTTTTTATGTTAATGATTTAAATAATATAGATATCGTGAAGAACTTTATAAATTTTAAGGTGGTTCATTCAACAGAATGCAGACCTTTAAAAAAATAATTAATTAACATTCAAATAATTAAAATATTATTATTAATAGTTTTTTCTAGAAAAAACAAAAATTCTAATACAAAACCTTCAATTTTTTCCACTTCTAACAATAATTTCTTTTTAAATAACTTAATTGAATTTTTGTGAAAAATTTTTTTATTTTTGAAAATAATTGAATTTTTGTAAAGAATTTTATTAAAATTTTTGAGAATAATTGTATTTCTTGGAATAATTGTATTAAAAATTTTATAGAATATTTAAAATTCTTCTAGAAATTTTTTTATTTACGAAAATGATTTAATTTTTTATGTTTCAAAATAATTGAATTTTTGTAAAGAATTTTATCAAAAAGGTTAAAAATAATTTCGATTTTATAGTGCAAAAGTAAAAATGTGGCTTTTTCACAAGTTTCATTATTTATCTTGGACTATTTTATTTATTTTTGATTTTTTGACTTTGGACATTTTTATTTTATTTTATTTTAGATTTTTTGTACTTTGGACTTTTTTTCTTGGACTTTCCGGTCTGGATTTATTGAATTGGATTTTTTGTCCTGTAATTGATATTCAATATTTACTATTTTTATAAAATTTTCCAAAAGAATTCAATTATTTAAAAAATTTTTTATTAAAATTATACGCAAACGTTTAATTATTATCATAAATAATAAAATAATTTAACAAGAATTTTTTGTAAATTTCTTCGCTATATTTCCATTTATAATATATCCATATTTTTATAAATAATCAAATTCATCGCAGAATTTTAATTGTTTTTAGTAAAATTTTAATCAAATACCTCCAAAAATGTAATTATTTTTTTTAATTTTATTAAAATTCGTCGAAAGAATTTAACTATTTAAAAATTTGTTAATAAAATTCTTTATAAGAATTCAATATTAAGAAACATTCAATTATTCAATACAAATTATTTATTTTTGTATTTAAATAATTGAATTCTCGTAGAATTTTCTAATAGAAATAGATTTAAGTGAATTTCAGTTAAAATTTTACATAATAATTGAATATTAAAAGCATTATACTTGAATATTTAGAAATAATTGAATTTTGAAAAAGTTTCAAATTGAAATCTTCGAAAATTTGAATTTTTCATATTTTTAACTAACAATTCTGTAGAATTAATTTTTTTCAAAAAGTCTAATTGAAATTATTCGAAGTTTTTATTTTCAAATATATATTTAATTGAAGAATTTCCGAATAATCGATGAAATTTCGTAAAATTGAATCGTAAAGAAATACGTTTGAAAATTCTCAGAATTTTTTTAAAAATTATTGTGAATAATTGATTTAATGAAGAATTTTATTTAAAAATTCTAGAAAATAATAATTGAATTGAAATGATGAAAATAATGTTGAAGTTTTCGTTTTTAATTTTAATAACAGCTGTAAAATAATTATAAGAATTCTAATTAATATTTTTATGGAGGTGGTGGAGGCTACGTTGAAGATGGCAGAGAAATATTCGACGACGATATGGATGAGGACAGTATTCAAGCTGCAAAGCAAACAAGTACAATGGGTCCAAGAAAAAAGGCAAAAATCGCCGCTAAAAATAAAGGAAACATTAAAAATTTGTTTATGAATATGGCTTCAAAGGCTAAGGTCGCTGAAAAAATAAACGACGATAATATTCTTGGTGATCTTATGTCAGAATTAAAAAGCGAGGACAACACACCAAATCGTTCAGTTAAACGGAAAAATAAATTTGCCGTTACAAAACCAGAAGCGTGAGTTGAAACAAATATTCCACCAAAAAAAATTTTTATTTACACCTTTTTTCTATTTTAATATTTTTTTGTTTTTTAATTTTCATTTTTAGTTCTTCGGCTTCAAAAGTTTCAAAAACCAATCTGGAGGATACACTGGCAAAAATTGAAGCTGACGAGAATATGTTGATTATCGATGCGCCAAGTAAAAATTCTTCAAAATTAAATGTAAAGAAAGAACGGAGTTCGATTTTAGAACAAAATAGTAGTCAGGTGATTGAGGATTTTGACGATTCATATACAAATGAAATTCACGATTCTGGTAAACCTTCGAGTCAAATAATTGAGGATCCTGATACAAATGATACTCCAAGTTCGAAAGATGTTGGTTCTAGTCAAATTATCGAAGATCCAGACAGTGAAGATGTTAAACCGATATTAAGCCTTGAAAACGTAGGTTTATCTCAATTTTTATACTTATTATTTTCATTATTGTAAATAATTTTTACCTATTTTTTATTTACCTTTTTTACTATTTTATCATATTTGTTTCCTTTTTTGTATTTATATGTAAAATTTTTTAAATTCGAAATTGAAAATTAAAATTAAAAACTAAATTTATAAATCAAAAATTAAAAAATGTAGGTATATTTATATTTTAATTGAGCGAAATTTGTAGATTCCCGATATGAAAGATTTTGAGGACTCGGAGTTTTCAATTTGCAAAACGAAAACAGAGGAAATAGCAAAATCAGTTCAAGTTGCTTCTGAAATGGACAAAATGGATTCAAGTGAAATGATTCTAGATTGGGAAGATGATTTCAAATTTCAAGCGGATGAAATTAAGGAAACGAGCGATGACAAAAATATAACATTACCCTTAAGTACAAATGAGGCGGGAGAAAGTACTTTTCGATTTTATTGGTGGGACGCTTATGAGGATCCATATCGTATGCCCGGTACTGTTAATCTTTTTGGCAAATTTTACTTGGAGTCGAGTAAAACATACGTTTCTTGTTGCGTTGTGGTGAAGAATATTCCTCGGCGAATTTACATTTTACCAAGAGAACAGGTATTTAAAAATAGAAAAATGCATGTTAACCACATCAATTAAATTCAATTAAAAATTGTAATTCAAAAGAATTCCAATTTTTAAAAACAATTTAAAAAATAATTAATGAAATTACAATTAAAAAAACTACAATTACAAAAAATTCCAATTACAAAAATTAGTTAGAAAAAACCAATTAAAAAAATTATGTTTTAGTTGAAACCGGTATTGAAAGATGAAGAATCGAGGGAAACAACAATGGAGGACGTTTACGATGAATTTAATAATTACGCTGGAAGAAATGGCATCAAGGAATTTCGTTCAATGAAAGTAACGAAGAATTATTCTTTTGAACGTGAAGGCACGCCAAAGACTGCGGAGTATATGGAGGTTCGATATTCAGCATCGTATCCACAATTGGATGCCTCTTACAGTGGACGAGCAATTGAAGCGGTTTTTGGAACGTCTGTCAATGCCTTGGAATATCTGTTGATCGAGAGAAATATCAAGGGTCCTTGTTGGTTAGATATCAAGTGTCCAACTGTCGTTGATAATCCCTTCACTTGGTGTAAATTTCAGGTAATTAAATTAATAAAATTAATAATAAAATCTTTTATATTAATAATCGTTGTATAGCGGTAATTCGTTTTCTAACTTTTTAAAAAAAATTTTTTTTTTTAATATTTTCAATTTTAAAATTAATATAATTATTGAAAATCATTGAATTCCTGTAAAGTATTTATCAAAAAAATTTAAAGAGAATAATTGAATTCCTTCGAAAAATTTTTTTAATTTATGAAAATAATTGAATTCTCGCGATGAATATTATTAAAATTTTTAAAAATCCTAATTAAATTCTTTTAAAAAATTTCTTTAAATTTTTTTAAAATAATGAAGTTTGATTAATAATTTTAATTGCAAATTTCGAAAGCAATTGAATTTTATGAAGAAGAATTTTATTAATTATATTTTATTATTTATAAAAATAATTGAATTCTTCCGGAGAATTAATTAAAATTTTAGAAAATAAATGAATTTCATGTAAATATTTAAAAATAATTAAATTCTTTCGAGGAATTCTATTAAAATTGTTTTGAAAAGAATTGAATTTGTGCAAAGAATTTTACTATTTAATTTATAAAAATAATTGAAATGTTTCGAAGAATTTCGAAGAATTATTAAACTTTAAGGAAATAATTGAATTGTTTTGAAGAATTTTTTATTTTCAATACAGTTTTAATTAATTTAATCGAAAATTTCAATTATTTTTAAAAATCTTGTAAAAATTATTCGAGAAAATTCAATTATTTTAAAAAATAATTGAATTTTTCACAGGATTTCCAATTATTTAAAAAACTTTTAATAAAATTCAATTCAAGAATTCAATTATTTTGAAAAATAATGAAATTTTCGCTGGAATTCAATTATTTTAAATACAATTTTAATTGAATTTCAGAAAAAAATGAATTTTTCAAATTCATCGAAAGAATTCAATAATATCAATAAGTAGTAAATTTTTCATAGGAATTCAATTATTTTAAATACAATTTTAATAAAATTCTTCTCAAAAATTCACTTATTTTTTTAAATTTTGCAAAAATTCAATTATTTGTAGAAATAAAAAAATTTTTTCGCAGGGATTTAATTATTTAAAAAGTTTTAATAGAATTCTATTCAAGAATTCATTTTTTTCAGAAATAATTAAATTGTCGTTGTTCTGAAAATCACTGAATTCTTGTAAAGTTTTTATAAAAAAATTTGAAAATAATTGAATTAATTTCAAGAATTTTATCAATTTTTTTTCAATAATTTAATTCTTTCAAGAAAATGTAATTAAAATTGTTTTAAAAATAATTTAATTAAATAAAAAAAAAAAATTTAATTTAATTTTTTTTTTATTTTTTTAATTGGCAAAATTTGTATTAAAATTCTTTAAAGTAATTAAATCTTAAAATATATAATTGAATTTTTTTTCTAGAAATGTTATTAAAATTGCATTGAAAATAATGAATTTCTCCAAAACATTTTATTATTTATGAAAATAATTGAATTTTACAATTTATAAAAAGAATTGAATTGTTTCGAAGAATTTTTTATCAAAATTGATGAAAATAATTGAATTTTTATGAAAACTCTTGAAAATAATTGAATTTAAATAATATTTTTACAATAATTGTATTCTTTCGAGAAATTTTATTAAAATTGTATTGAAAATAATTGAATTCGTTTGTAGAATTTTATTATTTATGAAAATATTTTTATTCCTGCGAAAAATTTTCTTATTTATGAAAATAATTAAATTCTTGCAGAGGATTTTACAATTCATAAAAATAATTGAATTGTTTTGAAGGATTTTAACTGAATTTTTAAAAATATAACATTTTTTAATTTTTACTGAAAATATGACGTATAATTTTTAAAGGAGAATTTTTATTTAATAGAAATAAATTATTATCGTCTGGAATTTAAACATTTACAATTAAACAATTTACAATTAACCATTTTCATTTTATCCAGGTGAATTGCTTGAAACCGGAAAATATAACAGTTGTTAATCGAGATTTACAAAAAGCAATACCACCAATGGTTGTTGCTACTTTGAACGTTCGATCGGCTTTAAATCCAAAACATCATCAAAATGAAGTTGTTATGGTGGGTGTTTTACTGCAGCATAAATATCAAATTGATAAAGCAGCGCCGAAACCTCATTTTGATCAACATTATTGTCGTGAGTATTTTTCTAGTTTTGTTTTGATTTTTTAAATATTTTCTTTGGAAAATCTAAATGATACTTCCACAAAAGTAATACCTATTTATATTAGAATTGTTATTTTGTTACTATTATTAGTTACCATTCTATTTTCAAGTGCAAATAAATTATAATATTAAATATGTAATAATTTAACAGTAAAGAGATAAATAATTTAATGTAAAAAATAATAATTATTGTATGTTTAGTTATAACGCATCCGAAAGAAGTTCCCTGGCCGTTGCATGCGAAAGATCGACTTTCGAAAATCAAAAATACGAATATGATTCGTTGTGACTCGGAGCGCGATTTACTTGAGGAATTATTGAAAATCATACAAAAATCCGATCCAGATATGATTCTTGGCTATGACACTGGTTTTCAATTTGATCTCCTCATGCATCGAATTCTCAAATGTTCGGTGTCAAATTGGAGTCGAATGGGAAAATTGAGAAGATCTCAACCCCCAATGTTTAAGGTGAATACTGAAAAATTTCTCAACTGTTAACAAATTTAATTTTTGTTAATTTTACTTAAATTTCTTCGATTCAATTTAAAACTTCGTTTTTATTAAATTATTCCCCTTAGTTTAATTTCTCGTTTTAATTAAATTTTTCTCCTTTGTTTAATTTTTCCTTTCAATTAAATTATTTGATTTAGATTAATTTTTCCTTTCAATTAAATTATTCGCTTTAGTTTAATGTTTCCTTTTAATTTAATAGTTGAAACGTTTTAATTTGTTTTAAAGGGAAAAGTAAATGTGGCCGCAGCATTTTGTGGCAGACCAATTTGTGATATTCAAACTTCAGCGAAAGAATTAAATTTAAAAGTGAGAAGTTATGATCTCCAATCGCTTTGTGTTGCGGTAAGTAAAATTCTAAAGAAGATTTTCCTTCTGACACATTAAATTTAATTATTTAAATGTTTTACATAGACTTAACATAATAAACAAAATTTACTGTTAAAGGTTCTTAAAAAGAATGAAAAGGAGTGCAAAGAAATAACTCCAGTAGAGTGTATCAAATTTTACAATACGGTGGAAAAAATAGAAAATCTCGTAAGACTGACAATGCTCGAAGCATCGAACATTATTTCCATAGTTTTCGAATTGAATATAATCCCTCTCGCCCTACAAATTACGTGCATTGCCGGTAATTAAAATAATAATTTAAAGTTTTTAATTATTAATTTTCGAAAGTAATTTTCGAATTTATTGTGCATTGTAATGGTTGGTTGTAATTGTTTATTCTTTGTTTGTTTTCTTGTAATTGTTTATATTTATTATATTAAAGGAAGAAGGTTATTATTATTTTAATAATATTAGTTATTTATTATAGTTAGAACACTCTATTTTGTAGGTAACATTCTTTCGAGAACATTATCTGCTGGTCGAGCTGAAAGAAATGAATATCTTCTATTGCACGCTTTCCACGAAAGGGGCTACATTACTCCCGATAAGAAGCAAAATAAGAAGGGGAAGGACGTTACTGAGAGTAAAAATACTTATTTATAATTATTTTAATCAAAAATTAATTTTATTTAATAATCACTGCATAAAATTGTTTCTCTTTTGAATTATATATTTTTGCAAAATTTATATTACGTTTTCTATAATCTATATTCTTCTAGTAAATCAATTTAAATAACGAAATTAATTTTTAGGTCGCAGAAAAAAACCAGCTTACGCCGGTGGTTTGGTATTAGATCCAAAGAAAGGATTTTATGAGAAATTAATTTTACTAATGGACTTTAATTCATTGTATCCGAGTATTATTCAAGAATATAATTTATGTTTCACAACTGTTCCTGGCGCAGCATTCGCTGACTTTGAGGTAAGAGACAAATTTTCAATTTTGTAAAATTCTAATTTTAAACAATAAAATAAATAAATTTCTCCCTTTCTTTTAGGATTTAAATCTTCCGGAAACGGATTTAGAACCGGGAGTGGTACCAACGGAAATTCGTAAATTGGTTGAAAGTCGTGTGCAAGTAAAGCAAATGATGAAAGCTCAGTATCTTGCGCCAGAGTTAAAAATGCAATACAATATTAGACAGATGGCTTTGAAGCTAACAGCAAATTCAATGTACGGTTGTCTGGGAGCGACACATTGTCGATTTTACGCGAAAGGATTGGCAGCTTTAGTAACAGGTAAAAATAATTGTCATGCAAAAAAAAACAATAATTATTAACTAATGATACATTTTAATATTATTGTAGAATTCAATTTATTATAAATTTTCTTAATTTTCTAATTATTTTCCTATTAATAATTTCGTTAATAATCCATTAATTTTAATATTTTTGGCGACAAATTTTTATGCAAATCTAAACAAATATTTCAGCAAAAGGAAGAGAAATTTTGCAAAGTACAAAACGTCTTGTGGAGAAATTAAACTATGAAGTAATTTACGGTGACACTGATTCAATCATGATCAACACGAATATCGTTGATTACGATGAAGTTTTTTCTATCGGAAAAAGGGTATTTTTTAATTTTATTTCTTCTTGAAAATTTATTTAATTTTATTAAAATTTCAATTTTATTTGAAATTTAAATAAGTTTTTCCTAAAGAATTTTCAAATATTAAAAAATTTTTTTGCCTAAATAGATCAAACAGGAAGTCAATAAACTTTATCGAAAAGTGGAATTAGACATCGATGGGGTTTTCAAATATTTGTTGCTTTTGCAAAAGAAGAAATACGCTGCAGTTACTATGTCAAAGGCAGCAAGTGGAAAAATTATCTTAAATCAAGAGCACAAGGGTCTTGATATTGTCAGAAGGGATTGGTGTCCATTAGCTAGCGAAACTGGAAAGTTAGTTGAAATACAATTAATTATTAATATATCAATTAATTTATCTAAAAATAGAATTTAATTTATTTTTTTTACAATATTTCAGAACTATTTTGGATCAATTGCTATGTGATCAGCTCAGTGAAATTCGAATGGAAAATATTTTCACATATTTGCAAAAAGTTGCGACAATGGTGAAGGAAAATTCCGTCCCACTATCGAAGCTTGTAATTACTAAGCAATTGTCAAAAGATCCAAATGATTATCCAGATAAAAAGCAAGCTCACGTTTTGGTTGCTCTAAGACTGAATAAAGAGGGCGGAAGAATGTGGAAAGCTGGTGACACTATTCCTTATATTGTTTGCGACGTAAGATTTATTTATTAATTTAAAAAAAATTAAGAAAAATAAAATAAAGAAAAAAAAGTAAATTAAATTTCATTTTCTCTTCTTTCCAGGATGGTACAGATAAATCAGCAACGGAGAGAGCCTATCATATTGAGGAATATAATAAAAACATCAATGTTTTTAAAATAGACGCCGATTATTATTTACTGAGTCAAGTATTTCCCGTTATTAATCGAATTTGTGAGCCGATTGATGGGATCGATGATGCTCTACTAGCAGAACATTTGGGTAAGTTTTCACTGCAATTAATTTTATTAATAGGTACTTAAAATTTTTCATTATTCAGGGTGGTCACAAGTTTCAGTTTATTAATTTCCCTGACAATTTACTGACATTAAAATTACTTTCCCTGGCAAAATTCTTTTTACAGGAAAATATGAATGTTTACGAAAAATGAGTAAAATTTATGAATTTTAATAATTTCTAATGAATTCAATTATTTTCTACAATTTTCAACTAAACTTCATCTTTGAATCAATTAATTTAAATAATTTTAAATAATTTTTTATAATAAATTGTAACTCTCCGTAATTTCTTCTTAAGTTATTAAAATATAATATTTTCAAAAAATTATAAAGAAATGCTTACAATTAATTTTTTAAAAATATTTTTAAATAATTTTTGAAAGATAATAGTTGTTCAATTTTAAAAAATTTCCAAACAATTAAAATTTGGTAAAATCTTTTAAAGATAATTGAATTTTTGAAAAATATAAATGAAAATGATCAAATTTTTAAAGAATTTTAATTATCAACAGGACCATGATTTCCCAAAAATTTTAATAAGTCCAGAAAGTAAATCTTCATAAATTTTTATTTACATTGCTTGAAGATAATTGAATCTTAAAAAATTATTATAAAACAAATCTAATAATTAGGTTTTAAAAATATTTTAATGTAATTTTTCGAAAATAATTGAATTTCTTAAAAGAATTTTTGTATAATTTAAAAAAACTAATAAGTTTTTTGATGAATTTTAATTAAAAGTTTTTGAACATGATTGGTTTCTCCAAAATGTTAAAAATAATTCTAAAATATGTATGTAATTGAAAATATATTGAATTTTAAAAAAATTAGAAGCTAATTTTCATTTTTAAATTTACCTTTAAATATTTTCCATTAAAATTTTTAATAATTCAATTGCTTTCAAAATTTGCAATTAAAATTCTTCAAAAGTTGATTTTCAAAAATTGTAAAAAAAATACTTGAAATAAATTAATTATTTTCAATTAAATTTTAGAAAATTTCAACTATTCGAAAAGATTTTTATTATAGATATATTTTAAAAATGTAATTATATTAAAAAATGATTCAAAAACAATTTTTGAAAGATTTATTTATAGTTATTTTTCGCATTATAAAAATCAAAAGTTGCACTTTGTTACTAAAAAATTATGGTATTTTCTTGCATTGTTTGGAAGAAAAGTCGAAAAAGTTGCTATTTTTGAAAATAAGTAGAAAAAAGTCTCAATTTTCTTAATTTTCCTGACAAACAATTTTTTTCCTGACATTTCCCTGACTTTACTGACTTTACTGATATGTAACCACCCTGTTATTGATAAATTTGAATTTTAAATAGAACTGCATTTAGTTTATTGAAATATGATTTGAAATTTGATATAATGTGATAAAAATCCTTTTTGCAAAATAGGTATTGCACATTTGCATAAATCAAAGAGACCGATTTACGAGCAAGAAGAAACGCACATTGCACCATCGATTGATGAAGATAAATTCAAATATTGCATTCCATTGAAATTAAAGTGTCAGAATGAAAGCTGCAAAGCAGAAATTGAAATAAGCGATGTTGTTATTGATAACGTGAGTAAATTATTTATTTTTTACTAAATATATTTTCTTCTATTTAAAATTTTTTCCTCCAGGGTACAAGTGTTGAACCGTCTTTAATGAAGTGCTCAAATCCCGATTGCAAATTACAACCTTGGACAAATAAAGATTCAATAATTAATACAATACAATTGGAAATTAGAAAAATAGTTACCGATTATTATCGCGGATGGTTAGAGTGCGAAAATCCAATTTGCAATTATCGAACTAGATACATTCCATTATGTCCGTCTGGAAATAATTTAAAGTGCACTCAATGTCAAAATGCCAACATGCATCGAGTCGTAAGTGAATAAATGTGAAATATTACTAATTTAGATTTTTTAAAAAGTTAGTATTAAACTAACGAAGTGAAAAATCGAAACGAAATAAAAAAATTTTATAATTGTATTTAAGTTTAATAATTAATTAAATTTTTGTTAATTTTTCAGTATTCGGAGTCACAGTTATACAAGCAACTTTCATTTTACGTGCATATATTTAATTTGAATGACAGGAGTTTAAAAAGTAAGAAAAAAAATCGATTTATGAGTAATTAAAAAAATAATTTATTCAAAAAATAGTATGGAATTAATGAATTTTAATCAATTTCAGAATATAATTTTAATAATGTTTTGTCGAGGGAATGTAGAGCTGCTTATGATACTATAAAGGAGCATGTCGAAAAGCAATTGAGACGAAACAGTTTTTCAGTAGTTAATTTGGACAACATTTCTGCCAAAACCGTGACGAAGGGAGGTTTTCAAGCGAAACTTGAAGAAGAGTGGTCCGACTTCGAAGACGATGAAGAAGATTTTGTAACGAATGCCAGTCAATATTTCAATCAAAGTGTAAGTTCCTTAAAGTATCATAATTCAAATCAAAATTTAAGAAATTTATTCTAAATTGAGAAATTTATTTCAATTTCTATCAAAATAGGTATGTAATTATTAAAATTGAATTTAAATTAAATAGTATTCTATAGAATTTATTCATAATACTAGCAAATATTACGAGCGCGGAATATGGTATTCAATTTATTATTATTATGAAAATGACAAAAATTTTTATTTCCAAATAAAATTTTTTGAATAATTTCATAATCAGAATTTAAAAAATCTATTTATTAAGTAGGTACATAATTGATTATTATTATTTATATCTTCAAAAATTTTAATTTCTTCGCAAAAATTCAATTATTTTCATAAATAATAACATTCTTCGGAAGAATTCAATTATATCTTTATATAGTAGAATCTTTGCAAATATTCATTATTTTCAATAAAATTTCATGAAAGAATTGAATTTTTTTTTAATTCATTTTAAAAATTTACAAAAGAATTCAATTATTTTCTAAAATTTTTATAAATCCTTCAAAATAATTCAATTATTTCTTTAAATAATAAAATTTTTGCAAAAATTAATTATTTTCAATAAAATGTTACTAAAGAATTCAATTATTTTTTTAAATTATAATAAATCCTTCAAAACAATTCAATTATTTTTATGAATTGTAAAATTCTTTGCAAAGATTCAATTATTGTGAAAAAATATTGCAACTGCACTATTTTTTAAAAAACTTTTAAAAATTCTTCAAAAGAATTTAATTATTTTCAAAAACTCTAATAAAATTGTTTAAAAAAGTTTAGCTTTCTATCAATATTTTTAACAAAATTTTAATAATGAAGTTATTAATTACAATTTTTAACAAAATTGTTTATATTCAGTAAATTAATGAAATTTTTTGATAGAATTTAAATTTTTTTCTATATTTTAATAAAATTCCTTCAGTTTTCCTTGAATGAATTGAATTATTTTAAAAAATTGTATCGAATAAAATTCTCAGAAGAATTTAATTATTTAAAAACATTTTTTTAAATTTAATAATTAAATCTATAATGTTAATTATTAAGAAACAAGATTATTTTAACAAACTTGAAATAAATTGTTCATAAAGTTAAATTACTTTCAAAATTTCCAACTGAAATTATTAAAGAAACTCCATAATTTTAAAAAAATTCAAAGAAACTTTTCAAAAGAATTTAATTAGGATTTTTAAAAATTTTAATAACATCCTTCGCGAGAATTCAATTATTTTCAAAAATAATAAAATTCATAACAAGAATTCAATGATTTTTAATACATTAATTTTAAAATTTCGTTCACTTCGGTTCATTAATAGACTAAAATTTTGTTACAAAATTTTTTTTTTTTAGAGAAAGAAGAAAAATATTTGCACAATTCCTATTTTTAATCTTTTTTTTTTAAACAGAATTCTTTTTTTTAAAAGGAACTAATTTGCACCATTTTTATTTAAAAAAGTATGAAAGAAGTTAGCCGCGCGAATTGTTGCTAGTACTTGAAAAAAATTCATTATTTTCAATTAAATTCAAAATCTTTTTAAATGTATATTTCAAAAATTTAAGTAGAAAAATGATTCAAAAATAATTTTTAAAAGATTTGTTTTTAGTTATTTTTTGCACTATAAAAATCGAAATGATTTACATTATTTAATACTGAAAAATATATTTTGTTGCATTATTTGGAAGAAAAGTCGAAAAAGTCGCAATTTTTGAAAATAAGTCGAAAAAAATTTCAATTTTCTAAATTTTCTTGACAAAAAATTTTTTTCCTGACATTTCCCTGACTTTACTGACAAAAATTTTATTTTACTGACATTTCCCTGACTTTACTGACATGCGGTCACCCTGGATTATTAATATACACGGAAAAAAATACTAGGCTAAAAACACATGAGCGTCTGTTGTGTATATTGCACGCACACTACCATGCGTGATTAGCTTGGAATCCATCCTATTTCCGCATGGTGCTGTGGCAAAAGTCACAAAAGCCATGCATTTTTAGTAAACTCCTGTGTGATATTTGCAAAATGGGCTCATGTAAAAATCAAACCAATAGACTCCATGCATTATTAGGCTGATTTTTTTTTCCGTGTAGATTTATAAATTTTATAATTTTATTTCATTTATTTAGAAAATGACAATAAAAATGACCAAAATGAAATTTTCTTTGCAGCAGGCAGCGAAAAATTCACAACCAATTTCACAGGTAAAATCAACGCACGTAACTCAAGTGAGACCGCACCAATTGCCTCAAATGAAGGCTCTATCTCAATCAATGTCTCAAGTAAAATCACAAGAGGTGTCTCAAGTAAAATCACAAGAGGTTTCTCAAGTAAAAACCCAAGATCTGTCTCAAGTGAAATCACAAGAAATGTCACAAGCAGCGTCACAATCAACATCTCAGGTTAAATCAAACGAAAAATCTCAACCACCATCGCAAACAATATCTCAAGCACAAACGCAGCAAGAATTACCAAATCAAGATGACATGAATGTCCCCGCTGAGTTACTTGATGAATTATTTTAATCACCACTTTATCCAAAAGTTGTAAATACGCAAATACTAGTTGTAATTAACAATTTCATTCCTTTTTTTTTATTTAATGACTAACTAAATGTATAAATTTTTTCCCATTATGATCCAATGATAACAGGAATAATAAATTTCATTCATTTAAAAAAAAATTCACATTTCTTTAAGATTCCAAAATATTTTTCAGAAAAAAAATTTAAGACAGAAATAAAAAGAGAAACTATATATTTTTTAAAATCGTTTATATAATATTTATATTGATGTTTTGTTCTTCTTGAATTTGTTTCGTACATGCTTACAAAATTCGTACAAACACAATGTACAAAATCGTAAATTTAAAAAGTAGATATCGTAAATATATTCTTAAGTTTTATTCAATAGTTTTAAAATCATATTAATACGGAAAGAACGTAATCTTTCTTCCATCGGATAAAATAGAAAATAGTTCTTTATAAATAGGTTTTAAAGACTTAAAAATATAATTTTGGCGAAAAATATTAAATTGAATGAATATTCTTTAATTACTTTCATTTAATGCAAATAATTTGCATGTTTTTCAATTAAAAAAAATTCCAAAATATATTTTACAAACTACATTTTTTTTGGACTTATATATTTTAATTTTAATAACGGATTACTTACAAAATTTTCAAATTTAAGTAAATTCTTCTATTTACAGTTTACTTTTTAATAAAATATCGAATATTTCAAAATTTTCTTTTATAATCGAAATAAAAATTTTAATATTTAACATCAAACAAAATAGTTTTATTTTTGAAAAAACTTTTATTTAATCAAAGTAGTTTGTTGTAAAAATATTTGCAAATTTCAATCATTTTGAAAGAAAAGCTGTATAAAAATGGAAGAACGAATTTAATCACATACGAATCACAAAAGATGATTCGAAACAATTTTTTCAAGTCGTATTTTTGTTTTTCAAAAATCAAAGTTGTAATAATAATATTATCGATGATAATAATTATTGTTGCTGTTAATAATAATTATTAATATAAAAATTTTAACTATGATGTATAAATATTTTTCAATTTTACGAAATTTTGGATCTGATAGCTCATATACAGTCTTTAGAACTTTTATAATCTTCAATATAAACTTGAAGTTAATAAGTATATGTAGGCAAAATATTACGTATAAAAAAAGAGTTCTAGAAATAGTCATCGTGTCTTCATTAACGATGAGAAGAAAAAAAAGGAAAAATAAAATAAACAAGTTACTAATTATGGACATTTTAGATAACTTACATATAACATCTTCTCCTTTCACTTGGCGCTTAACCTTTACCTGTGCTGAATCAAGTCAGTTTCAGTGACGTTCGAAATATTGTAAAAATTATACGGTATATTCGGAGTGAGAAAAGTTTGCAATGTTGTTGGCACAGCATTCAAATATGTTGTATTCCTATCTCGAAATACAGCTTCCTGAACGATACCAGAGACTTCCGGTTGAAAACTCTGAACGGCAGTGGTTGGAATTGTCTGAACGACTATTGGTTGCGAGACCGATGAATGGGGCACGGTCTGAATCACCTGAAAGGAAATAAAATTAATTTACTTAATTAAGAATTATTAAAATCGCTTACTCAAATATCTTTATTTTTGTTAGTTTTTTTATTGGTTAACTTCAAACTGCGAACAAATTACCAAAAAAAAGAAAAAAAATTAGGAAACAAAAAAAGCAAATAGCAATTGCTGTTTGCTTTTCTTGTTTCCTAATTTTTTAAATATACATTTTTCTTTTAAAATGATTAAAATTTTTAAATTAATGTACTGAAAATCATTGAATTCAATTATTTTAAATACAATTTTAATTGAATACATTTTTTACAGGAATTCAGTTATTTAAAAAAGTTTTAATAAAATTTTATTCAAGAACTCAATTATTTTCATAAGTAATTAAATGAGCGCTCCAATGCAACAACTCGTACTAAAAATCATTGAATTCTTGTAAAGTATTTATAAAAAAATTTGAAAATAATTTAATTCATCTCAAGAATTTTATCAACATTTTTTTGAATAATTGAATTCTTTCGAGGAAATGTAATTAAAATTATTGTATTCAAAATAATTTAATTCTTAGCAAGATTTTTATTAAAATTCTTTAAAATAATTTAATTGTTTTTAAGAATTTATTTCAATTTTCTTTAAAATAATGGAGTTTTTTTAAATAATTTTTACTGAAAACTTTGAAAGTAATTGAATTTTATGAAGATTTTCTTTTAAGTTATTAAAATAATCGTGTTTATTATTAATTGTAATTAACGATTTTCCTGTTTAGAATTTAGTTTTCTATTAATAATTTTAATATAATTATATTAAAATTATTCATAGAAAACTAAATTCTTTTAAACAATTGCATTAGAGTTATTTGTAAATAATTATATTTTTTTGAAGAATTTCATTAAATTTCGTAAAAATAATGTAATTTTTAAAAGTAATTTTAATTGAAAATTTTGAAAATACTAGAAATTTACAAAGATTTTTATTAAAAACTTTTGAGAACAATTGATTTGTTTAGAACAATTTTATTACAATTTTTTAAAATAATTGTACTTGTTAGGGTATTAAAATTATCTTGAATATAATTGAATTTTTTCCAAGAAATTTTATTAAAATTGTATTGAAAATAATTGAATTTCTCCGAAACATTTAATTATTTATGAAAATAATTGAATTTTTGCGGAGGATTTCACAATTTATAAAAATAATTGAATTGTTTCGAAGAATTTTAGCGGAATTTTTGAAAATTAAATTTTTTGGAGAAATTTTATTAAAAATTTTGAAAATAATTATTTATTTAAAAAAATTTCATCAAAATTGTGGAAAATATTTGAATCTAAATAATTAGTATTCTGTCGAGAAATTTTATTAAAATTGTATTGAAAATAATTGAATATCTCCGAAACATTTTATTTGAATTTTTGAAAATAATTGAATTTTTTGAAGGAATTTTATTAAAAATTTTGAAAATAATTATTTTTTTAAAAGAATTTCTTCAAAATTGTCGAAAATAATTGAATTTCTTCGAAACATTTTAATATTTATGAAAATAATTGAATTCCTTTAAAGAATTTTATTACTCATGGAAATATTTTAATTCTTGTGAGGAATTTTCTTATTTATAAAAATAATTGAATTTTTGCCGAGGATTTTACAATTCATAAAAATAATTGAATTGTTTCGAAGAGTTTTATATGAATTTTTGAAAATAATTGAATTTTTTGAAGGAATTTTATTAAAAATTTTGAAAATAATTAATTAATAATTCATATTTTCAAAAATAATTGTATTCTTTCGAGAAATTTTATTAAAATTGTAGTAAAAATAAATTTGAATTACTCTAAAGAATATTATTATTCATGAGAATAATGAAATTCTTGAAACAAATTTTATTAAAATTTTCGAATAATAATAAACAAGAATATTTAATATTATGTACTTAATTAAGTGAATTCTTTTAATTTTAAATCTGTAATCATTCAAAAATTGATGTTTATTCTTGAAAATATAAAATCATTTAATTTACAGAATAAGAAGAAATTCCACGAGCTATTATAACTATTTTCTAGTTATTAATAACTTATTAAAGTAGTTATTAATAATCGGGAAATTAATGTCAGGAAATTAATTCTATTTAATAATTTTTATCACAGTAAAATTCTTACTTGGACAGTTGTGTTGGTTGATTGAGTAAGTGCGAGTGGATCCTCGGGAGTGATTTGAGTTGATTGAATTTGTTGCTGTTCTTGTTGCTGCTGCTGTTGTTGTTGAGAAGGTTGAAGATGTTTTGTATGAGACGTATTAATTCCATGTCTACGTTTCATGTGCTTATTGTAATTTGGCCAATTAGTAAAGTGATGCTGACATTCTAGACAACTGTAGGGTCGTTCACCTGTATGTTGTCGCCTATGCGTCTAGAAAAAAATTATAATTTAAAAATAGTAAATAGATCTCATTATATTAACTATTTAAATTTATATTCGTAACTCTAACAGTCAAACGATTTAGAATGTAAATGAATAAATGACCCAGAAGAAGTTAATTTTAATTATTGCAATTATTATTTATTTTAATTATCCGAATTATTGCTAATATTTACTAAATAATTCAGACTAATTTAACTTTCGTACTTATACAAAAGGAACTTTTACTTTATAAATAAAATAAATAAAAAATTACAAAAGAAGCTTTTAATTAAAAAGAATTCCATTTAATTTCCTTTTTTCGCAAATTAATCGTGATTAATATGAATTTCGTATTAATTATATATTTTAATTTATTTTAATAAAAAATCTCACTGTTAAAATTCCCTTGAAACGAAAACTTTTGCCGCAAAATTCACAGGTGAATGGCATTGCTCCCGTGTGAATTCGATGATGTTCTCGTAATGTTCCCTTTTCACGAAAAGTTCGACCACAAACTGCGCACTGATGAGGCTTAGCGCCAGTGTGAACCGTCTCATGCTTCTTCAACTGTAAAGGAGTCTTGAAACTGAAATTTAAAATAGACATTTTAAATATAAATTTCAAATAGACATTTTAAATAGAAATTTCAAATAAACATTTTAATTAGAAATTTTAAATATCCATTTTAAATAAACACTTTAAATAGAAATTTCAAATTAAATTAAAAAAAGGAAATACTTTGAAAATTAAAAATCGCAAACTTACGCTTTAGGACACAAACTACAAGTGTACGGCTTATCGGCGGAATGCGTTAGAAAATGAGCCTCCAAATTTCCTTTTTGAATAAAACTTTTTCCACATTGGTCACAAGTGAAGTTTCTCACTCCCGAATGAATTCTTTTGTGCGTCACTAAATTCGGTTTAGTGGAAAATCTATTGCGATTAAAGTTATACAATTATAAATTATTCAAATCATTATAAATTAAACATATAAATATTACATTATAAAATAAATTTTATATTATATTATAAAATAAAACATTATAAAATTAATTATACAATTAATATTTCAGTAATAGAAAATTATTTAATGTGTTAAAAATTAAAAGACATGAACTAATTATAATATACGATAAAACAAAGAAAAACTGTTGTAAATTTTATTAAATTACCTTTTATCGCATTGATCACATTCATAACGATTTTTCATACTTTCCGGCAAATGACAACGACTGTGAATATATAATGCGCTTTGTTGCCTAAAACTTTTTCCACATGTGGCACAAACGTGCGGACGATCCTGACTATGAATTGATTTATGAGACTCTAATACTTTTTTATGAACAAATGATTTCCCGCAATCGTCACAGCTAAGAAGGAAAATAATGCGAATATTTAATATCACTTTCGGGAAAAATTAAAAAAAATGTTACGAAATTAAAATTAAAACATCATAAAGAATAATAATTTATTATATATATTATAAAATAATGATAATAGAATTAAAATAATATTTTCATTTATTAATTACATAAAAAATTAAAATAATATTTCAATTCTTTAATTATTATGATTAGTTACGAATATTTGAAACACTTTTTTTTGCAACTTACTTATATTTTGATTTGGTTCTATGCCTTTTGACGTGCGTTAAAAATCCATAATATTTTTCGTATACTTTACAGCATTGAACACACATGTACTTCGCCTGTTGATTGTGAACAACTATGTGATGCGTTTGCAATGCTTCTAAACTCGGCAACTTGTCATTGCAATCTGTACACAACCATGGATACCTGTCTAATCCTTTCCCTCTTTTTCGACCAGGTGCATCAGGATCTTCGACTCTTGCTCCTATCATCTCCATATCAGATTCCGTTCCTTTAAAAATCCATTACTTTTAAAACCATAAAAATCAAATTAATTCATAAAATAAAACAAAAGTTTATAAAATAAAGTAAAATATAAAATTAAATTAAAATCCAATCATTCTCGGCTCAAACCAGTGAAAGTATTTAAAAATATACGGACATTACAGACAAAAAATGAAAAATTACGGGCCAATTACGGACTAATTTCTGACAAAAATTTAATCAGTCCGAGTCAAATAAGAGAACATTTCATCTACTTAAAACTACAAATTAAATTTTCCATAAGTATAAAACATGAAGAAATCGATCGCTCCGAGTCGAAGAATATTGTACTTCTTCAAAATTATTTTCATCATATTAATTTTAATTTTTTCATAATTTTAATTTTTAAGAATTTTTAATTAAAATTCTTCTTTGATAAAGCAACTAATTTTCGAAAAAGTTCTTTGACAATTTTCATATCCATTTGTTTACAATATTCAATTTTACGAATTTCAATTATTCGTAAATTCTTTAATTAAATATAACATTAGAAAATAAAAACTTCAAATACCTAATATAAAAAAAAATTCAATTAAACTTTTTCAGAAAAATTAATTTCAAAAATTAAATTATTTCTAAAAATTCACGCTATATTGCTTTTAATATTCAATTATTATCTAAAATTTTAACTGAAATTCATTTTTAAATCCATTTTTATTAAAAAATTCTACTGGAATTCAATTATTTAAATACAAATAAAATGGAAGAAAATAATTTATTGAATAATTGAATGTTTCTTAAAATTCAATTCTCACAAACAATTTTATCAACAAATTTTTAAATAATTGAATTCTTTTGACGAATTTTAATAAAATTTTTAAGAATATTTATATTTTTGACGAATTCGATTAAAATTGTATTAAAAATAATTGAAATTCTGCGATGAGTTTCATTATATGTGATAATAATTGAATTCCGGTGAAATTAATAAAAAAATTTGTAAAAAATTGAATTCCTGCGAAATTTTTGTTATTTATGAAAACAATTAAATTTATTTTAAATAATTGAATTCTTTTAGAAAAATTTATTAAAATAGTAGATACTGAAAATCATTGAATTGTAGAAATTTTTTTTTTAAATTAAACCTATTCTAAATTCAATTTTTTTTTAAATTTATCCTAAAATGATCTTAATATTGAATTATTATCTAAAATTTTAACTAAAATTCATTTTAAAATCAATTTTTATTAGAAAATTCTACTAGAATTCAATTATTTAAATACAAAAATAAATATTTATTAATTGAATGTTTTTTAAAATTTAATGCTCGTAAAGAATTTTATCAAATAAACTTTTAAATAAGTGAATTCTCTCGACAAATTTTAACAAAATTAAAAAAAATAATTACATTTTTCAGGAAATTTGTTTAAAATTGTATTAAAAATAATTGAAATTCAGCGAAAAGTTTTATTATTTGTGAAAACAATTGAATCCCTGAGAAGAATTTTATTATTTTTGAACATAATTAAATTTTTGCAATAATTTGTAATGCAAAAAAATAATTTATTGGATAATTGAATGTTTCTTAAAATTCAAATCTCATAAATAATGTTATCAACAAATTTTTAAATAATTGAATTCTTTCGACGAACTTAAATAAAATTTTTTAAAATAATTACATTTTTCAAGATATTTGATTAAAATTGTAGTAAAAATAATTGAAATTCTGCAATGAGATAATTGAATTCCTAAAAAGCATTTTATTATTTACGAAAATAATTAAATCCCTGTAAAAATTTTATTATTTATGAAAATAATTGAATTATTGCGAAGAAATTTATAGAAAATTTGTAAATAATTGAATTTCTGTGAAATTTTTATTATTTTATAAAAATAATTAAATGTTTGCCAAGAATTTTATTAAAATTTTTTTGAAAATAATTGAATTTTGGAGAAGAATTTTATTATTTCTAAAAATAATTGAAATTTTTTCAAATTTTTTAACATAATTGAATTTTTGCGAAGAAATTTATTACTTTTGAAAGTAATTTAAAATTATTTAAATTTAATTTAAATTTAAAATTTTTGATAATGTAATAATTCTTTTAATCTTTTGATCAATTAGTATGAAAGCGTATTTCCGTCAAATAATACAAGAAAGAGTGTTTACATTGCTATGAGTAAAAGAAAACAATCGAATGAAATAAATAAAAATATTTCACCTTAGAATCTTATTTTCTCACCTGTCATATAATTATCGGGAATTTTTGTACTTGATTTCGAATCGAGCCCATTAAGTTCGTCCTCCAAATCAGAAGTTGCTTCCAATTCCTGCTCGTCCATTTTTTGATTTCTTTTTTTCATTTTTCTTTTCTGTTTCGTCGCACTTTTCTTCGAAGAGACCTTACATTTTCTATTTCTACTTTCGTTCACTGTAATTTCAGATTCGAATTTCAATTTTGTGTCTAAATTTCCATCGGAAAAGTAGATATTATTAATTTCCACTGTACTGCCAATTTCCACACTATTGCTAATATCAATCGAAGGATCAATATTGTCGGAATTATTATCAATAACAGTATTTGTGATATAATTATGATTTGGAGGAAATTCGACAATTCTCTCGTTTTGTTCCGGCTTTAGGGGATCCACCAATGATTTATCGATATATTCAATATTTCCCTCGATCACATGAACATCTGTTTTTACATTCATCAACAATTGCCGAAGAGATATTTGAGCTTTATTTGTTTTCTCATAAAATTCACTGCACAAATTCAGTTGTACACAACAATCGATGCATACCGTCAACGGTAAGTCATCGTTCATTAAAACCTGAAAAGAAAAAAATTACTTTTCATTAAAAAAGTAAAAGGAAGATTAAAAAAGAAAAAGTAGTAATATTAAAAATGAAAGAGGAAAAGTAATTTTAAAAAATACGTTTAAAAATTCCCCAAAAATTTTTCATATTTAAGTTCTAAAAAAGTGAAATACTGATAATTGTAAAAATTTGTTATCATTCAGTTGAATTGAGAATATTAAAAGTGACATATTTTTCAAAGGAAAATTACTGACAAGTCACTCAGAAACTCGTGAGTTGCATCACAGAGAAATTATTTAATAATCGCAAATGATCATTATTGAGGTGCATTTAATTAAAAAATTGGCAAAAGGTCATTTGGTCATTTAGCAATAAGATAAACAGTTAAAAGAGTTCTTCGGCTATTTAAATAATTCCTAGATTTTTTTCTATCATAGACCGAAAATAGTTTTTTTTTTATTTTAGCTTCGCATATTTTCGTTTGTAAATATCTACTCCAACTAAACTAAAACGAATTTGAAACTAAAAAAAGAAATATAATTAAATATCAATCTAATTCTGACAAAATATCAATCCATATTTTTTAAATTTGAATAAAGAATTCCCATTTTACTAAAAATTGATACTGCGTTCTCAAAATAAAAAGAAATCGGAGCAATGAGAAGATTGCAAAGAAAAATAAAATATTTCCATATTTCCAAAAATTTACCTGAATTTGAAGACACTTATTAATTTTAGCATCGATTGCTAATTTTTGACCCTCAGCGTCGTAAATTCCAATAAAATTCTCTTTTGTGTCGGCACAAAGCCGGCATAATTTTTGATTTGTCATTATTTTTCGCAAATAAATAACAAATGAATTCTACTTAGCATACATAAAATGAAAATAATTTTCAAGCAATAATTTGCTTTAATTTAATTATTAAAAAAAACATCTCGTAAACAAAAGATGAATGAGGACGCCAACCGGAGGGCGGACATGTTCCTTATACGAAAATAAATCGAAAAACTGTCAATTTTTGCAAACAATTTGTATCTTTCAGTTTTATACTTTTTGTTAAATTATTCAGAGACACATCACTGTGACAATCAATATGCACTAACAATAAATTATCACCATTTATTGAAAGCAAAAATAATCAATGAAATAAATTCACTATTATATATTTATTATAATATATTTGCTTTGGAAATTTATTTACAAAAAAAAGTTTTCTGCTAGATTCTGCTCATGCTCAGAAAACGTGAATATTATGCCCTCTCTCGATGAATAATTCAACTATTTTATCGGTAAGGTTGGCATCTGTGATTTCAAATTTTTTAAATTTAAACAATTTAAAATTTTTAATTTTTATTATTAAATTATTAAATTTTTATTGCAGTTTTCCGCGTAAGAATTCAATTTTTCAAGAAAATTTTAACACATTTCGAAAAAATTCAATTATTTTCTACAATTTTAATAAATCCTTCGAAATAATTCAATTATTTTTATAAACAGTAAAATTCTTCGCAAGAATTCAATTAATTTTAAAAATAGTAAAAATCTTTGCAGAAATTCAATTATTTTTAAAACAATTTTAATTGAATTCCTCGAATGAATTCAAATATTTTTAAATATTTCCATAAATTTCAATTATTTCCTAAAATTTTAATAAATTCTTCAAAACAATTCAACTATTTTTATAAATTATACAAAAATTCTTTGCAGGAATTAAAATTATTTTTAATTCAATTCAAATAAAATTACACGAAAGAATTTAATTATTTTCAAAAATTGAATTTCAACAAGAATTAAAAATTTTCTAAAAATAATTCAATTATGCTCAAAAATATTTTTAAAAAATTCTATATAAAAATTAAATTACTTTCAATGCAATTTTTAAATATATTCGTAAAAAAAATTGAAAAAATTCAATTATTTTTAAATATTTCTATAAAATTCTTCATAACAATTTAATTATTTCTTAAAATTGTAATAAATTCTTCAAAACATTTCAATTATTTTTATAAATATGGTAAAATTATTCGCAATATATCAATTATTTTTATAAATAGTAAAATCCTTTGCAGAAATTCAATTCTTTTCAAAATAATTTTAATAGAATTCATCGAAAGAATTTAAACTTTCAAATATTAACATAAAATTCATTTATTTTCTAAAATTTTAATAAATTCTTCGGAACAATTCAATTATTTTTATGAATAGTAAAATTCTTCGCAGGAATTCAATTATTTTCAATACAATTTTAATAAAATTCTTCTTCATAAAATTCAAATGCTTTTAAAATACTCATTTAAAATTATTAAAGAAACTAAAAAAAAATTTTTTAAAAAACTAAAAAAAGTTAAAAAAAAAATTTAAAGAATTTCTTCGAAATTATTTTTATCATTTGAATTCAATTATTATTTTCTAGAATTTCGAACTAAAATTCTTCTTTAAATCAATTATTAGCTAAAAGTACGAAAAATTTAGATTTCCAAAGATTTGAATTTAAAATCTTTTCAAAATTCAATTATTTCTAAAAATCCATGCTAAGAATTTGAATAATAATTTATGAATAAAATTGAATTCATGCGAAGAATTTTATTTAATTATGTTTAAATAATTGAAATTTTTACAAGAAGTTTATTAACATTTTTGACAATAGTTTAATTTAATTCCTATGCATTAAAAATTTTTGAAAATAAATAATTATTTCCAGCGACAAATTGAAAGTTATTTATGAAAATAATTGAATAATTACAACGAATTCTATTATTTTATTGAATAATTGAATGTTTCTTAAATTTGAATTATTTCGTCAAGTTTTAATAAAAAATAATTGCATTTTTCGAGGAATTTATTTTAAATTGTATTAAAAAAATATTTAAAATCCTGCCGTGAAAATAATTTAATTCCTAAATGAAATTTTATTATTTATGAAAATAATTGAATGTTTTCGTAGAATTGAATAAAAAATGTTTTTCAATTATTAAATCTTTTGATAAATTTTATGAAAGTAGTAAATATTGAAAATCATTGAATTACGAAAAACTTGAAAATAATTGAAATTTTGCAAAGAATTTTATTTAAATTTTTGAAAATAATCGAATTTTTGGCGAAAAATTATGCTATTTATAAAGATAATTCACTTCTTGACGAGATATTCGTTAAAATTTGTAAAAAAAAATTGAATTTCTTCGAAGAATTTTATAACTTTTGAAAATAATTCAATTCTTGTAATGAATATTGTTATTTATGAAAATAATTGAATTTTGCAAAGAATTTTTTTAAAATTCCTAAAAATAATTGAATCTTTGTGAAGAAATTTGTTATTTATCAAGATAAATTGCATTAAAAAGACACTAAAAATTCAGAATTTTCTTAAGAATTCTAAAAATTTAATTTTTCCCAGTACTTTTAATAAAATTCCCTTACTTTTTCCTGACCAATTATACTTTCCCTGACTTTTCCCTGATTTCCCTGGCCTGTAGCTGTTCAAAATTATTGAAGACAAAAATTTAATTTGAAGAAGAAATAAATTTTCACTCATTTAAAGCTTTAGAACTTTAGAATCATAATAAAATTGTAATTTAATTATTACTAATTGTGTAAGTACTTGAGATTTTATTTTCAATTACTTTGTAGTTAAATTTTTGCTATTTAAAGTTTATGCGGCAAATTATTTTCTTTCTAATAATAATTTACGTGCCTGGAAAACTTAAATTTTCTTTGAATCTTTTGGAAAATAAATTTCTGCGTTCATTTGTAATGGAGATTTTAAAATAAATTTACATTTCTGGCTTTTCACAAATCTTATACAGCGAAAGTTTGTCTTTTGTATATTCAGAGTTTATAGATAGAAACAGGTAAACTTGGGTTTCTAAAACCAATATTTGGAAATTAAGCGCTATTTCTAAGCCAAGGTGTATGGTTATACTTTTTTTCCCCGACTATTCATTTTTTAAATTCAAGGATCTTTTAAAATTAAAAAAGGAAAAAGTTTTTTTTTTCCCTTCAAGGTGACTTGCTGCAAATTATCTCATTCGGTCTCAATTATTAAAATGATGTTTCCATAATGTTTCGTCAAAAGAAGGCAACAAAAAAAGAAGAGAGAAGAGATTATAATATTTCATTTCAAAACAATCTCTTTTTTTGCAGAACTTTTATTTTGAAATAGACATTTTTTTCAGAAAACAATATTTTAGAAATTTTCAAAATATTTTTGAAATATTAACAGAAAATTTTATTTTTATTCATTTTCAATTTAAAATAGTGATAATTACAAATATGTGACTAATTTTCTATTTCCACGAATTTTCTACGATTTTTTTCTCCCCTTTTTTGAGAACTATTAGAAATATAAATAGATTTGATTACAATAAATTTGTATAAATTATTACAGTGAAAGTAGCAGAAAAATGTTCCGTATCAGTTTTAAATCTTAAGGAAAGATATTTTTATTTGGTCAGAATAAATTATTATTCTTGTAAGTACCAATTCGCCGATAGAATAAATTAATCAAAATAGAATATTGTTTTGAAAGAAAATACTTGAAAATTGTGGTTGAAAAATTGTTGTAGATTAAAGAGTTTATAGAAATAAATTACTAGTTAAAAAATATTTTCCATTTCTCTTCTTCTTTTCTTTTTAAATTACATAAAAAAATTATTATTTTTTAAAAAAAATTCTATTGATTAAAGATTAAAGATTCTATTGATTAAAGTGCATATTGTGTATTTTACTTTCGATAAAAGTAAGTAATCCTCCGGTGGTTGTGTATCTTTCTTGTGCAACAATCGAAACCCACGTGGGAAAACATTTGTGCATCAAATAAAAAAAAACTTGTGTACGATGAGAACTATTATTGCTTCTTATTTCAGCCGAAATGAATAGCTGAGAAAGTATTACTAATCACGAGTTCTTAACACACATTTTTGGTGTGACTTTTTAGTAATAAAAAATTAATTTCCTCATATCCGGAATTTATAGGAAAAGACGTTTCCACTGGTCTGTATTGTTAAATATTTTTTTCCTTTTCTAGTAATAAAAAAAAATTACCTCTTCAGCTATTAATTTCCATTCCATTGAATTGTCGTCCATCTGAAAAAAATAAGAATTCATTAAAATTTTCATTTCAAATAAAATTCTGAAAATTATTCAAATTTCGTAAGTCGTAACTATAACAAAATATTGTCTATTGCATCGAAACTTTTTTTTTGAACTATATATGCAAATACCAGGTCAAAATTTACTCCACTTTAAAAGAAAGGAGCCATTTCCAAAAGATTCTTCTCGCTTCCTTATGATTTACGAATAATAAATTGATCATGTCTTGAGAACGAATCAAACTTGACCCAGTTATTGTTAAATACTTTTAAAAAAAAAGTTCATAATCATCTTTCAGTATTTAATGATCCTAGAAAATATTTGACCGATCAATCAAAAAAAAAAAAATAAAAAAAAATATTTAAATTACAAATGAATGTTAAAGCACAATATTTCAACTGATTCCCGCATTGACTTTGAAAATTTCTGCGAGTGTAAAAGTCATGTGTTATTAATGGTGTCTTCCTCGTGTATAAATAAGGGTGTTCCTTAGAAAGCGTTGCAGTTCACCTGAGATCGTAGTTAGGTAAGCATCGAGACACCTCTCAAAAAAAAACTTTTTCTTTCTTCAGTGTTTCTTTCTGATAAATGTGCTCTCTTGTTTTTTCCCAAAATATTTTCGTGAAATTACAAAAAAAAATAGTTTTTTTTATATTTTTAGGTGGTGATTATTTAAGTGATGATATTAAAAATAGAAAAGAATTTTTTTTCGTACAATTCTGAGATTTTTTGAGACAGTGTTTTATGTTTAATTTAAATAAAAATTTTATTTTGTAAGCACGCTTGCTTATTTTAATTTGAAAACTTTTATTTATAACCAAGTTTTTTAATATATTATTTTATTTCAAAATTTTTAATTTACAAGCACGTTGCTTAATAAAGTATTTTTATTTGTTTCTGATTTTAATTTTCACTAAATTTATTAATAATTTTTTTATTTGTTATTTATTTTTTTATTTATTATTTCTTTATTTTATTTTTCATTTATTTTATATTTTGTTTATTTTACATTTTACTTTTTTTTATATATTTTTATTTTATATTTTATTTATTTTATTTTTATTTCATTTTTATTTCATTTTATTAATTTATTTTAATTCAAGTAATTTGAAATCAAATTTACAAAAATTGATAAAGAAAATTATAAAAAAAGATGGATGTACAAATTCCTATTAATTTTAAATTTAATGAAAAAAAAATAAATTTTGAAATTAAAAAAAAAATAAAAGAAATTAAAGGAAATTTAATTACATGTCAGAAAAATTATTGAAGCAAAATTGTAGAAAGTAAAGGAACAAGTAAATTTAGTGTTTGAAGAAGTTTTCTCGAAGGGAATAATTAAAACACCTTTAAAAGCTTCTTGTTTTTTTAAGTAACTCAGTCACGTTTCGTTTCATCGGTACAAAGCGTTAGGACCGCGAAACCGGTTTAAAAGAAAGTGGCATGCCCGGAACTTTATTCAAGTATTTTATAGTCATCTAAGCCCAGGTTTTTTTCGTTATTTGATAAATTTATCTCACAAAAAAGAAGAAACTTTTAAACTACACAGAAAAAAAATTTATTTGATTTGTATAATAAATTTTCGGACTATTGCTTCAAAATCAAAAATTATATTATTTTATATTTCTTTTTATTTATATTTTTAATAAATCATTGTTATTGTTTATTTAATAACATATCCTTTATTATTATTTGAAAAATTTAATAAATTTGATAATATGATAAATAAAATAATTTATAAAATAATTTATAAGAATATCAATAAATTAATCAAAAATTTTTAATTCTAATAATTATAATTTCTTTTAGTTTCTAATTATTATTACTATATTTTTAATTAATTGTGTTTATAAATCAAATTGCGGAAATAATTCACTTGCTATTGTGTTAATAAAATAAAATAATAAAATAAAAAACAATTTTATATTCTTTACAGAAACAAGAAAACAATGTTGCGGTTTTTAGTTCTTGGAGCGATAATCGCTCTTTCTTCGGCACAATTTCAACCTCAATCTCAACCTCAACCAAGTGGAAGAATTTTAGAGCCACCTGTGCCTGCACTTTGTGCTCAAAGTAAGAATTTCCTTTATTATTTTCACAGAAATTTAAAAATATTGAACTTTATTTCTTATTTAAAATCTTGAAACTCTAATAATTCTCATTTATTTGCATTATTTTCATATTTAATTTAATTTCTAATTATTAATTAAAATTTTAATTCGTATTTTATACTATCAATTTACTCGAACTTTAATTTTTTAATATTAATTCAATTTTAACTGAAAGATTTCATTTTGAAAATAAAAAAGTAAATTTGTATACAACATTTAATTATTGAATTTTATTTCCTATCTTTAAACTCCAATAATTATAATTTCTTTGCCTTATTTTCATATCTTTTTTCACTCATATTTGATTTAATTATTAATTATTAATTAAAATTTTAATTCGTAATTGTTTTATACTTTCAATTTACTTGAACTTTAATTTTTTAATATTAATTCAATTTTAACTGAAAGATTTCACTTTGGAAATTAAAAATGTAAATTTGTATACAAAACTTAAATTGTATTGAATTTTATTTCCTATTTAAAATCTTCAAACACCAATAATTAAAATTTCTTTGCATTATTTTCATATTTAATTCAATTTTAATTTTAATTTTAATTAAATTTGAAATTTAATTCGTAATTATTTTATACTTTCAATTGAGTTGGACTTTAATTTCTTCTTAATATTAATTGAATTTTAACTGAAAGATTTCATTTTGAAAATAAAAAAGTAAATTTTTATACAACATTTAATTATTGAATTTTATTTCCTATCTTCAAACTCCAATAATAATTTCTTTGCATTATTTTTATATCTTTTTTCACTCATATTTAATTTAATTTTTAATTATTAATTAAAATTTTAATTCGTAATTGTTTTATACTTTCAATTTACTTGAACTTTAATTTTTTAATATTAATTCAATTTTAACTGAAAGATTTCATTTTTGAAATTAAAAAAGTAAATTTGTATACAAAATTTAAATATTGAATTTTATTTCCTATTTAAAATCTTCAAACTGCAATAATTTAAATTTCTTTGCATTATTTTCATATTTAATTTAATTTTAATTTTAATTTTAATTCGTAATTATTTTATACTTTCAATTGAATTGAACTATTGAACTTTAATTTTTTTAAATATTAATTCAATTTTAACTGAAAGATTCCACTTTAAAAATAAAAAATAAATTTATACAAAATTTAAATATTCACTTTTGTGAAAAATTCCGGAAAGATTTCTTTTTTTTCTTAAATTATTCATCTAGGAAGAGGAATTTTTCTAAACCAGTGTCAATAAATTATTGACCTGCGGTGTTATCGTCGTCATTTACATTCAAATTTAGAGAAACTGACTTCATTTGTCTGATTAATAATTATGCGTGGCCAAGCCCATTGGTAAACGGTCATAGAAAGTGTGATGACGAATTTCGATGATACCTACCTAAATTTGAATTGGTAATCTCCTCTTCGGCGACTTCGTTGTCTTCCCTTGCCACATGTAAAGTAGGTGACACTTTCTTAAATTTGTCACAAGCTCCAGTCGAAAATGTTTATTGAAAAATTGAAAAAGCGGGTTATTTTAAACGTCCAAGCCACGTTGATTAAAAAATGCCTTCCAAATGTCCAATAAAAGTGTGGATCTGTGAAAAAGAAAAATTACTGTAACCAAGAATATATTATTTATTTTCATTTCTTTAATTTAATTGAATCGAATAGAATATCTAAATTTTATGTAAAATAATATTTCCCCGTAATGAGAATGTAACAAATTTTAATTAAACCGAAAATGGGATTTGAAAAAAAAAGAATTAAGAGAAATAAATAATAAAAAAGATAAAAATAATGTTAATAGATAGTATAAATAGAATTGAAAAAATATGAAAGAATCAAATACAAAAAAATGTTTGGTTTTCAAAAATTCGTGAGAAAAAAATTCCGGAAGTATGTGAAACGAAAAAGCAAAGAGTAAAATAAGGATTTCGAGTAAAAAAAGAAATGCAAATGAAGAGTCGATGTTTATACACGAAATTCCAGGCGTGTACACACTGTGCATTTCGTAATGAACTTTCTTCGTTAGCATTTGGGAAAGCCATCGTTAACATTGAGAATCAATGTCTAGGTCACGACTGTTCGTCGTCTTCGTCTCTCTGTAGGTCAGTCCGAGGTTCTTTGGATTAATAATCGAATTTCACTTTATACTTATTGAATAAATGAATTTTTACGTTTGTCAATTCAACGCAAATTTATTTGCCCATTTTTTTATTCAATAATTTAAAATCGCTATTTAAAATCAATTCTCATAATATTCAATTTTTATCGTTAAGCAATAAAAAAAGACGCTCCATTCTCAATCGTGCACACCTGCAAAATTCAATTCATTTTCATTACACAGGAAATGGCAATAAATTATTATGAATAAACTTTCACGAATAATGAGAGTCACGACAATGGCTCTTTTTATACATAAAATTAATTTTATCTAGAAAATATGTAATTCTCTTGTTATTTTAATCATATTATTTCTAACTTATTCTTTTCTATTAAAAAATAAAGACTAATAATATTATTATTTTCTATCTAAGAATAATTATGGACTAATATTAAATAGAGTATATAATAATATAGAATAAAAATTAAATAGAATGTATAATAATAGAGACAAAATTCTTCATTATAGATAGAGAAATAAAAAAATATTTTTTAATTGCGCAATGTTAATGGTGCGTAATATTAAGTGATGATTATTGGAGTAGTATATATTATGAAAGAATTAGAAAGTAAATATACGGGGTAAAAAAAAGTTCTCTGATAATAATTTAGATCTGTATTGAATTTAAAAAAAAGTAAAAGCTAAATTGCTTTCGCGCGTCGTTGTCGTGATGTTTCTAAACCCTTATGGCATTCGAAGCACTTGCGGTTTAAAATCGATCCATTATAATAATTATTTTTATTCAGTTGAAAGTGAAAGTTTTGTTTAGATAAAAGAAGACCGCTTTTCATCTTCATTTTGAAAGAAAAAATTCACCGATGTTATTGATTTTAATTACTTAAAATTCCATAGTATATAAATTTAAAATTTCTTTATTTGCAGTTACTTAAAAAATTAAATTATTAAAAAAATTCTATTAAATTTCTAATTCTACAATTAATTTTATTCTTTTTTTATAGATATTAATAATCGTTGTATTCTGGTAACGTTCGAAGATTGATTTTAGTTTTTTTCGTTTGCTTTTTGTTTCTTAATTTTTTGATAATTTTTCTTTTTAATGTTTTCAATTTTAAAATTAATGACATTTTAATTTAATGCTTTGATGATTAAAAACTATCAAAAATTAATGAAACCAAATTGTTTTCATTTAAAAATATTTCTTTTATAATTTTGATTTCAATCTGAAATAATTGAATTCTTATAAAGAAATTTATTTAAATGTTTCAAAATAATTAAATTTATTAGGAAAAGTTAAAAATATTTGAAAATAAGTTAATTTTGACAAGAAATTTAATTAAAATAGTATTAAAAATATTTCAATTCTTATAAAGAGGTTTATCAAAATTTTGGAAAATAATTGAATTTCTGCGAAGAATATTATAATTAATAATTAATATTTTTTTTAAATAATTGAATTCTTGTTATTAATTATGAAAATAATTGAAATCTTGCTAAGAAATTTTGTTAAAATTGTATTAAAAATAAGTGAATTCTTATAAAGAATTTTATCAAAATTTTTCCAAATAATTGAATTTCTGCAGAAAATTTTATTATTTAGGAAAAAAATTTAATTTTCTCAAAGTATTTCATAAAATTTTTTCTTATACAGATCTTTACTGAAATTCTTCATAATAATAAAGTTTTTGCGTAAAATTTTATTAAAATTCTTTAAAATAATGAATTTGATTAATTATGAAAATAATTCAATTCTCATAAACAATTTCATCCAAAATGTTTCAAAGTAATTGAATTTCTACGAAGAATTTTATTATTCAGGAAAATAATTAAATTTTTTCAAAGTATTTCATTAGATTTTTTTTCTTATAAAGATTTTATTTTTATTTTTCTTATAAAGAATTTGATTAATTATGAAATTAATTCAATTCTCATAAATAATTATATCAAAATTGTTCAATATGTAATTGAATTTCTGTGAAGAATTTTGTTAAAATTCGTTAAAATAATTAAATTCCTATGGAAAATTTTATAAATTATGAAAATAATTGAAATTTTGCTGAAGAATTCAATTAAAATTTTTCAAAATAATCAAATTCTTGTAAAGAATTTTATTATCTAGGAAAAAAATTACATTTTTTGAAAGTATTTCATTAAATTTTTTACTTATAAAGAACTTTACTGAAATTTTTTAAATTGAAATTTTTGACAAGAATTTCATTAATTATGAAAATAATTCAATTCTCATAAATAATTTTATCAAAATTTTTCCAAAATAATTGAATTTCCGCAAAGGATTTTATTAAAATACTTCAGAATAATTAAATTCTTAAGGACAATTTTATTATTAAAAACAATGAAAACTTCGCTAAGACTTTAATTAAAATTTTTCAAAATAATTGAATTTTTGCGAAGAATTTTATCAAATCTTAAGAAATAATTGAATTCTTTTGAGATATTTTATTAAACAATTTTAAAACAATAAATCATTATAATTAATTAGTAAATTAGTTATTAATTGAATTTATTAAAATTTTGAATCTGAAATTATTTCAATATTAAAATATTAATAAGAAATAAAATATTAATATTAATAATATTCTTGGTAGTATTAATTAATTTCGCTAATAATTTTAATTAATTTTATAGGAAACATTCACGCGAGATACCATTCGAAGGGTTATTACTTCTCATGGGCTGATCCGCGAACACAGGGCCAAGAATTTGACTGGCTTTCGGCTAGAAATTTCTGCAGACAACGATGCATGGACCTCGTTTCATTGGAAACTTCCAACGAGAATGAATTCATCAAGAAACATATTGTTGACAGTGAGTTTTTCATTGAAATTATTATTTGAAATAGGAGAAAAAAGTAAAAAAATAAAATTGAAATTTTCAAGTCAAAAAATATTTACGTGAAATCTTCTTTTTTTTCCAGATAACGTTAAGTACATCTGGACTTCCGGTCGTCTTTGTGACTTCAAGGGTTGCGACAGACCCGATCTTCTTCCATCCAACATTAACGGCTGGTTCTGGACTGCTGAACTTCAAAAATTGGCACCATCCAACATCCGTAATCAAAACGATTGGTCTGAAAATGGAGGGTAAGTTTTAATTTTTTACACGAAAGAAATAAAGATACAAAATCTTTTTTTAAAAGAAAATTAATTATCGTCGAGTGGTAAATTGAATTAATACTATTAAAAAAAACGAATCAAAAATAATATTCATTAATTATAATTTTGAGATAATAAAAAAAGAGACCAAAACAAAAATTGGATTATAATTTTTTGCATTTTTTTCACTTTGCAGAATTGGACGACCTCAACCAGATAATCGCGAAGCAATTCAAGGAGGAGCACCAGAAAATTGTCTCGCTGTTCTCAATCAATTCTATAATGACGGTGTTAATTGGCACGATGTTGCTTGTCATCATAAGAAATCGTGGGTTTGCGAAGAGAATGATCCTCTCTTAAAATACGTCCGTTACACTAATCCTAATTTACGTCTTTAAGTTTTAAATTCTTTTTTTTTTCTTTTGAAAACTTCTAGTTAAGACTGTTATTAATGACACAATTTTTTCAAACAATATTTTTGTTTTGTAAAAGAATTTTTATTGTTTTCTATTTTTACTCTTGTTCAAATTTGCTGTTTTTCTTTTCTATTAAGCTAACAATAAGTGACTGAGTAGTGTGTACAAAACAATGTATTTATTGCAAAAAAAATGACATTATCTGTTAATGTTTTTTTTTTTTAAATATTTCAAAATAACTGCATTAATTTAGAATTATGTAACAGTCGATTAAATGAACTATTTATGTTGTATGAATGCTGTACTGAATTCTACTCTTCAGAATGACTTATTTAATAAATGAAAATTTTCTTCATTACGTTATTTTTGGTATTTAAAATTTTTCCTGTTTCTTGCTATTCTCATATCATTTCACAATAGATTAAATAAATTAAATTAAAATAGTTTTCTTTTAAATTAAAATTAATTAAAATGAGCGATTTGAAAATAAATTCATTTCTAATTTAATGTAAATTGAACTTAAAATTATATTAATTAGAATTAAAATTCTATTAATATGTTAACGAAGTTAAAAAGTAAAATTATATTAAATTCTAATTCGATATTTTTGTGTCTAATAACTGGATTTAGAGTACTAAAATTTACTGTCGTCTATATAAACTTGGAATGCTGATGATTTTGGTAATTATATATACAAAAAATTGTTTATTAGAATGAAAAAGATATTTACAAGTTTTTCATTTTTTCCCCTCGACCATAATAATATGATAGCCGAATTTAGTTTTGACCGGTGGGTCCGTATAAACTGGAGAGCCCAAATTTGAAATTGGAAGTGCGAATGCTGCTTCTTGAAAAGGACCAACCATTGACCCTCGTGTCATCCAACCCAGATCGCCCTAATATATTACAAAATCTCTTTAAAATTTTACTCCTCCGATCTGCTTATTACGAAAGTATTAACAATAAATTGTATAAAAAAATCTGTTTAATTACTATATGAATTCGATTTTTACGATATTTTTCGTTTTAAAAATATCGAATTTAAAAAATGTAAAACTAAATTAGTAATATTGTTTGTTTATAAAAAAATTAATTAAATAGCAAATTATTAAGTCGATAATATTAAACTCAGAAAGTTAATAATCTTCATCATAAAAGTTAAAATTTACGATTAATGTTTAAAATATTAAAAATATCGAGTCTTAGATTAGATTTTAGATAAACTACAAAGAAACAATTAATAATAATTAGTGAAATAAATAAAAAAAATATATAAAATTGAGGATTTCTTTATATAAATTGTATAAATATAAATAAACAAAAAAACTAACCCCTGATCTTGCTTTATCCTCACTGTACGTAGCGGCGACTTCATTAAATTTCTGTCCGGCTTTCAATTTTTCCATAGCTTCCAAAATTTTCGACTGCTTTTCACAAAGAATATGCCTTACCTATAGAGAAAATTATGCCATAATTATAGAAAATATATGAAAATAAATAAATTAAATATAGAAAATATTACAAATTTATAACCTTCACTGCTGTCCCTCCTTTTTTATCGCCTTTTCCTTTATCACCGTCATCTGCAGATTTTGATTTTCCTGCTTTCGCTCCACCTGCTGCCTTTTTCGGTGGCATAGTCAATTGCTATGGAATTAAATTATCTATTTTAATTGCAGAAAATAGCAAAAGAAAACGATGAAAAAATTAATATAAATTTTTGTTTATTTCCTGCACACAACGCACGTGAAATATATTGGAAACGTGGAATGGTTCATATTCCTGTTCCTGGAAATTAAAAAACAGTGTGCGTTTCCAGCGCGAAATTTAATTTGAATAATTATTCGAATAACAATTTGAATATTTAACAAACTGAAACAAAAATAATACTGATAATTATTAATTTGAATATTAAAAAATCTATATTAATAATCGTCGTATTTCGTTAATCTGTTCGCAAAAAAATTCCTTCGAAGAATTTTATTATTAAGGAAAATAATTGAATTCTCGCAAAGAATTTTGATAAAATTTTTGTAAATTCTAATTAATTTCTTTTTGAAGAATATCTTTGAATTTTTTTAAATATCGGAGTTTCTTTAATAATTTCAATTAAAAAGTTTGAAAATAATTAAATTTTATGAATAATTTCTAACAATTTTTTTAAATAATCGTGCTTCTTAATAATTGAAATTATAAGCATTTTTTAATTACTGAATTGATTTTTTGCAAAGAATTTTACATTTTATAATTATAATTGAATTGTTTCGAAGGATTAAATAAAATTTTAGAAAATAATTGAATTTTTTCGAAAATTATTATTAAAAATTGTTTAAAAATTGAATTCTTTCATGAAATGTATTTTAAAATTGTATTAAAATTAATTAAATTTTCGGAAAGAATAAATTTTACTATTTATAAAAACAATTGAATTGTTTCGAAGGATTTATTAAAATTTTAGATAATAATTCTATTCGCTCGGGAAATTTATAATTAAAATTTTGTTTAAAAATAATTGAAATTTTGCAAAAAATTGTACTATTTATAAAAATAATTGAATTCCTACGAAGAACGTTATTATTTATTAAAATAATTGAATTCTTACGAAGAATATTATTATTTATTAAAATAATTGAATTCTTACGAAGAATATTATTATTTATTAAAATAAGTGAATTTTTACGAAGAATGTTATCTTATTTATGAAAATAATTGAATTCTTGCGAAGACTTTTACTACAATTTTTTAAATTAATAAACAAGAATAATTAATTAGTAAATTAGTTAATAATTGAATTTTTTTTAAAGTTTGTTAAATTATTCACAAATTCATATTAGAAAATAAAAAATTTTGCAATTTGCATAATAATAAATCGAATATCACGTTCCACGCGTAACATTTGCTAGTTATTAAAAAATATTATAAATTATTTTTAAATTTAAGTAATAATTAAATTAAAATTTTAAGTATAGTAATTTAAAATTATTACTTTAAAAACTTTAAAATAATTATTAGAAGATAAAAAAATAATATTGTTAAATAAATATTAAAAATATTAAGTATTAATTATAAAATTATTTTTGAATTTTTGATAAAAGCTTGGATTTATTTGTCCTGGATTCATTTTTTTTTTCATAAAAAAATACATGTTAATACACGATGCGACATTATGTACCATGAACAGTGTGTATGAATTATATGAATGAATTAATGGAAAGTGACTTTTTTTCATTTTATAATTGCTTTGTGTGAAAATTTTGTCCTATTCATACGTCAAATATATGAAATTATATTGTATGTTATTTTTTTACAGAGATAAAACTATCGACTTACAACAGCTACAAGCGAGAGGCTTTCTCGGCTAAAAACAAATCTTTTGTACTCGTACATATTTATCGCATACGTCTTGTGACAGATTACAACTATTTTTATAATATTATTATTATTAGATTATTACTATTATTATTACTGTGTGATATAACAACATTGCATGATTGATGGTCTGATTTTTATGATATTTCTTTTTTAAATATTGATTTTAAGACTCAAAATTGACTACACATTTAGAGAATATTAGTCGTTACATATTTTGTAAATTAAGTTTTTGTTTTTCATCAAAACTGTTTTTTTTTTATTTTGCGAGTTCATTCTTTTTTAAAAACATTCCATTCTCATTTCTCTTCTTTTTAATTTATTCCACTTTTTTTTTGCTTTAAAAAAATTTTATCTCTACTTTTGATGATTTATTTCGAGAAGAAATATTCTTTTTAAAAAAAATATTTATCAAGAGAGATGTTTTTATTATTTTTTTTAAATGGACGAATTGAATTTCATTTTTTGTAAACAAAAATTGTATATTTTCTTTTTCAACAAAGAACAACGGATGGAGTTGTAGTACAATGTATTTTAGAATAACTTTTTTTTTTAAAGAGAAACATTTATCAAAGTAGAGATTTTTTAAAAATGAAATATAGAAGAAAAAATGTCGACGGAATTTCTCTTTTTTTGATTTTTTTTAAATTAAAAATTCGATGCATTTTATTTTCAAGCCCGTGCGTTTCATATACTGAAGTTTGAATTCTATTATTACTTTAAAAAGTGAGGTCTAAATTACATTTTGCAAACTTGTCCTTTTTTATTCATTAACATGCCTTTAAAAAGGATTATTTTTATATAGATAATTAGGCGTCGTTCTTTTTAATATTTGTTTTTTCAATCTTCAATGTATTATACGAATATGTGAAATTCAGAGAAGGAATATGCATTTTTTTCCTATTCTAATTTGTAAAAGTACGTTTATAATTTATAATAATTAATTCGACAATATTGGTTCGTTGAAAGTTTATAACGAACGTATATAATATATAAAACCTTCGCCGATATTCGCGTAACAAAATATGTTAAATATATCATTTTAAAATATTTCAGTCTAAAAATGCATAAGTAGTAACTTTTATAACAAATTCATTAGAATAATATCTAGTTTTTGGTTTTTTCAGTAGATTTATCAAATAACTAGTAAAAAATAGAAGAAACTAATAATGGAAATAAAAATAAAAATAATAACAACAATAATAATAAAATAATAATAATAATAATAATAATAATAATAATAATAATAATAATAAAATAATAATAATAATAATAATAATAATAATAATAATAATAATAATATTAATAAATATAATTATATTATTATACATTACTTATATAATATATAATTATATTATATAATAATAATAAAAGTGATAGTAATAATATTAAAAATAATAATCTTTCAAAAATAAAATTTTAACAAAATGAAGAAATTTAAAAGAAAATATTAAATAGAAAATAAAGAAAATACTATTCAAAAGGGTAAATTTAAAATTAATGGAAATGGATTAAAGAATTTAACTAAAGAAATTAAATAGAATTAGATAAATATACATTTCAAGGAAAATGAAATAAATTAAATTAAAATGTAATATCAGGGTGTCTACCCGGTTACTTCCTAGTTTTTTCCCGGCTTTGTCCTAATTTTTCCTCGTTTTTTTTTTTAATCAAATTTAAATTTATTTGATTTCGAACATAAATAAATCTACAAATGGTTTCAAAAATTTTTATTTGAGCTTTTATGAATAATTAAATTCCTTTGACGAGTTTCTTTAAATTTTTTCAAAATAATGTTCTTTTTAATAATTTTAATTAAAAATTTTGAAAGTAATTGAATTAAATAAAGAATTCTTTCAATTTTTAAAAATAATCTTGTCTGTTCATAATTAAATTGAAAATTTGATTAATTCAATTTTATTCAAATGTAATTGAATTTCTGCAAAGAATTTTACTATTTATAAAAGTAATAGAATCCTTCCAAAGAATTTTACTATTTATGAAAATAATTGAATATATTTTGAAGAAATTTTTAAAAATAAAATTATATTTATGATGACTAACTTTCCTTGATTATTTTCAAAAAATTTAAATAAAATTCTTTAAAATAATTTAATTATTTTTAATAGAATGTAAAGAAATTTCAATTATTTCAAAAATTTTCAATTATTTGTTTAGAAAAATTCAATTATCTTGAAACAATAGAATTGAAAAATTTTAAAAATCTTATTTTTCAGAATTTTCAAAAAAAAATTTGCAAAAATTCAATTTTATTAAAAAATTTTAAGTGTGCATTTTTTTTTAAATTAACTAATAAAAATTTTAATTATTAATCTTCGCACTAAGAAACATGAATACATTAGAATGTGACTCTTTATAAAATTTAATTATTTATCAATTATTAAATTAAAATTGATTATTAAATTATTAAATAAAAATTCGATTTGTTAAAAAGTTATTAATGAAATTCTTTAACAAATTTAATTATTTTCAGTGGAATTTCACAAAATTTCTATTAATTCGATAATTTTTTAAAAATTTATTTACATACTAAAGAATCAGTGACTAATTTTTTACTATCAAATTAATTATTTTTAACTAGTTAAAATTTAGAGAACATTATAAATATCTTTAAAAATTGGAAAAATCGATTTTTTAAAAACAAATTAAAATAATAAAACTTTTTTTATTTTGGTGAAAAAGTTCCCGCTTAAAATTCCTGGCTTATTCCCGGTTAAATTAAATTCCCGACTGTTTCTTGGTTTTCCCGGATTTCCCGATTAGTAGACACCCTAAATATACTCTTTCGAAGACAAAATTTGAATTAGTTTTTCGACTTCAACAAGAAACAATGAAAAAGTTGATCGTCGTTTTTATTATAGCTAAACTTCTTAATAGATCGATATAGCTAATTTTTGTTTTTGAAATATTATTTTTTTTTATACAATATTTTTTAGAATAGAGTAATGATATGCCTTACGTATTATCAATATTATTGTTCTCAATTTCATCCTGTTCAGCGAGCAGTGGAACGACTTGCTGATTATTACTGTCTGAATCAGAAGGCCTTCTGCTTTGTCCTGGCAAGAAGGACATTGGTATTGTGCCTGACGGTGTTGTTGGCGCCGATCTCGATAACCATCGTTTCGCTTTATTTCTCGCATTAGGAGGACCCACTGACATATAAACTTTTCCACGAGCCCTTCTCGTTTTATTCATAACAACTTCAGTTGGACTCAATGGTTGATGTTGTGTCGCTGCATCCTGATTAAATGGATAAAGAAATTGTGGCCGGTTTTGATTTTCATTCGACGGAAATAATTGCGGTGGACTTGGTCCATTTGGTAATTGAGGAAGCTGTTGAATTTTGTCCAAAAGCTCTCGTAACTGGAAGAAGGAAAAGAAGAAAATTAAAATTAAAAATAAAAATCGAAATTACGAAGAAAAGTCTAAAATTATTATTTTTGTTTTTGTTTGAAATTTTGTTTGAAAATGGAGAAAAAACCTCTAAAGTGGGACTTGTTGCACGTGGAGGAGACGATGGCGATTGTGCGCCAAGACTCGAAATATCGGAGACTGTTCTTTGATTCGCCAAAGATGCCATTGAGTCGTCAATATTTCCTGCTCTCTCACAGCCGGCTATCGATAATTGATCAATACTATTGCAAGAATAAGGCGGAGGTATTATTGTGTTCGCTTCATTAACAACATTGCACATGAAACTGGAACTCAGTGAATCTAAAGTGCTTGCATGGGAAAGCGATCTAAAGTATCGCATCACAAAACCAGAAGCACCTTTTCCAAATCCATCGTCATAGCCAATTACGAGGGGATACAAATCCGGTTTTGCTGTTACCTAGGTATTAAATTTGAATGTAAACATTTCATTATTTCGTTCATTTTCTGTCTTATTTTTTTCTCTTCTAATTAAAATTGTAATTAAATTTTTGTACCTCATTATAGGGAGGTGGCATGGCTTGAACGAAAGAATTACATCTACTGTAGTGAGGAGGTAAATAACAGGAAGTCGAAGACGCTCTATCGGACGTGGAACAATCCTCATTTGTGCTGGACCGTCGACATCTCCACAGCCAATAACCACACGCAGCTCCAGCTGCTAAACCTGCCAGTACGGCTGCAGTCCTAAAAAAAATTTTTTGAAATAAAAATAAATAATAAATACAGACCTCTGATCGACTTTAACGAGCCAAAAAAGTTTCTTCAGTCGATTAAAAATAGAAGAAAAAGTCGAAAAACTCGTTTATTTAATTTAGTGTTGTCACAAAAATTTTATTTTGTATTTCCCTCATTTCTAAATTCAATTAATCAAAACTCGAATAATTTTGATAAATAAATATTTAAACACTTCTTATTTCTTTTTTCACGGGAAATAAAATTTAAAAAATTTCAACTTCTAAAATTTATTAATTTCTAAAAATTACAACTATAACCCTTCAAGAATTCAATTATTTTCTACAATTTTTAACTAAACTTCATCTCTAAATCAATTATCTATATCAATTTTTAATAATTTTCCGAAAGTTCTTCGAGAATTCAATTGCTTCAATACAAAAATTCAATTTTTTATAATAATTGAAACTGTCCATTTTTCATTTTAAAGATATTAAGGTAGAATATTTTCAAAAATTTTAATAAAGAAATTCTTAAAATTAATTTTTTAAAAATATTTCTAAATAATTTTTGAAAGACTATTGTCTTTATAAAACATAAAGATATCAATCGAAGACTCGGAGTGCTCGATATCTTTATGTTTTATAATAATTTAAATTTCCATAAAATTTTTCAAAAAAAAGAAAAAAATTAAATTATTTACAAAAATTTTAATAAGATTCTTTGCAAGAATTCAAATATTTTTACAAAGTAATACAATTTTTCACATCAATTCAATTATTCAAAAAATGTAACAAAATTCGTTGTAAGAATTCAATTATTTTCATAAATAATAAAATTTTTTATATAGGATTTCAATTATTTTTAATACAATTTTTAAAAAAATCCTTGAAAAATGTGTAATTATTTTCAAAAATTGTTTGAAAGAATTCAATTTGCATTTCACAAATAATGAAATTCTTTGCTGAAATTAAAATATTTTCAAAGTCTACTATTTTAATAAAATTTATCAAAGGAATACAATTATTTTCATAAATAATAATATTCTTCACAGGATTTCAATTATTTTTCAAAAAATTTAATAAAAATTCTTTGCGAGACTTTAATTATTTTCTAAATAATAAAATTCTTTACAGAATATCAATTATTTATAATACGATTTTAAGTAAATTCTTCGAAAAATGTAATTAATTTCAAAAAATTTATTAAAATTCTTTGAAAGAAATAAATTAACAATTATCAATTATTTTTAATAATTTTTGAAAAAGTTCCTAGAGAATTTTCAATTCTATTTGTTTACAATTCATTTTTACGAACTTTTGATTATTTGAAAGTTCTTCAATTAAATATTTAGAAAATAAAAACAAAATAATTTCAAAAAGAATTCAATTAAACTTTTTCAAAATTCAATTATTTCTAAAAAATTCCTGCTATAATGCTTTTAATATTGAATTATTGTCTAAAATTTAAACGGAAATTCATTTTTAAATCATTTTTTATTTAAAAATTCTACGAGAATTTAATTATTTAAATACAAAAATAAATAATTTATTGAATAAATGAATGTTTCTCAAAATTTAAATTCACGTAAAGAATTCGGAAATAATTGAATAAAAAATAATTAAATTACTAAAAAGCAGTTTATTATTTACGAAAATAATTGAATCTCTGTAAAATATTTTATTATTTTTATGAAAATAATTGAAGTATTGCGAAGAAATTTATGGAAAATTTGTAAATAATTGAATTGTTGTGAAACTTTTATTATTTATGAAATTAATTTCATATTTTCTTAGAATTTAAAAAAAAAAATTTTTTAAATAATTGAATTTTGAAGAAAAATTTTATTATTTTTAAAGATAATTGAAATTTTGATAAGAATTTAAAAATTTTTTTGAACATAATTGAATTTCTTTAAACATTTGTAACTTCTCTAAAATTCAATTTTTTGTGTTTTTAACTAAAATACTTGAAAAAATGATTCATATTCAATTACATTTTACAAAATTCCAATTATTCGAAATCTTTTTAATTGTATATTTCAAAAATTTAATTAGAAAAATTATTCAAATATAACTTTTCAAAGATTTGTCTATAGTTATGCTTTTCACGCTATAGAAATAGAAATAAGTGGCATTTTATACTAAAAATGTGGTATTTTGTTGCAAAATTTGGAAGAAAAGTTGAAAAAATTTTTTAATATAAACCGATAAAAGTCGCATTATTCGAAAATAGTCGAAAAAGTCATAATATTCGAGGCCTGTAAATAAATAAAAAAAACTACTTTTTAAATATATAAAAAAATATTTTCTAAATAGGAAAACAATTTTCTGTAAAAAGTTATTTTCCAAAATAGAAAACAGTTTTCTCAGAGAGATAAAAATTATAAATAGAGATAAAAATATTTATTTTAATTAATTTTACTGAAAGAATAAAAACAAAATTACCAATAAGTCCAAATCAGGATTGTGAACATTTCTGCGATTGATGTACCCATTTGTGGGAGTATATTGTAGCAGCAACCCAAAGAACAGCACTGCTTAGGAGGAGAGCATCTGCGAAAAAAAATCATTTATTAATAAACAAATATTTCCCAAAGTACTGAAATTATTTCTTTTCTTTTAAAGAACTCACGTGTGCCCTCCATCACAAATTTTAGCAGAGACCTTAATAATCAGAAAATCGAAAAATTTTATTTTTGGACTATATTTATAAAAATTTAATGCTTCTTCTCAAAGTTAATTTATAGATTTAAAGAAGAACGAAACATAAATTACTATTTACTCAAGCAAAAGGAAAGAAATATAGTTTACAGGTTTAGTCAAAAATACAATTTTTTAAATAGCGTAACCAATAAATGGTTAAAGCGGAGTATACAGTTCGAAAATACAAGACTATTAGTTTAAAAAAAGAAGCAAAAGATAATAAAAAGTAAGAAATAGGAAATTGTTTAAATAGAATCAAAATGGTACTCAAAAAAATAAACAATAATCTACATAATAGAAATTACGTGCAACTCTATAATGACACTAGGTACAGTTTTCATTCTAGTGAAAAGAAAATAATTCTACAACATTCACTAAACAAGAAAAAGAAATCTAATTTTGATTATTTAACTAAAGAGAAATGAAGCCAAGGATCAAATGGACAATGATGAATTCGATGCGTGTGCGTCGCAAAAATTTTCCTCTTTCTTTTTCTCATTCGGAATTTGTTTACAATTTTTCGAGAGCAAATTTTGGAATTTCCAAATAGTAATATTGAATATATGATTCAACGAAAAAACTTACTCATATTAAGTACAAAATATATTGTACCAAGTGCTTTCATTTCTCTAGACCGATGAACCGAACCGAGTGATTATTGATCGACGACTTCCAACGGCGAACGCGCAACGAGCCTGCACTTTTTCCTTATGTTCACTTCGAAGAGCCATGCTGTGAGATTAAATGGGGAAAAAGAGTCACAAAGGAATATAAAAATGAAAATATTCAATTCTATTCACTAAAAACTTACTTGTCTCACAATAAGAGCCAGCGTGACTAGTGTAATTTCCCGTTGATTATTAGTTGCCAGTTGCATATTATTTTTAAAACACCAAATTCACGAAACGCGTCAATCCGTGTTCCTATGTATATATTTACAAATGCAGTGTGCGTCAAAAACTATATATTCACTACAGGATTCTGCGCCCTTCAAAACTTCTCAATATAATGAATAAAATCATTTTCTTTTATAATAATTAAACACCTGGAAAATAAGAATGTTTAATTGTTTTCTTTGACAATAGAAAAAATATTTCAGTGTCTCGGTAACCTCGAAAAAATATTAATATTTTAATTGTTTACGATTCAGTTTAGGTTAATATTTTACAATAACTACAATAAATAGATGTTGATGGGTTGTTGTTATTATTACCATTAAAACAAAAGAAAATGATTAGAAAAACACAAGATGTTCAACTTCAAACACATATTCAAGTTTACATTTTATCCATTTTAGCGCGAAACAATTTGCAGGTTTACCAACTGATCCTTCGATTATTTTATAAAACAATATTAATTAAATTAATATACAATTAAAATTTACAATGTTGCAAACAAATAAATACAGAGAGTAAAAGTTATTACCAAAGAGGTTATGTTTATCAACAAATGATTTTTATAGAGTTTATTCTATAGTAGAGGATTTATTAATTTTCATCATTTTTACAACAAAGTGAACATACCTGTTTGTTAATTTATAAACGAAATAATTATTTATAAAAGATAACGTACTAATCAGATACAGAAATGATAAAAACACAAAATGTTTGTACCTTTTTATTTATGTTTTGAAAGAACCGAAATAACTAAAAGCGCGGTTTTTAACGGATGGCTTCACTTCCTGTTGAGCCTTAAGGCGGACGCACAATGAATTGTGAAAGAAAGTTTGTTTTGCAAAACGTGAAATTAGATATAGAAAAGAAAATAAAGTCTCTCTGTAATTTATATTTCGTTATCATAAGCAAATTTCGAGTGTTTATTTATTTAATTTATTTAATAATTATTATGACAAAAAAATATTAACATAATTTGAAACGCGCGCCAAAGTTGAAACTAAAGTGCAACTCGACGTTCAAAGATGGCGCGCTCTTCCGGTTCAAGCAGCGCGTTGGAACAAGTTTCATGGCGACGGCCCGTCTTTTTGCTCTTAAAGTTACATTATTCTATACACTTTTCATCAAGTTTTGCTCAATAGAAAGTTATTTTTAATGGTAATGAATGTTTTTTTCCAGATTTCTTATTTTTTTAGTCAAAATTAATACATTTTTGTTAATGAAAATTTGTCGTTTGTTACAGAGTGCACCTAACCTGAATTTTTGTTCCTGTTCATTTTCATCATTTGAAGAATATATTTCAAATTATTGGTAAGTCTACACATGTTTGGTATATATTTTTTTAAATAAATAATTATTCGTATTTTATTTATAATGGGAAAGTATAATTGCAAAATGGAGTGCTTTGTTGAAAAATAATTTTTTTATTGAGCTTTCTCCATGGTTCGTGATATTTTCTTTCGGATTGTTGAAATTCGATTACAATTAACAGATTTTTAAATATATCTCATTTGTTATAAATATTTATGAAAAAATTTATATTTAACAATAAACTATTTTTCTCAACGGATTTTTACCATGGAAAATTTTAAACTTTGAATATTAAAAATGGCGTCATTTCCTGTTAAGGTTATACCAACATAAGAAATTTAGAAACAAGAATAGAAATCAATAATAAAAATAAATGTATTTCTCTTTTTGTAACTTATCTTCGCGTTTGAAATTAAATTTTCCTTTTATTGTTTCTTTTTTATTATTTTGATAATCAATAATAATTTATTAATAAAAAACTCCTGAAATTGAAATACGTGGTAAAATCGATTTAGGTTAAGTACATTGACCACAGATGGCTGCACTTCCGGTTGAATAAACGCGCGAGTACAAGTGTCATGGCTTTTGTTTTGTTGACAATTTTCCCAAAAGTTTTGATTTAAAAGTCATAATATTTTACATGTTTCATTAAGTTTTGTCGAGAAAATTTATTTTTAATGGTAATTAATGTTTTATTTGTATAATTTTTATTATTCAATTCAAGATTTATTCATTTTTTAGCGATGAAAATCTGTTTTGTTTGTGTTGGGTTTCCCTAACCTAAACTTTTGCTATAGTGTTTATGTTTATCATTTGTCTCATTAATTTTAAATAGTTTTAAATTACTAGTAAGTTTGCACAGAGGTGGAGTACATATTTCAGATATTTAATTGTTTATCTTTTATTTGTAATAAGAAATTATTATAGAATATCGAAGTGCTTTGTCGCAAACAAAAGTTTGTTTTGAGGGTTTCAATGAACACTTTTGTTGCAACAATGTTTTCAATGTTGTCAATTGTTCGCAATATTCACAATATTACTGCAATTTTAGAGGTTATGGAGAAAGACACTTAAGTTCGGCTTCTAATTGTGTAATTTATTTGTTGAAAATATAAAAAAAGGCTCAATATTTACCAAAAGAAAAATCGTTTATTGCCTCTGAATTTTTTGTATAAAAAGTTTCTAAATAAAAAAAATCATCTTAATAATTTGTAATGTAAAACATCTCGGTAATTAATTTAAATCGTTGAGATTTATTGAGAATTGTTGGGATTGCATTAAATCTAAGAAAAATTCTTTTTTGTAGTGAAACATCCTTCACTTTGTGGTGTGTCACTTTGTCAGTGACAAAGTGCAAAAGAGTGAATAACCAGGAAGGATATAAAGAATTGATGTTCTCTTGAAGGGAAAATTCTGCTGACCGACGTGATGTATCTTCACTATAGTTGGACTGTAAAGGAGGATAAGGAGGATTGTGAGGATCAATGGGAAAATACGGCGATAGCTTTCATCGCTTGTCAGAATCGCAAAGGAGAATCGAGAGGATCTATGAGCAAAGCAGTCAATAGAGCCCTTCCTCCGACGTGGGATTCATCGATCGGCAAGTCTTAATAAATAATTTATAAACAATATAGTGACTGTCATGTGACAAATAATTCCCCCTGATTCGATTGTCAATTTCGCTTTTGTCATTTGCAAAATTATTGCAAATAATATATTATCGCAGGGTTGCCACAGGTCAGGGAAATCAGGGAAAAGTCAGGGAAAAACAAAGTTAAATTTTTGTGGCAACCCTTTATCGGCAATTAATATTTAATTAATTAAATGATCGATATTATCAACTTAATTTTGATAATCATCAAAACAAATTAAAATTTATACAAATACAAATTTGTACAAATTCTGTATATATTTTATGACTCTTACATGTTTTTTTTTTGTTTAAAAATGTAAAGTTAAACACTTAAAAATTAATTATTAATTAATATTAATATTAAATAACAATAATACCATTATTACTAATTATTATTATTTGTATTCTTATTAATTATTATTATTAAAATAATTTTTATTATAATAATTAAATTATTAAGATAATTTTTACTATAATAATTAAATTATTAAATTAATTTTTATTATAAAAACTAAATAATTAATGAATTATTATTAATAAACATTTAATTTGTTGTTATATTAATTATTAATTATTCAATAATTACTTTACACTTAAAGATTAAAATAATATAATTTTAATCTCGAATAGTGTGAATACTGTGATTTTATTAGATTGATTAAAAACTTTAATTAATTATATTTAACCAATTTAATTAAATGCAATTTTATACAATTTGCGAGATTGAAATTAAATATTAAAAAAAAATTACTTGACGTAAATTTATCAAAAAAGAAATTAATTCCAATTTTTTGATTATTTTCTTTTTTTGGCTATTTATGAATTATAATTCTTTCAAATTTATAATTTTTTTAATTTATGAAAACGTAATTTAAGAGAACTTTCACTTATTATTATGTTAAGGTCCCCTTATTACTTTTTTTAAATCTTCTTTTACGGGGTTTTTTACCCTTTTTCCCGACAAATTTCTAATTGGAGACAGTAAAATTTAATTACAAGTGAATTATTTCCGCGTCATGAAATTCAGTGTGTGTTAAAATCTAAGCAAAAAAAAGTGTATTCTAAAGGCAAGTCATATTAGGTAAGACATTTATTAATTATTTTTTTATATTTGTATTTCTTATTATTTTAAAGTAAACTGAAAATTAAATCGAAGAAAAAAAATGTTATCATTATGATGAAGATTTTTTTATTTATAAAAGAAAGTAAAGGGTCTTAAATCATTATTATTTTTTTTAAAATAAAAATAATATAATATAAAATGATGTATCTATTTTTTCCCATTTTTCACGAATCGGAAAAATTATTGAATTCTTTTGTTAGAAAATTTTTTTTGTTTGCTTATTTTTCCAATCTAAGTTAGCCGAGTGACCGTTTTGGAAACACATTTACAATTATTGGATTTTAATCTAAATGAGAAATGTAGGTTCTCAATCGATTTCATTTTTCTTCTTTTTTTTTTTTATTGAATCGACAACAATCATCTGAAAATTAAGATTAAGGTTTTAAAAATTCTCCTTGACTTGGAAATAAATTTCCAATTTATAATTAATTGATTTTTCATTATTCGTTTTTCGGTTCTCTTGAACAAGTTCTAAAATTAAAATCTTGTTAGATTTTCTTTTCCTTGTGGTGAGTTACACGTTTTCTTCGAAGAATGCAAAAGAAAATATTCTTTGAATATAGTTTTTACTCATTTAAAATTGTACATATTAAATTTTTAAAAAATTTATTTATTGAAAATTCTTTTGTATTTTTATTCTTGGAAAAGTTACTTTTTCTCGCTTTAAAAATTCTTGGCGGAATAAATTATAATCGAATAATTTTACAATCATTGCTTTTAGTGATAAAATATTGGATTTGACGTTTTTCAATTTACTCTTGGATTTGAATATGAAGAATATTATTCTGATAATACTTTCAGTTTTTCTTGTAAGTTCCATATTATTTTCTGTAGTTTTTCTCAACTTTTTTTCTCAACTTTTTTTCTCACTCTCACATATTTTGTTGTTTTAAAGTCAAATTTTCCAGATTTCTGTTAGAGGAAATACTTTACGAAAGTGTAGAAAAGAAACTGGCGTTTCTTCTGGTGAGCTTTGCTATTATTTTGAAAATTTATCAAATTGTCTTTTATTTTTAGAATCATTTTTCATTATTTAATTTTATTAAATGTAATTTATTTTTAAAAAATTACTAGATAATAAATTTTCGAATTAGAAATATAATAGTTGAAATTGAAAATATTTATTATTTTTTAATTCAAATACATTTTCTTTCAAAAAAATAGAAATTTTTATTGAATAAATGAATTTTTTATAAAAATTTTAGAGTCTTTAAAAAAATTAAGAGCTGGCGACTTTAATGTTGAGGATCGAAACTTAAAGTGTTATTTACGTTGTGTTTTAATTAAACATCGCGTTCTTAACGAAAAAAATGTCATAAATCTCGGTAAAGTTTTGAAATTTTTCCCTCAAAACTCTCAGGCTCGAGTGCGAAGTAATTTTGATAAATGCAAAGTCATTAGTAAGTCATAATTTTGTTTTCTTGCTTTAGAAAAAAAGCTTTTTAAAATCAAATTATTATTATTAAATAATAATAATAATTTTTTTCTATTGTTTCTAAATAGCTGGCAAAGATAAATGTGATAAAATCTTTCAAGTTGCGAAGTGCTTCTTTAAATTAGAACCAGAAGTGAGTGAACAAATTTTGTTAGTAATTTTAAGATTTAATTTAATAACTTAGTTTAAATTTAATTAATTATTCGTATTTTCAATATATTTTTAATATTTAATTTGTTAATATTAATAATAGGTAATTGAATTTAATAAATTAATTTTAATTAGAAAACTATTTTTTTTATAATTTGTTAAAAAATACTGAAGTTAATTTAATTAATTAATTAATTTAAGATTTATTTAATTTAATTTTTATTTCTTTTTATAGATCCTGAAAACAGTATCTTCTATGTTGGCCTAATTTAAATAATGCAAAAAAAGTCAAAAGACAAAAGTAAATAAAATAATTTGTTGAGAAAAATGATTTTTTTTTTTTGCAAATAATTTCAAACAATTTTTGTTTAAATTATTTTATTAATAATATAAAGAGACAAAAATGAATCAGAGGGAAAATTAAATTTTAAATTACAATTTGATATACTTTTGTTTGATTTGCATTTTACATGAGAGAGAAAATGAGAGAAAGTGAGAGAGAGAGAGAGAGAGAGAGAGTAACAAGAGGATTAAGTATATAGATATTATATTACATGTCGAGTATTTATTTAACAAAAACGATATTATTATAAATTAATTTCAATTGCATTACAATAACGAATCATCGTTTAATCTCCATGTGTAAATGTGTGTATGGAGAAGAAAAAAAAAGGTGTTGACAGGCTCCTTTGTTTGACAAATGATAAACATACACGAAAATCGATAAACTTTCCCCCGTGTGATGTTGATTAATTATTAGTAATTATTCCATTTTTGTTATTTCACGTTGAAATGAAAATTAACGGACTTTTAATTAATAACGTTTTAATTTGAAAAAAAAGAGAGAAAGAGAGTGAAGGGAAAAAAAATATGAATTAAACTGTTTGATAAATTTTCTGTTGAGAATTTTTTTTTTTCGAGAAACGTCAGTTAAAATTATATTGTGATGAGGTTAAGGCAATATTTTGATGCTTTCATAGGTATGATTATTTTAAATTCTTGATTAAATTTACAATTGGTATTAATTTAGTTGGAAAGAGAGAAATTAAATGTTTTTTTCCTTTTTAATTTGTAAGCTTCTTTTGGTGGGTTTGCAATTGGAGTGTCGATAGCATGGAATTCAAGTGTCAGTTACCAATTAAATGACACAGGTGCGACTATTCTCGAAATAGGTTTTATAGGATTCATCTTAAATATTGGAGCTTGCATTGGATCCATATTTGCTCCGTGTATTCTGAAAATATTTGATTTCACCAATGCGATATTTCTAATGTTTCCTGTTTTCTTTATTGGATGGTCGTTTATTTCCTTCTCGCAGACAAATGTAAGTTTTATTTTTTTTTTAATAATTTAGTTACGCTGAAAAAAATTTTTTTGATTCAAATAAATCATTACTTGACTATTAGATTGAAAAAAATTGTTTAATACACTGAAAGTTTGATTGAATCCACTAAATAAATTAATTGCTATCAAATGTTTATTTAGTTCAACAAAAAATTTGCTTTTGAAGATCAAATTCTTTCTTTGAACGCAAAAATAAATTAAAACGAAACAAATGTTTATGTGAATTGAATATTTATTTAAATTAAAAGAAACTTTAATTAAAAAATCTAAAAATAAGGTTTAATTGACTCGGATAGAAATTCTTTGATACAAATAATTATTTATTTGAATCAAAAAAAAATTACATGACATAAATAATAATTATTTATTTAAATCATATAAATTTTTTTCAGTGAATATTTAAAAATATTTGAATACAATTTTATTAATTAAATATTAGAAATTGTATAGATTATAATATTTATTATGTATATACAGGGTTGACACAGGTCAGGGAAATCAGGGAATTCAGGGAAAAGTCAGGAAAAGTAGAATTGGTCAGGGATTTTTATTATAAGTACTGAAAAAAAATTAAATTCTTAGAATTCATAAGAAATTTACAGAAATTCAATTATTTTTAGGAATTTTAATATAATTCTTTACAAAATTCAATTATTTTCATAAATAACAATATTCATTAGAAAAATTCAATTATTTTCAAAAGTAATAAAATAATTGAAAAAAATAAAATAATTTCTTTCTTCGAAGAAATTCAATTATTTAAAAAAATTTTAAGGAATTATCTCGTCAAGAATTCAATTATATTTACAAATAGCAAATTTTTCGCCAAAAATTCAATTATTTTCAAAAATTTTTTAAAAATTCTTTGCAAAATTTCAATTATTTTCAAAACTTTTTCACAATGAAATAATTTTCAATATTTACTATTTTCATAAAATTTATAAAAAGATTTAATTATTGAAAAAAATTTTTGATAAAATTCTACAAAAACATTCAATTATTTTCATAAATAAAAAAATTTCATTTAGGAATTCAATTATTTTCATCGCAGAATTTCAAATATTTCTATTTCGCAATTTTAAATAAATTCCTTGAAAAATGCAATTATTATTAAAAATTTTATTGAAACTTGAGGAAATAATTTAATTTTAAAAAAAATTCAATTATTCAATAAAATAATAAAATTCGTTGCTATAATTCATAATTCAAATATTTTTTTATAAATAAAATTTAATTCGTCGCAGAAAATCAATTGTTTTCAAAAAATTTTAAGTAATTCTGCAAAAGAATTCAATTAGTTTGATAAACAACAAAATTCTTCCCATAAAATCAATTATTCTAAGGAATTTTAATAAAATTCTTTTCCAAAATTCAATTATTTTGATAAATATCAAAATTCATCACAAGAATTCAATTCTTTTGAAAAGTAATAATAAATACTTTGCAGAAATTAAATTATTTTCAAATTTTTTTAAAAATTCTAGTCAAGAATTAAATTATCTTTATAAATAGATAGCGAAATTCTTCTCAAGAATTAAATTATTGTCAAAAATTTTAATTAAATTCTTGGCAAAATTTCAATTATTTAAAGAAAATTTAATAAAATTCTTCGCATAAATTTAATTGTTTTCAAAAATTATTATTTAAATTCTTCTGAGAAATTCAATTATTTTTAAAAGTTTTAAAAAAATTCTTTAGAAAGTGAAATGAAATTAAATAAAATATTTTCAAAAGTTGTTAATAAAATTCTTCCTAAAAATTAAATTTTGAGAAACATTCAATTTTTGTCAGGAAATCAGGGAAAAATAAATTAAAATTTTTGTGGCAACCTTGATAGAATATTTACAAATAATTTACATAAAATTGACTAATTAAATAAATTTTATAGAATATTTGTAAATAATTTATAATAAAATAATCCAATAAAAAAATGTATTCTAATTTAATATTCATTCTAATGCAGGTAATTTTTATCATGATTGGTCGATTATTGTGCGGCAATTGCTGTGGAATATTGTGTGTTCTCATTCCCATTTATGTGGCAGAAATAGCCAAGAAGGAAATTCGTAATCGTCTCATGATATTCTTTCATTTATTAATTAATTGCGGCATTATGTATGCTTTTCTAATTGATTATCTACAAGAGGAGGAGAAAATAATTTGGCAGTATAGTCTTCTTTGTGGTATTTCCTGTGTTCCGATTGCTTGCATTATTTTCTTACCAGAAAGCGCCTTTTATTATTTAACAAAAAACGATGAAATAATGGCGAAACAATCTCTTCAACGTTATCAGAATAATTCCAATGATGATGATGATTCTGATGATAACGATAGTAATGATTTTAGCGAAGAACTCGAGGAACTTAAAAGTCTCGCTGCTATTTTTCAATCGAAGGCAAGTATCTTAAGATATCATTTTTAGTGCTAATTAACTTAAAATATTAATTAGCTAATTCAATAATTTACACCGAAAAATAAATTTATTTGATTTAAACATTTTTTTCAGTGCAACTAGTAATTTATCAGATTAAATTAAATTATTAAATTATTTGTAATAATAATTGTTATTGTTTATTAAATTCAATTCAGTTATTAAATTAATTGAATTAATAAATATACTTGCAATTAATTCAATTATTAAGTTAATTAGCAAATTACTTGAATTAATAATTATTTTCGTAATTAATTATGCACTCTGTCTCAGGTGTCGAGTTCGCTGTTGAAAAATAGAAAAATCTGGCGCTCATTTTTCGCAAGTGTGGTTTTAGTTCTAACTCATCAATTCAGTCTAATTAATATTATAATTTTCTACGCATTTACGATATTTGAATTGAAATATCCGAGCGGGGATTTCGATACAAGTGAAACAATTCTTATTATCGGAATTGTTCAAATAGCTGGCAGTGTTTTGTCAATAATTTTGATTGACTTGATTGGCAGGAGAAAATTGTTACTATTTTCATCGATTTTTATGGGAATTTTTCTCGCTCTACTAGGTATTTAATGTTTCGATATTCTTTTTATGAGAATTTTTTTTTCATTGCCTTTTTAATCGTTTTAAAAATTTTATTATTGGTTTTAAAAATTTTTTTAAATACGTAGATTTAGTTTCGAACTATGGTATAAAAACAGGCCTCGGATATTATGACTTTTTCGACTATTTTTAAATAATGCGACTTTTATCGACTTACATGAAAAATTTGCGATTTTTTCGCCTTTTCTTCCAAATTTTGCGACAAAATACCATATTTTTAGTATAAAATGCAAACTATTTCGATTTTTATAATGTGAAAAGCATAACTATAGACAAATCTTTGAAAATTTATTTTTGAATAATTTTTCTAATTAAATTTTGGAAATATACAATTAAAATGAATTTGAATAATTGAAATTTTGTAAAATTTAATTGAATATGAATCATTTTTTCAAGTATTTTATTCAAATTTTTGAAAATTAACTTTTAAAGAATTTTGATTTAAAAATTTTGGAATAATTGAATTCTCAAAAATTTTAATGAATAATCTTTAAATGTAAATTCAATAAAAATGAAAATTAATAAAAATTAGGTTCTAAAAATAATATTAAAATAGTTTTAAAAAAAAGTAATTCTCTGAATTATTTTGTTCTATTTTTTTAAATAATTGAAAATTCAATTATTTTCAATATTTTCAATATTTCAAAAAATTCAAATACATACACAAAACAATAACATTACAATTTTTTAGAATTATTTTGAACGCTTTGGAGAAAATAATCATATTCAAAATTTTTATTAAAATTCTTCGAAAAATTAGATTTTTTAAAAAATATACAAAAATTCTTCAATTTTTTTCGAAAAATTACATTACAATATTTATAAAAAACTAATTCTTAGAATTTAAGAATCTTTAAGATTCATTTAACTTCGAACAATGAAAATTAAGTTTTTTTAAAATTTACTATTTTAGAATTTTTGAGAAATTATTTATAATTAAAATTCTTCAAAAATTTGATTATTTTTTTTATATTTTTTAAAAACTCAATTATTTTCAAAATTTTACATTTTTTAATTGTAGGTATGTAATTGTAAAACAATTGTGTTTTAAAATTTATTTAGAAATATTTTTAAACAGTTAATTTTACGAATTTTTTTTAATAAATTTTTTTGGAAATATTCTACCTTAATATCTTTAAACAGAAAAATTGACGGTTTCAATTATTATGAAAAATTAAAATTTTTGTATTTAAATAATTAAATTCTCGGAGAACTTTCGGAAAATTATTAAAAATCAATATAGATAATTGATGCAGGCCTCGGATATTATAGCTTTTTAGACTTTTTTCGACTATTATCAAAAAATGCGACTTTATTCGACTTATTTTCAAAAATTTCGACTTTTTCGACTTTTCTTCCAAATATTGCAATAATTTTTAGTATAAAATGCAATTTATTTCGATTTTTATATAGTGTGAAAAATAACTAATAGATAAATCTTCAAAAATAATTTTTTAATAATTTTTCTAATTAAATTTTCGAAATTTACAATTAAAAAGAGTTTCAATAATTGAAATTTTGTAAAATTTAATTGAAAATAATTTATCTTTTTTAAAGTGTTTTATAAAAATTTTTGAAAATCAACTTTTAAAGAATTTCATTTGCAAATTTTGAGAATAATTAAAATTGAATTCAATTTTAATTGAATTCCTAGGAAGAATTCAATTATTTTTATAAATAGTAAAATTCTTTGCAGGAATTCAATTATTTTCAAAACATCTTTAATTGAATTTCTCGGAAGAATTCAAATATTTTCATAAAATTCAATTATTTCCTAAAATTTTAATAATTTCTTCGACAAAATTCAACTATTTTTATAAATACTAAATAAATTTTTAAAATTTACAATAAAAAAGAGTTTCAATAATTGATATTTTGTAAAATTTAATTGAAAATAATTGATTTTTTCAAAATGTTTTATAAAAAATTTTTGGAAATCAACTTTTAAAGAATTTTAATTGCAAATTTTGAAAATAATAGATTTCTCAAAAATTTTAATAAAAAGTCTTCAAGTGTAAATTTAAAAATGGTAATTAATGAAAATTAGCTTCTAAAAATTATACAAATCTCCAAAAATTCAAATACATACAAAAAATAACATTAAAATTTTTTACATTTTTTTTTTAATATTTTAACAACATATTCTTTATTATAATTTTTTGAAAATTAATTAATATCTTAAAAAACATGGACAGTTACAATCATTATAAAAAACTGAATTTTTGTATTTAAATGAATTTTCTAAGAATTTTCGGAAAATTATTAAAAATGATTGTTTTCGAGAAGAGGTTTGATTAAAAATTGTAGAAAATAATTGAATTTTAAGAGAATTAAAGTTGTAATTTTGAAAAGTTATAAAATTTCAGAAGGTTTTAAATAGAATTTTTGAAAATTTTATTCCCATATGAAAACAAACAAGAAGTAGGTACCTATTTAAATATTTATTTAGCGAAATTATTCAAGTTTTGAATAATTAAATTTAGAAATCAGTGAAAGATCAGAAAATACAAAATAAAATTTTTGTGACGACACTGAATTAAATAAAAGACTATTTTGGACTTTTTTTCTATTTTAAATCGATTGAAGCGACTTTTTTTGATCGTTAAAGTCGATCCGAGGCCTGTTAAAAAATTATTTGAGTTTATAATTTTTCGAAAATGAAAATATTTATTCAATTTTAATTGATTACGTAAACATATGAAATATTTTAATTAACTTTGTAAAAATTATTAATATTTTAATTAGTCATGTAGAAATAACAAATATTTGAATTAATCTTGTAGAAATAACAAATATTTAAATTATCTAAAAATAATAATTGAAAATAAAATAATGAAGAGGTGAATAAATATGAATTTGAGTAATTAATTTGTAAAAATTTTGCAGGTTGGTTTATGAAAGTCGAGAAAGAAAATACTGAATTTAGTGAAAAGTATTATTGGATACCGTTGACATGCATAAGTCTCTATTTTGCATCATTTAATTGTGGAATTGGTCCATTAGCATGGTCTCATCATGCCGATTCTTTCCCGGTGGAAATTAAATTAATTGGTTCAAGTGTCGTTGTTTTTTTAAGCTGGGCATTGTCATTGATAATTATTTTAATTTTGTACATGTTAATTGTATTTTATGGCGAAGTCACAACTATTTTTGTGTTTGCAACATTCTCTTGGATTGATTCGATACTATTATTTTTTCTCATTCGTGAAACTAAGGGAAAAAGCCTTTCAGATATTCAATTTGAATTCGATATCACGGAGTAATTTTTTTGAAAATTAAAACTTTATTTATGAGATAATTTTTTTTTCAATACACAAAATATTACGTTTTGTTAATGAATTCTTTTTTTTATAATAATTTGGAATTTATTACCTGTAAGCATAATTTATTGGATATTGTTGAAAATAGAGAAAAATAATTAATTAATTTCATGGGCGAGTGAAAATTTTGATGATATTAAAATGTTGAGTTTAATACATGAGGATAATAAAAATGTTAATTAACAATGTTTTACAGTTTTTTTTAGTTAGATGTTAATGTATTAAAATTAATTATTTCATTTAATGCTTTTTTTAAAATTTTTTACCGTAGAAGTTTTTTTCCATTTATTTTATTTTTAGGTTTTTTAATATTTTTACTTCGTTTATATTTTTATCTATTTTATTAAAATTCTTATTGAAATCATATAAAGTAATAAATAGCTAAAATTAATTAAAAAAAGAAACTTTAGAATTTTTTAGTATTTGGAAATATTTATGAAAAAAACAAAACAGGGCTAAAAATCTGAAAGTCATAAATTGTAAATTCATTTATTTGAGTGGCAAATTTTTACTGTGAAAGAAAGTCGTAAAAAAATTTAAAGTTTCTAAAACTGGCAACGAATGCAATTTGGAAAAATAACAGAAAATTGATTCTTTAATTTGCTGGGTTATAAGTATATTTTTTAATAAATAAAGTTTAGACATTGAAACAAAAAATTTCATCATGTGTGATCATTGCGCGTAAGTCTTGACAGTTTACTTTAATAATAATAATTTTTATATATATTATTATATATATAGTATTCTGGTGACTAATTATTAATTGTAATAATTAATTTTTAGAAAAGTTGCCAGTCAAAAGGATTATTCCGGTCATGTGACGTGCAAATGCGAACAGTAAGAAATATTTCTTAAAACTGATAAATTTAACAATTGATTTAATTAATTAGTAAATTAATTAAATTAATTTATTGCAAAATATGTCAGAAAAAATCATTAATTGAATGTTTAAAACGAATAAAATATTTGTATTATTTCGTTGCAGTCCGGAAAAGAAAATAGAGGAAAGAAGGGTTGCTGGAGGATGTTGCGGAAGAAAGTAGGACTATGAATTTTCTTTTTTATTGCAAATGAAGTTTTTTTTCTATTTAGTGCTTTTTGTAACTGTTTTTTATTTTCTTTTCAACTTTGCTATTTTTTGCAAATTTAGTTTGAATTTTTATTTCCTTTCTCCATTTTTTCCTTTCTATTTTCTATTTATTTATAATTAAATTAAATTACTCGGACGTTAAAGATTTGATTATTATTATTATTTCTTTTAAATGAGTGTAATTAATTTTTAAAAAATCAAAATTCACAAAGAAAGTTATTTATATGAAAAAATTTTTCAAATTCAGTTTCAATTTTATTTATTTATTTAGTTTAGATTCTTTCCAGTGATAGACTTTTTGATATACTCGAAATAAAATACAAATATTTCTTTCGTAAATAATTATTTTTGCATATTTTTAATATTTTATTGAAATATTTATTATTATAATTTTGTTAATAAATAAAAGATAAATGCTAAATCACGATTTTTTATTTTGCTTAAAATTTTAATGGAATTTAATGATAATTAGATTTTATTGAATTTCATTAGACAAATTTATTAGAATTTTATTTTATTGGTTATTTTTTCTATTACTTTTTATAGTTAAATGAGAAATACAAAATGTGAAAATATGACTTATGACAATTTAAATTTTACTAGTTTCAACAATGTATATTGAGTATATATTGAGGGAAAAAATCGTTTAAGAGTTATTGTCAATGAATTATTATACGAGCGATAAATTTCTGATTTTCAGGAAACATCGTCGCGTTTCTTCGGGAAATGAGAATCGGTTGGGTGATCATATGAGATACAATATATAATAGTCGATTTAAACATTTCAAAATATTTTCTCATATAAGAATGCCACACATATTTCTCATATATAAAAAAGAATTTTTTAAACTCATTTCTTCTATTTTCATAAATTAATAATTTATGAAATTAAATTAAAAATTAATATAAAAACATCTCTTATCGAATTTACAAGAATTTATTTGATGCAATAAAAAATTATTTGTTAGAAATGAAAATAATTTGATACAAATTTTTTTTATTTAATAAGAGACAAGTAATCGTTTATTTGAATAAATTTAATTTTTTTTTTCAGTAAGATATTTTTTGACAAAATATATTTATAATTTTTTATTTAAAAAAATTTTTCCATAAGGTCACTTTTATTTTTACGTAAGAATTTGATTTGAAATAACTTTCGGTATTTTCCTTTGTTTTCGATTTTGTTTCTCAATTTAAATTTCATTTGAATATAAAATTCCTTTGATTGCAAATGAGTTTTTTTTCGCCCGAAAATTTTATTTGTCTGAATTTCCCTTTTGCACACAAATTTCCGGTTTCGTTTTCGTTACAAAATTTATATTTAAATGCGTATTTTTCTTTAATTTGAATTTTTATTTATTTTACATTTTTATATTATTTTTTGATTCTTAAAAAAAATTTGATTCAAATAATCAATTACTTTTTCTACACCCAGAAAAAAATTTTATTTAAACCAAATATAATTTATTTAATTTTGAAGCAAATATAATTTAATTGACTGAAATGAAAATTATTTGATGTAGATAAATATTTATCTACCGGGAATTTAATTTGAACGGGGAAAATGGGGAATAAGCCAGGAATTTTATGCCAAACTGGGAATTTTTTCACCAAATTAAAAAAAGTTTTATTATTTTAATTTGTTTTTAAAAAATCGCTTTTTATTTCAATTTTTATAGATATTTATACAATAAAAAAAAATTCAATTTTGGAGAAATTACAAATAATTGCAGAAATTCAAGAATTTTCAAAAAAAAAAAAAAAAAAAATAGAATTCTTCTTATAAAATTGAACTATGTTCAAAATTTGAAAAAAATTCTCGGAAATATCCCCATTATCTTTATAAATATCAAAATTCTTCTCCAAAGTTCAATTATTTTCAATTATTATAAATGTCAAAAATAGTAGGTATTGTCCTCATTTCAATTATTTTCAAAAAATTTTCTAATTTCAATTATTTTCAAAAATTGTTCTAGTTTAAATTATTTTCAATATCTAGGTACTATTTTAATAAAATTTCCTATAAGGAATTCAAATATTAAAAAAAAAAATTTTTAAATTGTATGCAAACATTTAATTATTTTCATAAATAATAAAAATTTCACAGGAATTCAATTATTCAAGTTATTCAATTATTATAAAATATGAAGAAATCGATCACTCCGAGTCTTCGACTCGGAGCAATTCTTTTTTTTCGATTTCTTCATATTTTATAATAATTGAATAACTTGAATAATTGAATTCCTGTGAAATTTTTATTATTTATGAAAATAATTAAATGTTTGCATACAATTTAAAAATTTTTTTTTTTAATATTTGAATTCCTTATAGGAAATTTTAATTAATTAATTAATTAAATAAATTTAATTAATTCTTAATTCCTGTGGAAAATCCTGTTCCAAAATAAGATTAAAAATCGAAATTGTGCAAAGATTTTTCTTCTTTTTCTAAAACAACATAATAATTTTGTTTAAAAAATTGTGATTCATAAACAAAAAGAATGCAAAATAAATAAATTTTCTATTTCTTAATCACAGTTGTTTAACAATTTTCTAATTTTGTTTAGAACTAAAAAACAAAAATCTGCATAATTTCAATTTGACAAAACATAATATTTAACAAAATTTTATAGTGAAAAATCAGTCACTGATTCAAATATAGTATGTAAATAAATTTTTAAAAAATTATCGAATTAATACAAATTTTTTGAAATTCAACTGAAAATAATTAAGTTAGAGAATTTCATTTAAAAATTTTTAACAAATCGAATTTTTAAAGTAGGTATTTTAATTCAGAATTGATAAATAATTGAATTTTATAAGCAAAATTCTTCAGATTTACTAAATTCGTTTGAATATTATTTTGAAAAATAATTCTTCATAAGAATTCAATTATTTTCAAAAATTTCCATAAAATTTTAAAAAACAATTCAATTATTTTCAAAATTATAATGAAATTCTTCGCAGAAATTAAATTATGATTAAATTTTTTTTTAATTTCTCCTTAAAATTTCAATTATTTCTGTAAATAATTAAATTGTTCTCCACAATTCAATTATTTTCAAAGTAATAAAATTCTTCAGATTTACTAAATTCTATTGAATAATATTATTTTTAAAAAAATTTTACAGAAGAATTCAATTATTTTCATAAATGTCCGTAAAATTCTAAAAAAAACAATTCAATTATTTTCAAAAGTAATGAAATTCTTCGCAGACATTCAATTATGTTTAAAATTTTTTTTAAATTCTCAAAATTTCAATTATTTTTATAAATAATTAAATTGTTCTCCACAATTCAATTATTTTCAAAAGTAATAAAATTCTTCGCAGAAATTCAATTATGTTTAAATTTTTTTTTAAATTCTCCTCAAAATTTCAATTATTTTTATAAATAATTAAATTGTTCTCCACAATTCAATTATTTTCGAAAATTTTAATAAAATTCAACGCAAACATTTAATTATTTTCATAAATAATAATAATTTGGAAGGATTTAATTACTTTTATAGATAGTAAAATTCTTTGCAGAAATTCAATTAGTATTAATCCGTTTTAGTAAAATTGAATTAATCAAATTTTCAATTATAATATGAACAGAAAAGATTATTTTATAAAATTAAAAAAATTCTTTATTTAACTGAATTATTTTTCAAATTTTTAATTAATATTATTAAAAAAACATTATTTTCGAAAAATTTAAAGAAACTCGTCAAAAGAATTTAATTATTCATAAAAACTCTAATAAAATTTTTTTAAGCTATTTGTAAATTTATTTAGGTTCGAAATCAAATAAATTTAAATTTGATGAGAAAAAAAACCCGGGAAAAAATTAGAACAAGTCCGGGAATTTTGTTGAACGAAAATAGTAGACACCCTGTATTTGATACAAATATTTATTAGATAATAGACAATAGTTTATTTGAATCAAATAAATTTTTTCTTCAGTGTATATTTGAATTTGAAAAAAACGAATTTTTATAATTCGTACACTGAAAAAAAAATTATTTGATTCAAATAACCGATTAATTGACTATTATCAATTAAATATTTAATTGAATCAAATAATATTTATTGGAGTCAATTAAATGGTTCAATTCATATTTGCTTCAAATACTGAAATTATTGGTTCAAATACCATTTAATTGACTCCAATAAATATTATTTGATTCAAGTAAATATTTAATTGATAATAGTCAATTAATCGGTTATTTGAATCAAATAAATTTTTTTTCAGTGCAATTTATAAAAGTCGTAATTTATCATTTTGAGAGAATTCTCGCTTTCAATTTTTTTTTTTGTGGAAAAGTTGAGCACGATTTTAGATCTCTTCTATGCTTGGAAAATGAAGTGAATTCGTTGCCATATATATAGATAGATATAAATGTAATCCAAGGCGTATTATTATGCATATGAGCATGTATCAATGACATTCTTGATGGATGGCACCTATCTTCCATATTTAGGTAGAGTGTATATGCATTTGGTAATTTCTCTTGCCTATTACCTTGTCCTGAATTGCTATGACAATACTCCCCATTTCCTGAAAGAGGTTGGCGCACTTGTGTGGCTTCTACTATCCTTGTTATCACTCCTTTTAGTGGAGTTTTACATCATGAAAAGAGCCCCCTTGAAATACACTCAATTTTATAAAATATTCGAATCAAGTGGAAAAAAGAAAGAATTGAAAGGAGAAAAAAGGAGAAAAAAATTATCGAGAAACGATCTTCTAATTAAATTATAGTGCGAGAGAAATTAAATTAATTAGCCGTTAATTTCTTTCCTCGTTTTGTATAATATAATTTTTTACGTGAATTGCTAAGAATTATTGGAAACATTAAAAGGAGAGTAGAAATACAGAAAAGATGAAATATACTCGCGGCAATATTTTAATGAGTTGGAAAAACTTTTTTTTAACTCTTTTTTTGTAATTTGAACTTTGTGGGTGAAATTCTTTTTTTTTAACTTTGTCTCATTCTTTGTTGCTAATAAAAAATTTATTTTCCGTACAATCTGGATTTATAATGGTGTAAAAAAATTGAAATTAGTTAATTTAATTTTATTAAAATTCGTCCCTTTTTTATTTTTTCATTTTGTTTTTTATTCAATATAATTTATTTAATTTAATTTTTTTTATTAATTTAAATTAATTTAATTTAATTTATTTTTTATTAATTTAAATTAATTTAATTTATTTTTTATTCATTTAAATTTATTTAATTTTATTTATTTTTTATTCATTTAAATTTATTTAATTTTATTTATTTTCTATTTATTTTGGAATGATTAGAAATTTTTATCAATTTATTTTGAGAAAAAATTTAGAAATGAAGTTTATAATAACGGAGAAGTTAGATTATTATTTCAAACATATGTACTTGATAAACCCTTCTGGCGAAATTGTAACCCAACGATTTATAATATAATTTTGGCCTTGGAACCACCGCAGGGAAATTTTGCGTGTCGCGTAAAATCGTCTATCAATTATGAAATCTTTAGCTGAAATTTCAAACATTTGAGATTTTTTTGATAAGACACAAGAAAAAACAACAATTATGATTTCAATTTTTTTTTTCAAGAATAATGAGTCGTATAATTTATTCGAATTTCGTGAAGTATTTCTTAAAATAGAAACATTAAAAATAATACTCATAATAATAAATACAAAAGAAAAATACCGTGGGTAATAAATACAAAGAATGCAATAATAATTATAAAAAATACAATAACAATTATAAAGAATACATTATAATAATCGTAAGTTTCCTTTCCGTTAGCAAATTATCTGCATTCATTTGTTTGTTTTGAAAATTTAATTTTGTGGGTTAAGTATTGGCATTTTTTATATATTTTTTAATGTCAAACTTTTTAATGTAGAAAATACTTTACTTATTAAATTGTCTCGAATCTTTGATAAAAAATCTAAAATTATCGAAAATTATCAAAAATTCAAAAATCCGAATTTCTTAAAATTTAACATTCTTTCCTCTCTTTTATGGGATTTAGCTTCATTATTTTTGTGCTTTTAAAAAATACTTTACTTATTAAATTGTCTCGACTCTTTGGTAAAAAATCTAAAATTATCAAAAATTCGAAAAATTCAATAATCCGATTTTCTTGAAATTCAACATTTTTTCCTCTCTTTTATGGGATTTAGCTTCATTATTTTTGTGCTTTTGGAAAATACTTTACTTATTAAATTGTCTCGACTCTTTGGTAAAAAATCTAAAATTATCGAAAATTATCAAAAATTCAAAAATCCGTTTGTGTTAAAATTCAACATTTTTTCCTCTCTTTTATGGGATTTAGCTTCATTATTTTTGTGCTTTTAAAAAATACTTTACTTATTAAATTGTCTCGACTCTTTGGTAAAAAATCTAAAATTATCAAAAATTCGAAAAATTCAATAATCCGATTTTCTTGAAATTCAACATTTTTTCCTCTCTTTTATGGGATTTAGCTTCATTATTTTTGTGCTTTTGGAAAATACTTTACTTATTAAATTGTCTCGACTCTTTGGTAAAAAATCTAAAATTATCGAAAATTATCAAAAATTCAAAAATCCGTTTGTGTTAAAATTCAACATTTTTTCCTCTCTTTTATGGGATTTAGCTTCATTATTTTTGTGCTTTTGGAAAATACTTTACTTATTAAATTGTCTCGACTCTTTGGTAAAAAATCTAAAATTATCTAAAATTCGAAAAAATTCAAAAATCCGATTTTCTTAAAATTCAACATTTTTTCCTCTCTTTTATGGGATTTAGCTTCATTATTTTTGTGCTTTTGGAAAATACTTTACTTATTTAATAGTCTCGACTCTTTGGTAAAAAATCTAAAATTATCTAAAATTCGAAAAAATTCAAAAATCCGATTTTCTTAAAATTCAACATTTTTTCCTCTCTTTTATGGGATTTAGCTTCATTATTTTTGTGCTTTTGGAAAATACTTTACTTATTAAATTGTCTCGACTCTTTGGTAAAAAATCTAAAATTATCAAAAATTCGAAAAATTTCAAAAATCCGTTTTTCTTAAAATTCAACATTTTTTCCTCTCTTTTATGGGATTTAGCTTCATTATTTTTGTGCTTTTGGAAAATACTTTACTTATTTAATAGTCTCGACACTTTGGTAAAAAATCTAAAATTATCGAAAATTATCAAAAATTCAAAAATCCGTTTGTGTTAAAATTCAACATTTTTTCCTCTCTTTTATGGGATTTAGCTTCATTATTTTTGTGCTTTTGGAAAATACTTTACTTATTTAATAGTCTCGACACTATGGTAAAAAATCTAAAATTATCAAAAATTCGAAAAATTCAATAATCCGATTTTCTTAAAATTCAACATTTTTTCCTCTCTTTTATGGGATTTAGCTTCATTATTTTTGTGCTTTTGGAAAATTCTTTACTTATTAAATTGTCTCGACTCTTTGGTAAAAAATCTAAAATTATCAAAAATTCGAAAAATTTCAAAAATCCGTTTTTCTTAAAATTCAACATTTTTTCCTCTCTTTTATGGGATTTAGCTTCATTATTTTTGTGCTTTTGGAAAATACTTTACTTATTTAATTGTCTCGACTCTTTGGAAAAAAATAAAAAATTATTAAAAATTATCAAAAATCCGAAAAATCGAATTGCTTAAAATTCAACATTTTTTTTTGTCTTTTATGCCATTTAGCTTTATTATTATTTGAAATTTTATTCAAGAGAAAAAATGGAAAACTGAAAAAATTTAGAATTTTTTAAAAATTACAGGCCTTTTTCATGATTTCCCTGATTTCCAGAAGCGTTTTAAAAATTCCATACCATTTCCATGATTTCCAGATTCTGTAGGAACCCTGCTTTTGTCTGACTTTCTTCTAAATTATCGAATTCAGTGATTTCTGGGGTGAATTTGGTTAAGTTGTAAAATGATTACATAATTTCTATTTGAATTCGTTTTTTTTGAATGTAGAAAATCTGATGTTAATTTAATTCTTTTTTCGTTATGCACGGCAAAAAAAATTTAGCTGGATGAACTACAGAGTTCACTTTAGTAGCGAAATTATTTAGTGCTTCAATTAATAATTTCGTTATTCTAGAGAAACTTATCGCTATTTCAAGTAAAACTTTTTTCAGTGTGTAATAATTATTATTTCTTTAAAAAGTATTTAATTTAAAATGGCTTTATAAAATAAGCAATGCAAAAGATGACCCAGATACTAATTGTAATTGTTCTAGCCATAGTTTAAGTCTAGTAATGTAAATTTTATTTAAATTGAGACAATTGAGTGAAATTATTTGAATTTTAGTTAGTTAAATCTCTTTGTTAGGTTATAATAATTATTTCTTTAAAATTTTTTAAATTGTTTAAAATAAGCAGCCCCATACAACATTCCCCATACAACATTTAGTTTGGCTAGTACAATAATAATTATAAAAAATGCAACAATAATTATTAAGAAATAAAATTGAAAATTATTAAAAAATAATCAAAATATAAACAATAAATGAATAGAAATAATAATTTAATACTATTTTAGTTTTAGAATTTTTTTATTAGTAAAAATAAAAAAATAAAATGTGTAATTATTTTTTTAGAGTAAAAGAATCATCGGCTAGTGGTAACTGTCCACCGGCGTGTTGTAAGAATGAAAGAGGCTTAACCGATTCGAAGAAAGAATCCAAAGGAGCATGCTGTAGAGATAGGAAATGAAAAAAATCGAAAAATATAAACCTCATTTATTGACGTTTTGATTTTTTTACGCTACGACTGGTGATAACAATTGCTCTGATAAAATAAAATCTGACCGTTCATATTTTACGACTTTTTTATTCTGTATTTTTTATATTAAAAAAAAAATTGATACACATACAGTATTTCATGAAAATAAAAAAATGATTTTAATTCTGTATAATATGATTTGCATAAAAGGAGGAGGGGCTTTTTTGAGAGGGGGGCGAGGAATAAAAAATTGATAGAGAACTAAAATTTCGATTTGGATATTTTCTATATTAGTTTTTTATTTATAAATTTCGAAAATAAATTTTCCTATTATAAAAAAATATAGTTTTTTTAAAAGAGTGAAATGATTTAAATAAATAATAAGAAATAAAATAAATAAAAGTAAAAAAATACTAAAATAAAATAAATAATAAATAATATTAAATAATTCTACACCCAGAGAAGTTTTATTAAAATTAATTATTAATTATTAAATATATTAAATTAATTATTTTTCAAATAAAGTTTATTTGGTACAAAAAAATTTGATTTGGTTCAAATAAAGTTTATTTGAACTAAATAAAATTTATTTAAACCAAATCAAGTTTATTAAAATCAAAGAAAGTTTATTATTTATTTGAACCAAAAAAAGTTTATTTGAATCGAATAAAGTTTATTTGGTTCAATAAATAAAGTTTTCTTGAATCAAATAAAGTTTATTTGGACTAAATAAAGTTTATTTAAACCTAATAAAGTTTATTAGAATTAAATAAATTTATTCGGACAAAAAAAAGTGAATTTGTACAAAAAAAAGTTTATTTAAACCAAATAAAGTTTTTTTTGGTTTAAATAATTTAATAGGCTTTGATTCAGTTATAATTTTTTTCTGGGTGCATTAATAAAAGGAATCGAAATGTTGTTGCAAAACCCATCTGTAAAAAACTTGTGTCAATATTCACTAAGAATTCTGAAAAGATTAGTTTTTAAGTATTTTTATACTCTGGTTGTGAAAAGTTATATACCATTATGAAAAAGTTTCATGAAATACGCATATAAAGATTAAAATTATTAGTTTCTTGACTGCAGTCATAAACTCAGCAATGGAGTTATTCTTCTACATTATCCATATATATCCTCAGTTTTCTTCAGTTAAAGTCTTTATTGCTACTTATTACGCATGACTTAGAGAAGAGCTTCACCCCAAAATGAAAAAAGTTTCTATTCAAAACTATAAAATAATCGTTTAATTATTTTTATTTCATTACATTTGATTCAATGCATAGATTACAAAAAATATTTAATTTAACTCGAGGCAATTTTTTCCGACTTTAAATATTTATTACAATTATTAATTAACCAGCAACAATTCGTGCAAATTTTTAATTAAAATTTTTTTTTATAAAAATAAAATATAAAATGGAATATATAGTTTTAATATTATTATAATTAGAATAATCATATATTCTGACATATGGAATTCAGGGAAAAGTCAGGAATTTTTATTAAAATTAATGAAAAAAATTAAATTTTTGGAATTCATAAGAAAATTCTGAATTTTTGTGTTTTTTTTTGTTTGACTCATAAAATATAAATTTACCACGAATTCTAAAACAAAACCTTCAATTTTTTCAATTTCTGACAAAAATTTCTTTTTAAATAACTTAAATCTTGAACAACTTTCATAATTAAAATAAATTAATAAATTATTTAATAAATAATTTTACTTCAATATTTCAAAATTAATTCAATTTTAAAAGAGTTGCGTTTATAATTTTCATAAATAAATCAGTTTCAAATGGTTTCAATTTTAAATTTTATAAAATTTCAATAATGAATGAAATTAATTAGAAATTTTAATGAACTTAGATTTTTGAAAAATTTTAATGATTCAAAATCTAAAATTAGTTAAATTTGTCAATATATATTTAATTAGTTATTTAGAATAATGGATTTATAGAAGAATTTTAGTTAAAAACAATAAAAAAATTGGATTTTGAAGAAGTTACAAATTATTGCAGAAATTCAATTATTTTTAAATGCAATAAAATTCTTATCACAAAATTCAATTATGTTCAAAATTTACAAAAAAATCTCGACAAAATCCCAATTATTATCTTTATAAATAAAAAAATCCTTCTTCAAAATTCAATTATTTTCAAAATTTTTAATAAAATTTTTGTCAAAATTTCAATTATTTTCCAAATTTTTCCTCATTTCAATGATTTTCAATATCTACTATTTTAATAAAATTATCCAAAAGAATTCAATTATTTAAAAACAATTTTAATAAAATTGTACGCAAACATTTAATTATTATTTTCATAAATAGTACAAATTTTACAGGAATTCAGATATTTACAAATTTTTTATAAATTTTTACGCAATAATTCAATTATTTTCAGAAACAATAAAACTCATCGCAGAATTTCAATTATTTTTAATACAAGTCAATTTTTGATCAAACTTCTTGAAAAATGTAAATATTCAAAAATTTTTTATTAAAATTCTTAAAAAGAATACAATTATTTAAAAATTTGTTGATAAAATTCTTTATAAGAATTAAATTTTAAGAAACATTCAATTATTCAATAAACAATTTACTTTTGCATTAAAAAAATTGAATAAAATTTAATTAATTTTATAAAACATGACTGAGTGACAAAATCATTATTTTATTATTATAAGTATATTGTTACTGAAATTTCTTCAAAATCATTTTCATCATTTCAATTCAATTATTATTTTTTACAATTTTCAAATATAATTCCTCTTTAAATCAATTACTTCAATTATTATTCACTTAAACTTTTTCAAAATAATTAATTCAAGAGAATTTTTAGTTTAAAGTACGAAAAATAATAATTGAATACTACGAGAATTCAATTATTTAAATACAAAAATAAATAATTTATTCAATAATTAAATGTTTCTTAAAATTTAATTTTTAGGAAGAATTTTATTAACAACTTTTGAAAAAATTTAATTTCTTTTAAGGAATTTAATTAAAATTTTACTAAAATTCATTATATATTCAAGAATTTCATAACAATTTTTGAAAATAATTGAAAACTTTCTAAACAATTCTTTTTTAACTTTTAAAAATAATTGAATTCATGCGAAGAATTTTATTAAATTTTCTTTAAATAATTGAAATTTTTCCAAGAATTTAATTAAAATTTTTGACAATAATAAAATTCTTGAGAAGAATTTCGCTATCTATTTATAAAGATTATTTAATTCTTGACGAGAATTTTTAAAAAATTTTGAAAATACATAATTTAATTTTTGCAAAGTATTTATTATTACTTTTCAAAAGAATTGAATTCTTGTGATGAATTTTGATATTTATTAAAATAATTGAATTTTGGAAAAGAATTTTATTAAAATTCCTTAAAATAATTGATTTTTTGAGAAAATTTTTTTAGTTTCGTTTTCAAATAAATTTTGTAACTGACAAATTGAATTTATAAACATTTTTTTCTTTATTTTTAAAAAAACTTTGAATTTTATTAAAACAATTGTACTAATTAAAAAAAAGAATTAATCCAATTTATTTCCTTATGAATATATAATGTTTTTCTTTCCAAAATAAAAAGAATGAGTTTGTAAACAATATTGTTATTGAGAAATAAAAATTATTTTCCTACTTCTTAATAAAAATTTGTTAACAATTAACAATTTTCTAGTATTTTTTATAAATAAAAAGGAGAATAATTTGTATAATAATTTAGACCAGTCAAACAAAATTTGTTATAGAAAAATGAATTAAAGAATATGAAGAATAATATAGTTAATTAATAATTAATTTATTTATTAATTACACTGAAAAAAAATTTATTTGATTCAAATAATTACTTATCTATTATCAAATATTTACTATTGATTCAAATAATTTTTATTTGATACTTTTAAACCAACAGTGAATGTTTAAGAAAAAAAAATTACTTTAAGATAAAAGTTTGTCTGACTAAAAATTCTTTTTTCGAACTTTGTTATCCTAGTGGAAAATTTATGAATTCAGGTTAGATAAATAAGATGAAAATTTACCATAAAAAAATATCGAAAATCTTGATCGTTTTCTTTTTTAGAATCAAAAGGAAAATTCAAAGATGAAGATTCAATCGTCGATTAGTACCTAGAAAACTACACTGTCCTCAATACTTGGAATGTCCCTAAAAAATAATAAATTTTCCCTGTGGGCTGCAGTTGACATTATTACAAGTACCAGAAAAGCTTTTCCCGCGAATACAGTTGATTTATATCGACAAATGAAATTGGATGTAGACATTCTAAATTGTCCGATTTTCCGCTTGACACACTTCTTTTGCAGTAGAAAAAAAAGAATATTTAATGGAAATCGCACTTCATTCTCGTAACTTTAATATCGATACTTGGTAAATTTTTGCAAATCCTCGAATTTGTCCATTTTTTGTAAATTCTTCAGAAAAAAAAAATTTAACAGTAGTATTTTCTCTCTGCAAATCGATATGAATTTAAAATACTTCTGAATTTATTACTATCAATTTTTTTTTGTCTAGTCACTAAACGTCAGTTACTTTATAAACCAAAGTATTTTTATTTTTACTCCAGGAAGAAAAAAAATCCCCACTCGTAGGGAATCGAACTCCGGACCCTAGTGGTGCGAGACCAGGAGCGAAACCACGCGGCTATCTCACTCGACTAACTACAAGTTAGTCTTTTTAATTTTCTCTTCTAAAAATAACTAAAAATAAAATGATAATTGAAGTGAAAAAAGTTACTAAACATTTTCCTAACTCAATTTTTTTGGTGTTGCCAAGAAAAATGGGGAATTTTCTCTAAACACAGAATGATAATGATAATAATAAAGTTGATCGTAACGATAATGATAATAGAATAATAATTTACAAAGAAAAGACGAAGTGCATTAACGTATATTTGAAGTCAATTGATTAGCGACAAAACTTGTTTTGGCAGTCATCAAGGGATTCGAGTTAGAGGGAAGAGCTCTCTAAAGCTCGATTTCTCTTATTTTCGACTAACTATGCATGTCGTATATATA